CCAGCACTGTTGCTGTGCCAACTTACCGTTGTAAAGGGTGGTGGTACACCAATTGACCGCCCCGCTGGCATGTTGGGTCCGACAATGGAGCTATAGGTGATGTTGCCGTATTGAGTTAGGGTGGCTATTGGGTCAAACAGTGGACGTCAACGTTGTCGCCACGCTGCACGAAGGAACGCTGACATCGCGGCGTCCTACATGACGGTACCGCGTTACGCCACCGGACGGCCGAGTAAGGTCAGCCTCGCTGTTAAATGGACACTAAAGAGGAACAAAAATGCTTTTTTTATTTCTATTATTGCGTAAATAGTCGCTTGCCGCAAGAAGACGTTTGGTAAGCGAAAAGTGCGCTAAAAGAAAATGCAGAAAGTGACGCCATTTGGGAATACCTCACCTCTCGCCGTGACGTCATAGATTTTGATGGTGTGCCTACGTAGTTCGTAATCGGTACGAATGAAGTGAATTGTCCTCCGAGGGGACCAACCACTTAACATACCGAGTTCCAGGAAATTTAGATTGCGCCGACGTGGCCGAAATTCCAAACATCACTTTGAAATACCGTCGGAGTTTTAGGCGGAAAATTTCAAAATGAGTTTTTGGGCATTGACATTCTCACCTAATGATGAATTTACCTGTGGTGATGAAATTAACGACACTGAATTTTTTTCAGAGTGTGAACTAACTTATCGCTTCACTTTAGTCTCCACTCGAAACCGTGCAGCCGTGATGGGTTGCCGGGCGTCCTTACGTAACGGCGAGGCCTCGCAGCACGTGACGCGAAGGTGCCAGACGAGGAGCGCGTGAGTCAGCTGGCGAGGAGGGAGGAGAGAACAGACACGATTGCCGTTTGTACGCGTAGTGCCGAAACAAACATGTAGATAACGAACGCGCCGCGCGTGTTTTAGGGCCGTCGTCGGCCTCCGCGCTGTTTCCTGACCGCCAATTTCACGGCGCCCACGCTCGGCGTTTGCTTTGGGCCGAAGTTTCGTCGAGGTCGACGAATGTGCGCCCACGGCAGTTAGCGCGCGCCGCGCCGATCATCGGATACGACCTTTTCGTGAATCGTGGTGTCGGCCGGAGGCCAAGGTACCTTCCCAAGGTCGCCGCGATACTGCCCGTGACTTTTCGTTTAATACCCCCTCCCCCCTCTCCTTCCCACACCTTCCGTGCTTGACGCGATGAGCAATCGAGGACGGGCGCGTAGCCAGAAATATTTTTTTCGGCGGGGGGAGGGGGGGGGGGGGGACCTCCTTGACTTCGAATGGAATACCCTCTCGAAATGGTCATTATTCGCTCTCTATGCCATGACGAAAAAAAATTCGGGGTAGGGGGGGGGGGGGGGCGTTGGGTGTGCCAGCCCCTGGCTACGCCCCTGAGTTAGGATACATATGTGTAGTCATCACCCAACGACCACGAGATCCGGTTGAAAGAAGAATACGGCAACATATTGGGATCCCGTAATGAACATTGTCGATCCTTGGACGTTATCTTAAACTAACTTTGATGTGTCTTCTGTGAAACCTGGTGTTTTAGCATACGCAATAAGTGACCACTTACCTGTGTTTATATTCATTGCTGGCGCAGTTGAAAAACGAAAACGAGTGCACCAAGCGTTCTCTTATGGGCTCGTAAATACCAACACCCTGTCTGTATTCCGAGAACGTCTTGCCAGTGCCAAATGGGATGATGTGTATAGAGAAAAAAAAAATGCAGATGCGGCTTATGACAAGTTTATGCAATTATTTATGGAAATATACTACGCATGTTTCCCGGTGAAAACTTTAAAGCATACAAAGAAATGTCGCAAACCGTGCATAGATAAGCACCTGCTTAAGCTTATAAATAAGGGAGACAGGTTGTACGGCTCATTTACGGAAACTAAATCGCCGGAAGCATTAAAAGCATTTAAAGAATACAGGAACTGCGTTACAAAACAGCTAAGGGTTGCTAAGAAGCACTATTACTTTAATCTCTTCAGTTCATCTGCAGGACGCCCTGATAAAATTTGGAGGACACTTGCTTCAATAACTGGGACTGCGCTTGAAAAAACTACCACAGTCCTAAAAGATGGCAATGAACTAAAAGGAGTTGATCTTGCTAATGCTTTTAACTTTTTTTTTGCCCCTTGGTCTGGCATGTGACGATGTTGACCTTTCGTACATGAACCCACCTAATAAGTAGTCATTATTCCTAAGACGTGTTACAACACAAGAAGTTATTTTTTCATTCTTGTCATTAAGTAACAGCAGGGCCACAGATGCATTTGCTATTCAAACAGCGCCGGTAAAAATTCATCATAGACATAATTGCATCTTGCCTAGAGTACATTTTCAATCTATGTTTGTCAACAGGCGTTTTCCCTCGTAGCATGCAGACGGCAAAGGTGTCAGTAATATTCAAAAAAGGCGACAAGAATGATCTTTCAAATTACCGCCCTGTATCAGTGTTGCCTGTTTTTTCAAAAAAGTTTAGAGAAGGTGATTTTAGCGCGGTTTTCTTCGTTTACTGACCACTTTGGTATCATAAGTCCTGCACAATTAGGTTTTCGTAAAAACAGGTCAACTGAATTAGTCCTAATGACCCAAAAGGAGTTTATATTGCAAAAATTTGAGGAAAAGAAAATGGTGCTTGGAATTTTTCTCGATTTTTCCAAGGCCTTTGACCTTATCAGTCATGATGTTTTGCTTAAAAAACTTGATCGCTACGGTATTCGCGGCGTAGCACACTCTCTTATTACGTCCTACCTTCAGCACAGAACCCAGTTCGTAGCTATAGCCGAGGACCAATCGGAGTTGAAATCTGTAAGAACCGGCGTCCCACAGGGGAGCATATTGGGTCAGTATCTCTTCATATTGTACATTAACGACATAGTCAATGTTGATTCCTCTGTTAAGTGCGTAATTTACGCAGACGACACAAGTCTGTTTTTTGACGGTGACTTAGGTGCTGAAATGTCAAATCGAGCCAATAAGACGCTTGCAAGTATACAAAAGTGGGCTACAAGTAATTATCTTAAGATTAATGTAGAAAAAACAAAGGCAGCAGTGATGTTTTATCGACGTAACAAACAATTTCAACTAACCCCCATTAAATTAAATAATACTGAAATAGAAATACTATCGTCTTTCAAATCGCTTGGCGTATATTTCTCTGCAACTATGACGTGGGATTGCCAAGTGAATCACTTAGTTAGTAAATTATCTAGAGCAATAGGTACTATGCATCGCCATTGTAACTATCTTCCTACATCCATTAATATGATGTTATATATTTCAATGTTTCTTTCCCTAGTTCAATACGGAATTCTAGTCTGGGGGACGACTTCAGCTGAAAACATTCACAAGCTGGTGGTATTACAAAAAAGAGCAATGCGCCTTGTCTGCAGGGTGCCCTATCTTTGGCATACTGCTGCTTTGTTTACAAAGCTTAGAACAATAAGAATTGAATCTTTGTACACATATAGGCTATGTAGCATGTATAGAATGGAAAAAATTAAGAATGATAACGCTTTAACAAAATTGGCATCCTTACAGCAACATAATTCTTTTTATGAGTTTCGTCATTCCGAGCCTTGGATTGTTAACAAAAACAGTACTACATACGGTGACCAAATGCTACAATCCTGTTTACCTACTGTGCTAAATCAACTGCACAAAGAAAATGGTCTCAGTGTATCAACTCTGTGGCTAAAAAAGCTACGCGACGTATTTATGTGATTGCTTGTGCTGTTAAGGGCTTATTTGTTTGTCCTTTTCTCTGTCTTTAGCACTTCGCTTATTTTTTCCCTTTTTTTTTTCAAATGTTTCTATAATGACCTTGTTTATTTATTCCGACCATGGATGTTTACTGTTTTTGTGTTGTTTAAGTTAGTTCATTCATGATGTATACCATGTTTTTGTGTGACCGCTGTGAAGCTGCCCAGTGTATGAGGTGGCCAGGTTCCCCTCAAGCTGCTCAATGCAGCTTTTTTGCCTGGTCATCCTCGCAACTTTGTTGTTGTGAATAAACAATTCAATAACAGTTAGCATAGCCGAGAGTTGGGAGGAAGTCCTGTGGAGGCATGGCCAGGATGGTCCAAAATCCCTCGAAAATTTTCAGTTTTCCACATGTTTTGCACCCGTATATATGCACGCACACAAACATATGCACAAACTTAGAGTAGTTGAACATGTCTTGACCCCCCCCCCCCCCCCCCCCGTAAGAAAACATATTTCTGGCTATAATACTGATTGGTGGGGTTCTACCCCCCTCTAAATTTTAAAATTTTGCATATGTATATACAGGGTGTTCCCCCCTTTTTTTTTAGAGAATGCAGATCTTTTCTATATTTGCATAAGGGGCCAAAAAAAAAAAAGGAAATCCTTGAGACCAGTCACGTCTCTATAGCTCGTGAACGTCTGTATACCTCGTGAACATGCATTTTAAGAAAAGAAAAAAAAAGTATATGAGATCAAAGTCATGTGGGAGGCCTTTTCTAAGTTCTGTGGCAGAATTAGACGAAACCTCACAAGAGGATGAAGGGGAGCAAACAGCTAATAGGTTAGTTGAGGTAAGTCAGAAATCTTTTGTATGCATGAAGAAATGTACAAATATTATAGCTGGACATTAATATTGGCAGGCATTGCTCTTCAAAGTGTGGAATATAAGAGTGCAATGACTTACAAGTTACTTGTGTTGTTTTGAGTGCACACTAAGTGGTGTTACATTCTGACGAGTCATTTGGTGTTGGAGGCTGATGGTAATTTTCGCAAACTATCGGTGTGGGATCGGAAAAAAGTCAGATACAAAGCAGGATAATCCGCTTCTCTGGCCCCAGTGCTTATGATTCGATCCAATCCGAGTCGTTCGAAGGCTGTTCTGTGTGTGTTCTACCGGACAGAATGGTGCCTCCGTGCATGCGGCTCCCTCTGTTGTGCCACTGAATTTTTCCAGACATGCCTGTCAAGTTTTAAGTGGCTGGAATTTCGTCGCTGCACCAGTACTCATGTTGCTCTCTTTAGCCTTTCAGACCTGGAGTTCGAAGTGCGGTTAGGAACGAGTGAAGGCGTGCAAAGCTCTGAGGCGGCACCATGAGTGACGAGACTGGCGATGCTCCTAAGCTCCAAGAGGCCGTCGTGGGTGGCAGAGACGTACCGGCCAAGGAAGGCGCTCGCTTCCACACGTCCAGTGAGAGCAGCAATGGCGAGGAGGCGAGTGAGTACGCCATGGAGGGCGTTACGCTGACCAATGGAGAGGTCAAGCAGCCTTCGCCCACCAAGAAGAAGGCTCGGGATTCATCTCTGTCGACACCTTTAAGCCTGGAAGGCAGCTTCGGTGTTGTACCCGGTATGTTCACTCACTTTAATTGTACCAGAACACTGGCAAACTGATCGGATGAGAACCTCGTCTTTCTCTCTCGCGGCGCGTGCTTTTAGTTCTCTTGGTGCTGCATATTCAGTGCAGCATTTACCCCCCCTCCAGAAAGCAGCGTCCCGATGCTATTCTACAAAAGAAGGTGCAGTAGATGTATGGTGCAAATCAGTCCGAAAAATAGGGCTTCATTCGCACAATGTGCACGATTTCTTGTTTTTGCTAGCGAGTTGTCGAGGGGCTGTCCGAAACGACCTTGTAATTACGGCGGATACTACTCCATACCCAGCCTTTCTCGCCAAGCCGATAAATGACATGTCGGTGTCGCAGATTATAACGTTGGCTGTCGTAATTTTGCTGCTGGGTGATTCGGACACGTGCAAGCTGCCTTGCTTCTTCTGCTCGTTGGGTAAACGATGCAGCGTCCAAATCGATGTCATTGCAGTCATGCAGTAACATGGCGTCAAGCATCGTTGTCACCTCACGGCCATGAAGGAGACTGAACGGCGTTCTTCGTGTAGTTTCTTGCTGCGCTGTATTATAGGTGAACGTGATGTACCATAGAATGTCGTCACAGTTCTTGTGATCCACGTCGATGTACATACTCAACTTGTCGGCAATAGTGTTGAGACGTTCTGTTAAGCCGTTAGTTTGTGGATGATAGGAAGTGGTTTCCGATAAGGCTGTTCCACAGAGCTCAAGCACTGTGTTCAGGAGCGCGGCCGTGGAAGCTTGTGGATGATAGGAAGTGGTTTTCCGATGGGCTGTTCCACTGAGCTCAAGCACTGTCTTCAGGAGCGCGGTCGTGAAAGCGGTACCTAAATCCGTTATTATGATTGTCGGAGCACCGTGCCTCAGGACGATATTTTCTATAAATAATCGTGCGGTTTCAACGGCGGTGCCACCTGACAAAGCCTTTGTTTCCGCGTAGCGTGTAAGATAATCAGTGGCGACTATTACCTACTTGTTTATAGCATGGGAAGTCGGGTATGGTCCGAGGAGATCCATTCTAATTTGGGCAAAAGGTACCGTGGCCACTTGAAGGGCACTTGAATTGGTTGTAATAGTCCAGCTGGTTTTAACGGTGGTGATTTTCATTGTTGGAAATCAAGGCACGTGGGCACGTAATGTTTCAAAATAGCTGGAAGTGTTGGCCACTAGTATTTCTGTTGGATTCTGGCCAATGTGCGTGTGTATCCGAGATTACCGAACGTTGGCTCATCGTGGCAAGCACTAAGTATCTCCTCACGAATTGACGTTGGAACGACAAGTAGGTGGGTGCTTCCTCCGGGAGAAAAGTTCTTCTTATAGAGAACACCACTACGTAAGCAGAATGACGGCAGGCTCCTTGATAATCTTTTAGGCACAGTTGTTGTCCGGCCATGCGAAAATTCAATAAGGGAAGCAACTCGCTGTCTTCCTTCTGCTTGCACGAAATCGTAGTGGTGTCGACGACTCCTACAAATGCCATGTTGTCTTCTGTGTCATCGTCGCGCTTTATCGGTGACCTTGATAAGCAATCGGCGTCAGCGTGCTGCCGTCCATACTTATACACGACCGTCATATCAAACTCTTGAAGGCGTAAGCTCCACCGTTCGAGCCGATCAGATGGGTCTTTCAAGTTGGTCAGCCAGTAGAGGGAATGATGGTCGCTGACTACGTGGAAGGAACGACCGTAGAGGTACGGACGAAACTTCATAACCGCCCATACGACAGCAAGACGCTCTTTTTCGTTGTGGAGTAGTTGGACTCGGCACGGGAAAGCATCCTACTAGCATATGCGATCACAAGCTTGGCTGAGTCTTGCCACTCGACGAGTACAGCGCTGAAAGCCACGTTGCTGACATCTGTGTGGACCATGGTATGAGCATCCTCATCAAAGTGAGCAAGCACAGGCGGTGTGTGCAGGCGTTGTCGGAGATCGTCAAATGCCGCTTGCTGATCGTCGCCCCATGTGAACGAAACGTCTTCTCTTGTGAATCGTGTTAACGGCGAGGCTATGTGTGAGAAATTGGCAATAAACTTTCGGTAGTATGCGCACAGGCCAAAGAAACGCCTGGCTGCTTCCTTATTTGTTGACACCGGAAATTTTCTAACGGCTGCAATCTCATCGGGATCAGGTCGAACACCTTCATGGCTCATCACATGGCCTAAAAATTGGAGCTCCTTGAAACCGAAATGGCACTTTATTTATTGAGAATGCCCCTAAGGGCCCTCTCACTGGATGGTATTATATAGGGCGGGCTATAACACATACAGGTACATGAATGATAAGGCCAGAAAACATCCAAACTAAACACTATACAGCTGCTAAATAGATTAGAGTAAATATAAGGTCAATATTCTTACCGCATAGTCTTAAATAATCAGAATAAATAATATGAGTCAAACAATAATGAAACTATAAAAATATTTTAAAATTGATCTAAACAAGGAAGGAAATAGTCACAAGAGTACAATAAAACGCAATCTAGCTTAAAGCATAAAGGAATGACAACATCACCAATAGCATGTGTGAAATACTGAATGAGGCAACACAGCAAAAAATAACACCAACCATGGACATATGCAGTTTATACAGAAAACACGGTTTGCAGAAGAAAGAGGGGGGAATACCGCAAAAGGTTCACACGTTTGCACTCATGTTTAGTAGGTTCTGAAATACAGTGATATCGGTGACGGTTGCAATGTTTGATGGTAAGTCACTCGGTTATTGTGCGCGGTATGAAAGATCTAGCATAATAAAATGTGCGACAAGGAAAGCGTTCGATTTTGAAGGGATGATTGCGGCGTGGAAAGATGGCACGGGGTGGCCTAAAGAAGTCCTCGCAAAGTGATGTGTGATGATAGAGCTTATGAAGTAGTGATAAGCGAGCAATTTTACGGCGACAGGATAAGAGTTCTAGTTCGGCACGAAGTTTCAATGAAGTAACGCTGGTGTGATGTGAATAATCAGAAAAAGTAAAACGTACAGCGTGGTTCTGCAGGGCTTCGATGTTCTTAATAATGTAGTCTTGATCGGGATCCCAAATGGCCGACGCATATTCTATTTTAGGACGGATTAGAGTGATATAAGCCAGTTTACGCAAGTGCGAGGGGCTGTGTTGCAAGTTACGTTCATGGAACCAGAGTGAGCGATTTGCTGATGCAAGGGTGATGTTAATGTAGTGATGCCATGACAGGTCAGACTGAATGTTAACCCCAAGGTATTTATAAAAGGTCGTAAGCTCCACTGAAGTATTATTTAGCAAGTAAGACGTTGGAATACGGGATGCTTTTTTAGTAAAACACATTAGCCGTAGTCTTTGAAGGATTTAGTGTCATTTACCATGCTGTGCACCACAAAGTTAAAGAAATCTGTTTTTGTCCGCTACTCTGAACAGTCGCTTTTTTTATTATTAAGTCGACGCAGTTGATTATTAAACCACGGAGCGACGTTGCTTGTTTTTATGGTAATGACTGGTGTATATTGATCAATTAAGTTAGAAAGAGCATTTTTAAAAAGGTTCCAGTTATCTTCCATTGAACACGGCAAATGGGTATCTAAAAACTCTGCAGCGAAACTGGACAACTTGGCACTAATTTCATCAAAGTTGGCACGATTGTAACGCCTTATACGCTTGTTGGTAACTCTACTTTCGCTGAGTGAACATATTAAGTTTCCCATGATTATGTCATGATCAGAAAGACCATCGAGATGGCCTATATCTGTGAAAAGATCGGAATGAGAAGTTAAGAGTAAATCAAGAAAGTTTGCGCATGTGGTGGAGCAACAGTGTCGGTTTTTCGATAAGCTGGCACAACTGAAAAGTCGAGACAAGAATTGAGAAATTCCTGTGCTTGGGTGTCAGGTGGATGAAACAGATAGCGTTGACCATTCAATATTGGGATAGTTGAAGTCACCGAAAATGACAAGAACCGTATTGGGGAACCGCGTGCATACTTCAACAACAACACGATTAAATTCACTTTCGAGCGTTGAATTCATGTCAGGAGGGCGATAAAAAATGCCAATAAACAAATCGGTAGAACTAAGTCCTAAAAAAAACAAATACTGCATTAAAGAAATGAATTATTAATAATGGGCCAAGCAATGAATTTTTTACAAATTGCAATGAGCACACCACCGCGTTTTCGATCTTTTCTATCACAGCGGAAAAAATTAAATTGTGCTTGACTGACAAGAATATTACTATCAGAAACAGTATCATTGAGCCATGTCTCTGTTAGTGCGAAGATAGATGGCGAGCATGAGTCGATTAGCGAAGATAGCTCAACACGTTTAGAAAGAACACTTCTGATATTTGTGTATAAAAAAAGCGACCTTTCCATCTGAACGAGATGATGCGGCTGCCTGCACTTTTGAAGGGGCACGTTATGTCGATGTGTCCGTTGTTGCGCGAGCGTCGACATGCACTGCGCAATTGGCATTTGTGTCCCAAATGTAAGTATCTTTGTTTAGGCACAGTTTGTCGAAAACAAGACGCACACGATCTCCTTCTTTCTTTACTGTTTTTGAAAATTGCAGTAACTTTTTGAGCTTGTCCCGCACAGCCTCAGAGTAGTCACTTGCAACACTGAGGGGCATATTTTTGAGTTTGAAGCCTTTGCTCATGTTGTTTCCCCTTCTTTTTCATTGAACAGTTTAATGATGATAGGGCACTTTTTCTCTGTGGAGAAGCGACCTAATCGGTGAGCTCTAGCTAGTGACGAGATTGAAAAGTCAAGACGGTTCGTGCAAAAATCATGCACAAGGCGCTCAGATGTTTACCACGTTTCAAGCTGTTCCCCATCCTCAATTCCATAGAATATTACGTTTGACCTTCAGGAACGATTCTCGAGGTCATCAATTTTGTCTTGAAAGTTCGAGATACCCTGGTTGTTTCCGCAGGCTCCTGTTGTCGTAACCGGCTCCATTTTACACTCAAGTGTTTGAACACATTTCATTAATGGTCCAAATCGGTCTTCAAATCTAAGTGGATTTGCAAAATCTTATTCATCGATTCAAGCACGCTTGCATTATTGGCCTCAAGACGTCAAACAACTCCATGCACCATCTCCAACTTCTTTTCCTGCGGCTTAGCCATAAGACCAAGATTTGATTCAACATCGCCACTACGCATGAGAAGGCGCCAAAGGTACAGGGCAGTCGAACGTACACGCTTCAAAAATTCAGGTGACCACAGTACTGCTAAAAGGCAGAAATCATTGTCACTGTAACAATAAGATTCATAGTAACTAACCTGAGCAAACATGGTCAGGTTACTTCTCCGGTTTCAATGTCAGGCCGGCAGACCTTATTGCCCTGAATACCGATAGCAGCCTGCTCAGGTGTTTCTCAAATGTTTAAAAAAAAACAATGACGTCGTCCAGATAGACCAGACATGTCTGCCACTTAAGGCCTGACTGAACGGTATCCATTAGCCTCTGAAATGTTGCGGGGGCTTAGCACAATTCGAAGGGCAAGACTTAAATTCATAAAGCCCGTCAGGCCTTACAAAAAGCCGTTTTTTCTCTATCTCGCTCGTCGACCTCAATTTGCCAATACCCACTTTTGAGGACCATTGACGAGAAGTAGCGTGCATACCTCAGCCTGTCGAGTGAATGATCGATGCGCGGTAATGGGTGTAGGTCTTTTTTTGTCACCGGCGTAGACTAGGAGATCTCCCTCTTGGCATGTCAGTGGTGCTTCATCTAGAGGACGGTAAATAACGCCCAGGAAAGGGTAAGCACGACCGAAACCCAAGGAGGAACATTCCGCGGTGTCATGACACTCGAGTCGACATCAGGTGTTTCGTTTAAATGGCGCCGAGGAATAGGGAAAGTTTTGGTACCCTGCGACGCGATACGGGCAATACCGAATTATGTGGCCTGCTTCCCCACAATGAAAGCACAGGGGCCTATGGTCAGGATTATGCCAGATGTCAGTTTTGCGAAGCGGTGGCTGCCTCGGCGTCGGAAGTTTCTTTGTAGTACCAAGGCGCTGTCGGCGGATGTTGCTGGTGGTACCGATGCAGTGTCGGCACGTTCGCTGGCTGTCGGGGGACTATGTCTGCATAGCTTGCCCTGGGGGTGCTTGTGTTTGGCTCAGGAAGTGAGAGCGCTTGCCTGATCTCCTGGCACACAACTTCTGTTACTGAGGCAATTGCGCAGTCATTCGGTTTGGCGAAGAGCTTCTTGACCTCTTTTTGTACGATTTCTCGTATCAGTTGGCGCAAAGAACCTTCGTCGGGTGTCGTTGCTGTGGTTGTGGCTGCCGCGCTGATCGGTGCACTGTGGGTTGGGCGGTCATACTGCCGGTAGCGTAGATGCAGTGCGCGTTCGATGGATGTCGCCTCCTTGGAGAATTCATCAACACTTGTGGGTGGGTTTCGTACGAGACCAGCGAACAGCTGCTACTTAACGCCCCGCATGAGGTGGCTAACCTTTTTGGCTTCGGGCATATTGGGATCTGCTCGTGTCCTCAACAAACATCGTAATGGATTCGTTTGGTTTCTGAATCCATGACTTGAGGAGACGCTGTGCGATTCCTCGTCTTTCGGTGCTTGCAAACGTATCGAAGAACTTCTGCCGGAACTCGTCCCAACACGACCACACGTGATTCGTAATCCATGTTCGGGCTCCGTCTTGAAGCGGAAAATACACGTAACCCTAATTTCTGTGAGGGGTTACACCCGTTAACATTTGCTGTGTGCTCGAATTCCTCGTGTCAGTCATGTGCGTCCTCATATGTGTTTCCGTGCAAGTCAACCGGAAGTCGAGGGTTCAAAACAGTCACCTGAGTCGTGCTTGGGCTGGACATGTTGGGGCCTGTGCTTCCAGGCGCCGACATGCTTTCTGGCATGGTCACGCTTTCCGGCAACGGACCGAACTGCGGCCTGAGGCCTAACAGACGGCGACTGCTGCGGTGAACGGGGGTGTCAATGCGCGGAAGTTTTTCTGGACTAGATGCAGGACTGTTGTCAGGCATCTCGAATATGTACCCAGCGCCTCCGCCAGCGTCACAATGCAGAAACAGCAGCAGTTGAATACAGGACAACTCACTTTAATTGTACCTGAAAACTGGCAAACTGATCGGATGAGAAACTCGTGTTTCTCTCTTGCTGCGCATGCTCTTCGTTGTTCTCTTGGTGCTGCATATTCAATGCGACAGTATAATGAACATGCATATAATGAATTATTGGTATAAGGATGCAAATGAAGAATAGTCTTGTCATAGATACAGTGTTACAGATAAACGTTTATAACGAATTTCTATATATAGAAAGTCATTTTGGGAGCATGTTGTGACTTTGTTATAACAAGATGTGAGTGTGTGTTCTATTTAGCAGGAGTTTCGTTTACTGATAGAACAGGAATGCAGAACTCGGGTATGAAACCAATCGTTTCGGAGACAGTTGCTTTATTTAAGCAGTAATTCCGTTTAAAAGATTTCGGTTTGCTGGGAGTCTACTGCACATGGTTGTTTGGCCCTACTTTATGTGCATTGAGAATACTGGAAACTCTTTAACACTGGTTTGCGCAGTAGTATTGAAAATGACACACAAAGAAAAGGGAGATAAGGACATTGATGTATAACAACTAAAATTTTATTGCTATGCGCCAGGCACCAATCACTGGTAGGTATCGGTAACTGTGTACTTGGCTATGTATTCAGCTGCACTCATAGTGATAAAACTTGAATTGTTTGTACAGTGATGTCCTTATCCGTCTTTCCTGTGTCCTATGGTTTCAGTTACGCTGCCCGAACCAATGTTAACTATAAACCTTCTAGCTCCATGAATACCGTTTTGACTGATAACAATTTCGTTTTGTGCATTGCTATAATGAAGTATCATTGAAGGGAGGAATTTTTTCATTACTTGTTTTTTTTTTACTTACACAACTTTAATAAAAACTTGCAGATAATGAAGCCAAGGAAGGTATAGGAAACATTAATTGTATCTTTTTAAGTGTACTGTAATACACTAAAAAGTCATTATGACAAAGTTGAATTTTTCACAAAAACAAGTTTGTTATATCCGAAAAATTGTTATAAAGACTTCTTGCTAACACTTACATCCATTGCAAGACTATTTGTCATTTACTTCATTGCAACCGATATTTAATTATATTCAAGTTTGTTGTATGGAGGTTTGAGCGTAGTTGCGATATAGCTATAAGAAAGTGAACTGAATGAAGAGACAACTTGCTGCTGGTGGGGATCGAACCTGCGACCTTTGGACGCCATTTCGTATATGTATCTGGTGTTGCACCTGGTATTCTTGTTGCTGAGTGTTGTGCATTCTGCGTGGCACAGTGAAAAACGAGAATTTGCACATCGATTATGCAAATATGTTAATAACTTTGTCACCATGGACAAGATTGTATTTAGGGCTCTCGCTTCCCAAGTATTAACTTTCCTCCTCTTGCTAGAGCGTTGACATTTCATTCGGGTCCATTTCATGCGTCTCTTATCTGTCCAGAGTCTCCACCGAGGTTTGTCTCATTGGACCAAATCATGAAGGCTGCCAACGGGATGACAAAGATGGCCCTGGCTCACGAAATAGCCATGGGGGGCTCCTTTGAGCTGAAGCAGAGAGAGTACCCAGAAAACAGGTACACATTTTGCACACATCTGCTAGAGATATGATACTTTTCTTTTCAAGCTGTGCTGTTATGCCCATGGCTGTAAGGGGAGTGCTTTCGTTCCAGAATCTGAAATCAGAATTTTTTAAATTTTCCAGCGAAATAGTTGGGGATCCTTTCAGCAAAAAGCTGCGCTATGCAGCTTGAATGTGGCTGAAGCCCCTGGCGTGGCAGTGGTAGATTTACAATCGAAGTAAATCTAACATTTATTATCCATTATAATATACTGTATTAGTGCATATGAAAAACTGCAACATGTATGAAAACATGTCTTTTCTCACGAAAATGCTGTACACTCAAACTTCGATATAACGAACCTGGATATAACAAGATATCGGTTGTAACGAAGGAAATAAAGGATAGTCCTGATACCTTTATGATATACCTTTATGATATAATGAACGTATTTTTGTGTAAGATGCAATTTGTCATAATGAGGTTTGAGTGTATTTACATATGAACAGAAATAGAAACCTATTACACTTAGTAAGAGAAAATGCCATATCACATTGTTTTACATCAGAAAATAAGTTGTTTATAACACTCTACAAAATCACTCCAATAAACTTGGCTATGAAGTACAATATTATGATGTACTGTATAATGAAATGGGCATTTTGATAAGTAGTGTAAAATGTGAGACATTTTCATTTATCTAATCCCTATTCATTCAGATTTACAAAAATACTCTTTATCATATCTTGTTTGCGAGGCAGAGTACTTAAACCAAAGCCTGTTTAATGGCAAGGTGTGAAGTGATGAAAACTTCATCATGCAGGCAGGTGTTGGCAGCTGGCGTGAGTCACAGAACTTGTGTATTCAGTTCAGTATATTAATAATTTTGGCAAGGAAGTGGCAAGACAATGCAGGCATTGTTTTGGTGGTGACATATGCACCCTTTCAAAATGTCATGATACCTTACGTTGTTGTCAACGCTTAAAGGAGCACTGACATCAAATTTACTCATGCCAAGAATTTTGCATCAGCGAGTAGCTATAGACCCCGTAGCAACGATTCGCGACCTAAAACGCAACTGAGGGATGAATAACTATATATTTTATTGATTTATATTACTAGGATCTAGCACTATTCGAAAACGGCCGGCAATCCCGCCATTTTTAGCGCTGGGAGCACCAGCAGTGGCGCTACCTCGTGGTCACCTCCAGATCACGCCACAGCTGACAACTTCTCCTCAGAAAAGAGTGACGTCAGGCTCAGCTGCTCCGAAAACTTTTCGTCTGCTAGGCGGACACATTCAGTCATGCCTTCTCACCTGCATTGCTATCATTGCCGTACAAAGTGTCGACTCGGGTTCAATGCGATGGTCTGGAGCTTGGAATCCCCGCGATTCGTGGCGTCGTAAATTATTTTTGCTTCGATCGACCTTTTGCAGAACAGTGATTTCGAAGTGGACACCGTTCCAAGCAGCACTGCAGAGGTGCCCGATGATACACGCTTCAGCCTTGTTCGCTCGTGTGTCGCAGTTAGCTATTTTGGTGTCTTTTGGCGTGCAAAGCATTCAGGTATACGCAGAGGGGTCAATGCAATATAGCTATCGGGAATGAGCAGCAGTGGATAAATAGAATACGTTTCCTGCTTGTCAGGTTTTTTTTTTTGCGCCTCCAGATGGCCCCACCTATCCCGCCTCTCGGGGTTAACATAGGTATTACCACTTTTACATGAACGCAAAGTCTACAGATGAACTAAAATTCCACGATAAATGCGTGTTACTTGTTAGCGATGATATCTGACTACAGGCTCTTCCACTTGTGATAGCTTGTGGTCGTGTTGATGTGTAACATATACGTGATATGAAAAGACACCCTCATTGCGCTTTTTCCGTGCTTCGAACTAGACGACTGCAACTCACCTGCAACTCACAACGATTCCCCGACACGCTGACTGACAAGCAAACGTTTAAGCGTGCTCTTTCCTTTCGGCATTCTTTTAAAGGTAGTTTTTATCTTGACAATTTCACGAAATCATTCAAACCGGTGCGATGAAGATCAGACGCGACGAGCCACGGCCGGGCTAGACTGCACCTGCGCGCGCTAGCCCGGCCGTGGACGAGCGAGTGCGTTTCTTCACGTCGGCGCCAGTCGGCGCCACGATAAGAACACTCGGATCATACACGTCATCACTACTAGGGCATCGTCACTCAAGATGGTATTTGTGGAATGTATCACACCGAACACGTAGCACTAGTGTCGATGTCGCAGAGGAGTCTATTTTTGGTTTTTAGCTAAGTTCTTAGCTTTTCTACGCTGTTTGACATCGAATTCAAATAACTTCCACGCGACGGATGCCGTTCAAATTTGGCCAAGAAGACCTATGCATACCAAGAAATCGAATGATGGGCACATCTCAATCTTGAAATTTGATGTCAGTGCTCCTTTAAAGCTCTGTGGCAGACTATAGTTTTGTTGTGCTCTTCAGAATTATTATTATTATTATTATTATTATTATTATTATTATTATTATTATTATTATTATTATTATTATTATTATTTATTACTTTTCTGTCTACATTATATTAAAGGGAGTACTAACTCTATCAAATAAATGGTTCGTGAAATCTCTGAAGGGGAACGGTCATCAAACATTTAATGGAGTAATGCAGAGGTGGTGTAGTATGTTTATGTTATATAACAAAAAAGTAGCCACTCGCTAGTGAACAGTTGAAATCGTTTAAACCACTTTTACCAGTGTTGGTATTGTAGGAGTCTTTGTGGTGGACCTTGCATAAACTGTGAACTTTTTTTTTCACAAGTTATTAACATTTCATTATATATTTCACCCTTAATGTAGTTTTATTTCGTAGTTATTATGTCCTAATTTGCACCACAAGAAGTCTTTTATATGAGAAGCAGCTCTTTGACTAGCCTATGCAATGCCGTCCCTTCGTACAAATGCGTCGCGTGTCGTAGGTGTTGGCCTGGTGCCAAGTAGGTCATGCTACTGCTGCGCACTGACGTCACTCTCTCTCTCGCCTGCCGAGCGTTCGCCACGGCACCCACAGCTGCCGCCTCGTCCCGCGACCGCCGCTCGCTACACCATCGACTCGTCGGTTCATGCCCAGTAAACCTGATGCGCGCTTAACGTGCGTGTTGAAACATGTCTGTACATGTCACCTATAAGACCTACATCAGCCATCGCTTCAAACAAATCTTCCAGCATTCACCGCAGAACCCGCACTAGCGCCGCTCTAGCCGTGACGACACCCGTGTGAAATGCTGCTGCTTTACCTCCCATCCCTTTGGGGAGATAGTCCAAGTTTTTTTCTAACATGCGGACATAATGGACTGACTGGGAAAAAAAATGCTTCCTAAATGCTTGGTTCACTTCCTATGAAGTGTATTGAGTCAAGAATGTCGATCGAATTCGTAATAACCTGAGGACTCTGCTATACTAGTACTTGTTTCTGCAGACCAGTTTTCTTGCTTTGATTGATGCTTTTAGCAGAGTTTTGCTGTTCGACTGTTAGTTTTCACTTTCACGTACAGTGTCCTGATAATTTGTCCGAAATTCTCTCTGCATAATGGTCAATGAGTGCTTTTGTCAATTTCGCTATTTTCTTTCCAAAGCCTTGAGAAGGTCGTGAAGGAAACATTCCACAAGGCTTTCTGGGACATCCTCGAGGAACAGTTGAATGAGGACCCACCAAACTATGACCAAGCCATGCGTCTATTGCAAGAGGCCAAAGAGGTGAACATCATTTTGAAACACTAAAACCTCATTTTAACAAAGTTACACCGGCCACGAAAATTTGTTATAGACATATCTTCTCAGCATTATATCCATGATGAGTTATTCTTAATTTGCTTTGTTGATTTCTTATACCTGGGTTTGTTATATCGAGGTTTGATTGTGAACTATACTAAACCTCGTTTTCTGTAAACTCTTCAAACTTAATTTGCATCGAGTGCAGACATTGAACTGCAACAATTTACATTGCGCCGACACTACCAATTGAATCCAACAGGCAGCTAGGCCAAGGAAAGGAATAGAAGACATACATTGTTGTTTTTAATCTTAGTGTAGTAATTGTGACGTAGATTGAGATGAATTAAAGTTGAAAAAAAATTACTGTTTCTATGGGTGGAATTCAAACCCACGTCCTTTTAGTGTGGAAGTTCTGGGTTTGGATCCCACTGACGTAAGCAGTCATTTTTGCTGTTTCAAGTTGTTTCAATTTACAATATAATTATGGCACTGTAGTTAAAAATGACAATGACCAATTCGATTGGTGGTGTCAAACAAACATGCTCCTCCCCCCTCCAAGAAAAAAGTTAATTCCCTTCTTTCAAACATTGGCATTGATAATTCCTGCCCTTGGATAGGAAACGTAGTTAATGCAAGGCCCTCTTTAAATGTGAGCATTCTTAATAAGGAACCTGTCTAGCTGGGTAGAAAAATAATATCCTGCGGGCACAACACTCATACGATATTATAAACAAAATTGCAGGTTGTATACTTTATGCATATATCATCTCTGAAGTAAAGTATACTTGACTGTGCTCTATCTACATGGGATATAACATTCATCATGAACATGGGGGTCGACACATTGACATGCAAACTTATCTCCTCTGAGGCTCCTAATTCATTGGCTCCAGCGTCGACTCCAGCAGCATCCGATGTTCACAATTTTTTCATCTTCTAAGCTCTCGCTTTCCTTTTTTTACTGTGATAGCAATTATATGGACACTTTTGGCTGATTTTTGCCGTCACCGCCATGTCCCCGATATGTATAAGTATGCAGATATCTATGAAAGGCATAAAGAAAAACAATAGGAAGAAAAAATTCCAAGGCACCCACCGGATATTTCAACCAGCGACCCCTCGCTCTTTAGCACACTGCATTAACCAAGTACACCACGCAGCTCATACTGTCCACCAAACTAACAGCGAGCTATGTATATACACTTTTTGCCACTGGCTTACTGTACCCATTGAAAGGAACATGAAAGGAATTGAAAGGAACATTCTTGAACAAAGCATGTACTTTAGACAAGCCAGATATGCTTTCCATAAACATTGACGTGTTCGATGGTTTGATTGATGGAGGAGTGGGTTCACTGAAGCACATACAGTTGGATGAAAGGAGCAATCCAAAATGTCTCCAGCTCCACTTTCACTCTGAAGCGAGAGGAAAAATCGATCGCATCAAGTCTGTGAGGTCATCAAGCCCGTGAATTCGGTTCCCATTAAAATGCGCTCCGCAACTATTGCTTTTGGCGGACAAACTCAAATTGCTGCCCCAGATGAGTTTTGGTGACGCTTGTGCCATAGAAATATCGCACAGCTTCATCATCGTAACAGTGTACATTTCCCCACGAACCTTGCCAACTGACGTCATGAACGTCTTGCTGCACAACTTCCATGCGGTGTGCCTACTGGATGTGCCGATGATAGTTACTGAAGACTTCAACATTGATGTACTTCGACATGAAAACCGGTCACTTGTCACGTTTCTCATTGCTGAACTTGGACTTTCCCTCCTGTCATACGTCACTCTGTGAAGTATTTCAACATCTCTTTAAATACTGTTTGTTGGTAATGCGTTACGGTCAATTCAAGCAGAATCGATCATGTTCACTACATTTCGTATGGTTCCTAAATCTCTTAGCCTTAATTCATAGAACAGCCTGATGTGTTGCTATAGCATTCATTGCTTCGGCCTTGTGCCAAAACTGTGACTTTTTTCGACACATGGTAGCCATATGAGTTCCATCACGAAAACAATGCTTCAGACCAGTCATGCCTGTGTAGCTCACGAATAACTCGCGAACCATGCAACATTATTAGGAACTGGCAAACAACACTTGTCAAACCTGGCACTCCACTCTGTCCAAGAATGATGCATGATCCGTTCATAGGTATGCAGGGGTAGCCGCAGTAGGCCTAACGCATTTCGTGTAGCGCGCAAGTAGGGCGGTGCCTTGTAAATGCGCCCAAAAAGGTGGCAATCTGCGATGAACATCTGCGGAAGATGCCGACAATGCCGTGGTGGCATTTTGAAGGCAGTTGTTGGCCACTAGTCATTTGTGAATTTCCGGCCAGGACTGGAGGGTGCCGGGCGTGTTGATAATCAAAATCCACTCGAAGACGTTCTGAAAGCCGTGGAACGGTGGCACTGCACAAGCAGCCAACGATAGTTGAGTGGCTGACAATAGCCCATGACGACAGGTGCTCGAAATGATAAGTCAAGGCCATTAGGACACACAAGAGTTTCGCACCGATATTAGATGGGGTGCCTGGTGAACCGTGGGCATAGTTTACGGTGTATGCGGCGGTCCCGGTGCTGACAGCGACGAAATCAATTGCTTTGGACGTGTAGATGGTACGTCTCGTCATGAGCAGGTACAGGTAAAATAGTGTGGAGCCACCGAGGAGCCCTAGAGGCCGTCCTTGGAATACTGGTGGCACATGAGCAGGTGCTGAGGAGGCGTGAACGCCGTCTTCAAGCTGCACCTACTGCGGTTGCAGGTTAATAGTTGCCATGGACGAGGAATCGTGGACGTATGACTTCACTACGAGTATGACACGTTAGGGTGGTGTCTGGCATTTCATGGACCTCCGATCAGTTTCGGTTTCGATGGGATGTGTCGCATGGTGCCACACAACGGCTATATCGGTAACCATTGTTATGCGCCAATACACGCTCTCTGAATAAACAGTCCCCTCCCAGTTCTCAGCCTAGCGTGACGTTCTTCACAGTGCTCCGGCGCTGATGCGCACATTGTCTTCGTCAGACGGTGCCCCAGCGGCGATACAACACACTAGCGACAAGGATGGGATTCGTGACGCCCAGGACCATGTTGTCTTCCTGCCGAATTCTGCCGGGAAGGCCGTCGGACATACTTTTTCTTTTTGGTGGCCATCTTGTGGACCTGGATGTAACCCGATCTTCTCAACTTGTGCATTTGTGAATTCCTGAATTTTGAGGTCGGTAAAATCCTTTTCCTTTGCAATTTGAATTGCTTGCTGTAAAGTAAAGGTAAGACCCAGTTGCAAGAGTCGTCATTGCACATTTTGTGCTGTTATTCTGCTCAACAGCTGATCGCGGGCCATAGAATTGGCGGAAGCGGCAAAGTTGTATTTGCTTGCCATTGTCTGTAAAGCGGAAACGTAGTCAGTAACTGATTCCCCCGGTATTTGCTTGCGCATATTGAAGTGGTGACGCTCTAGGACTTCATTGCTTAGAGCCTTGAAATGGTTCTCTAGCAGACTGAGTGCTGCGATATATTCATCCTGCTTGACTTCGTCCCGAGACCCGTCTCCGTTTTCCACCTGGTCCTGTGCATTTTTTAGTGTCCATCATCATCATCATCATCATCAGCTTGACTACGTCCACTACAGGACAAAGGCCTCTCCCATGTTCCGCCAGTTAACCCGGTCCTGTGCTTGCTGCTGCCAATTTATACCCGCAAACTTCTTAATCTCATCTGCCCACCTAGCCTTCTGTCTCCCCCTAGCCCGCTTCCCTTCTCTGGGAGTCCAGTTAGTTACCCTTAATGACCAGCGGTTATCCTGTCTACGCGCTACATGCCCGGCCCATGTCTATTTCCTCTTCTTTATTTCAACTATGATATCCTTAACCCCTGTTTGTCCCCTAATCCACTCTGCTCTCTTTTTGTCTCTTAAGGTTACACCTACCATTTTTCTTTCCATTGCTCACTGCGTCATCCTCAATTTAAGCTGAACTCTCTTTGTAAGTCTCCAGGTTTCTGCTCCGTAGCTAAGTACCGGCAAGATACAGCTGATATATACCTTCTTCTTGAGGGATAGTGGCAATCTACCTGTCATAATTTGAGAGTGCTTGCCGAATGTGCTCCACCCCATTCTTATTCTTCTAGTTACTTCAATCTCGTGGTTAGGCTCTGTGGTTACTACCTGCCCTAAGTAGACATAGTCTTTTACAACTTCAAGTACACTATTACCTATCTCGAAGCGCTGCTCCTTTCTGAGGTTGTTGTACATTACTTTCGTTTTCTGCAGATTAATTTTGAGACCCACCTTTCTGCTCTCCTTGTCTAACTCTGTAATCATGAGTTGCAATTCGTCCCCTGAGTTACTCAGCAATGCAATGTCATCGGCAAAGCACAGGTTACTAAGGTATTCTCCATTAACACTTACCCCTAACTGTTCCCATTCTAGGCTTCTGAAAACCTCCTGTAAGCACGCGGTAAATAGCATTGGGGAGATTGTGTCCCCCTGCCTTACACCCTTCTTAATTGGTATTCTGTTGCTTTCTCTATGAAGCACTATGGTAGCAGTTGATCCCCTGTAGATTTCTTCCAGAATGTTTATATATACTTCATCTACGCCCTGATTCCGCAGTGTCTGCATAACGGCTGATATTTCTACTGAATCTAACGCCTTCTCGTAATCTATGAAGGCTATGTATAGTGGTTGGTTATACTCTGAGCATTTCTCTATTACCTGATTGATAGTATGAATGTGGTCAATTGTTGAGTAGCCTGTTTGAAATCCTGCTTGTTCCTTTGGTTGATTGAATTCTAATGTTTTCTTTACTCTGTTAGCAATTACCTTTGTAGATAGCTTGTATACTACAGAGAGCAAGCTGATCGGCCTGTAATTCTTCAAGTCCTTGTCATCTCTTTTCTTATGTATTAAGATGATGTTAGCATTCTTCCAAGACTCTGGTACCCTTCCCGTCAGGAGACACCTCGTAAACAGGGTGGCTAGTTTTTCTAACACAATCTGTCCTCCATCTTTCAGCAGATCTGATGTTACCTGATCCTCACCAGCAGCTTTGCCTCTTTGCATGCTCTCCAAAGCTTTTCTGACTTCTTCTATCATTACTGGTGAGGTCTCATCTGGGTTACTGCTAGTTCTTATAGTATTAAGGTCGTGGTTGTCTCGGCTACTGTACAGATCTCTGTAAAACTCCTCCGCTATTTTAACTATCCTATCCATGTTGGCAGTTATTTTGCCTTCTTTGTCCCTTAGTGCATACATCCGACTTTTGCCTATCCCAAGTTTCCTCTTCACTGCTTTGACGCTTCCTCTGTTTTTCAGAGCGTGTTCAATTCTCTCCATGTTATACCTTCTTACATCGCATACTTTACGTCTATTAATCAACTTCGAAAGCTCTCCCAGTTCTATTTTGTCTGTTGTACTTGACACTTTCATGCTTTGACGCTTCTTAATTAGGTTCTTCGTTTCCTGGGAAAGCTTGCCAGTGTCCTGTCTAACTACCCTGCCTCCAACTTCCACTGCACACTCCGTAATGATACTCGTCAGATTATCATTCATTGTATCTACGCTAAGGTTGGTTTCCTCACTAAGAGCCGAGTACCTGTTCTGCAGCGACACTCTGAATTCCTGTACTTTCCCTCTCAGTGCTAGCTCATTGATTGGCTTCTTGCGTATCAAATTCTGTCGTTCCTTCTGTCACAGAACGAGGGCTAAAAATGGGCGCGCCGCCAAATTCTCGCGACAAACCGCCGGAGTGACGCCGCGAGGTCAACGAAAAAGAAAGGAAAAGAAAACAAACATCTAAAGGCTCCCCGGGCGCGCGAGCCTCTCCTCTCGGAAGCGTGGCTTCGCCGACGAACCTCCTCACCCCACATCGGCGGCCGAGCAAGCACTGGAAATTTCTAGGAGAGAGGCATGGTCACGCCGGGTTGAGTCATCCGACGCGGAGGGCATTCGAACCGTCTCGCCCTCTCCCCAGCCTTCGCTGCGTATCGCGCCGACGAAATGACGAGAACCTTCTGGAATCTCGCGTGGAAGGTATTTAATCGAGCGGCCGAGACGAGAGAGCAGGAGAAGACGGAATTTAGCGCCAGAGCGCGTAGGGTATCCCGCCGTGTAGTCGGCGAAGGTTTTGTCCGTAGGGACAAAGCAGGAGGAGACGTGAGGTTTCCTGGAAGAGAAACTTCGGAGGAGAAGACAGAAGTTAGCGCCAGAGCGCGTAGGGTATACCGCCGTGTAGTCGGCGAAGGTTTTGTCCGTAGAGACAAAGCGGGAGAAGAAGACGATTTCCACCTGAGGGGTGACGCCTCGAGCTACAGGCAAGAGTGTGTGTTTACCGCTATCGAGTGAAGACGCGTGGCGACAGCTGTGTGTGTGAAGTCGACGTGTTCGGGTGAAGAAGTTTGAAGCTTGGAGAGTGGCCAATTGAAGACGCGAGGTTTCCTGGAAGAGAAACTTCGAGGGCGCGGAACGACAACAACGCTGGACTTTGAGTGAGTGATTCTCGGAAGAGTATCATCCAGACTTTTGTTCCAAGAACTTTGGACTAGATAGGTTTTCTATCTCTTTAGTCTTTAAGTGTCTTGGTGGTTCAATGCATGCGACTGCATTGTAGTGCGTATCGTTGTCTGTGTCCGTTGTTTTGAGTGTGGCTGATTGTACTGTGTAGTACGTTGTTTGATTGGTGACGTATTGTATGTAACTATTGTGGAGTGTGCATTCTTGTGTATTGTTTTCGATCTACCATTTTTGAGAATATAATATTTGTTTTGTTTATCAACTCTCGGCTCTGACTTGTTCTTTGGAAAATTTGGAACTGCACTCTTTCCTGTCTCTCTTGTTTTTTTTTTTCTTCAAGTTTGTGCAGCAATTCAATTTTTCAAGTATGAACCAACTAGTCTGCAAAAAAGTATTGTTCTTTGGGCCACAGCCGGCGTCCGCTGGCGCGCCAAAAAGGACCACTTCTTAATTGTCCACGCTTTCGTGGTGCGGTTCGGGGGGCCAATACTTCGGCCCTTGGAATTAGCCCGGCGATCGCCTCCCTAATTAACGGGACCGGTGTGACACCTTCTTCAAGTCTAGGCGAATTCGAGACCGTACCATTCTATGGTCACTGCATCGTACCTTGCCAACCACTTCCACATCCTGCACGATTCCTGGGTGTGCAGTCATTATAACGTCTATTTCGTTCTTATTTTCGCCATTAGGGCTCCTCCATGTCCACTTGCGGTTTTCTCGTTTTCGGTAGAAGGTATTCAAAATTCGCAAATTATTGCGTTCTGCGAATTCTACTAGTAGCTCTCCTCTGGCGTTTCTAGTGCCGATGCCATGATCTCCTACTGCCTGGTCTCCAGCCTGCTTCTTCCCTACCTTTGCATTAAAGTCGCCCATCACTATAGTATACTGTGTTTTTACCTTACTCATTGCCGATTCCACGTCTTCATAGAAGCTTTCAACTGAAGCGTCATCATGGCTGGATGTAGGCGCGTAAGCCTGTACTACCTTCATCTTGTATCTTTTATTCAGTTTAATTACAATACCTACCACCCTTTCATTATTGCTATAGTATTCCTCTATGTTGCCAGCTATGTTTCTGTGAATTAGGAACCCCACTCCCAGTTCTCTTCTGTCTGCCAAACCCCGGTAGCAAAGAACATGCCCATTCTGTAGCACAGTATAGGCCTCATCTGTCCTCTTAACCTCACTGAGCCCTATTATATTCCATTTAACACCCTCTAGCTCCTCGAATAGTACAGCTAGACTTCCCTCACTAGATGAGGTTCTAGCGTTAAATGTTGCCAAGTTCAAGTTCCAATGGCGGCCTGTAGTCCAGAGATTCTTAGCACCCTCTGCTGCGTTGCAGATCTGACCGCCGCCATGGTCAGTTGCTTCGCAGCTGCTGGGGACTGAGGGCCGTGAGTTATTTGACGTATGCATGTGGGAGCTAGTGGCCAGATACTGCACCAGGGTGGCCAATCCTTCTCTGGTGAGGGAGTGCATTCCCGGCGGTGGTTACCGGTGAGACCGCACCCCAGGCCTCTTAATGCAGTTCCATCAACACGCGGATTTTTTTTTTTTTTCCGGTTGGGAACTGCGCAGCACCGGGATTTAAACCACAAATCTCTTGCATGCGAGGCGGATGCTCTAACCACTACGCCATCGCCGCACCCGGATTGTTATGTTCTAAATGTAGGTTTCAGCGGTGTATCAGTCAAGTTTGTGGTTATTTTTATAAAAATGTTTTAATGAAATGAGATTTCTGCTGATTACCCCCTTTATTAAGGGTCTAGGGAGTACGGAGTGTGGCCTCCGATTAGCCTATGGGGTGCTCTTTATTAATATATTAAGCGGACAAAATTCAAATTTGTTTGTGAGGTGATGTTACCAAATTAATCTTTTTAGTGATTAGGCTTAATTTTGGTCACGAAATAGTTCCGGTACTATTACTCCTGTCCTGATGAAACCTGAGCGGCGACAGGTCTACAATTAGGGCTTTGCACTGTATGAGTTAGAAGTTTCCCGGTAGGTTATTAGCAAAGTTAAAAGCAATCGTTAAAAAAAAAAAAAAACGTGGTTCAAGACTTTGATCTGACGGGCGTACCTTTCTCCCGAGCTCTGAGCCACCCTCCTCCTTCGAGCGAGGGCGAGGGAAGATGCGGGTGCCACACGTTTATTAGCGGTTCTCGTTATATTCTTTCTAACTCTGTATCTTCCGGTTACCTTAAGCTATCAAAATTATTTTTACACGGGAAAAACCGGACTGTTGTGTTCTAAAAGAAGATATTAGCTATTTTTCGGTGGCGTTTGTAGCTCCTTTTGAAAATTTGTTTTAATGAAACGAGCTTTTTGCTGATTACCACCTTAATTAAGGGCCTAGAGTGTACGGAATTGGGCCTCCTGGTAGCCTATGGGGTACGGTTTATTATTATATTAAGCGGACAAAATTTAAATGCGTTTGCGAGGTGATATTACCAATTTAATCTTTTTAGTGATTAGGCTTAATTTTGATTGCGGAATAACTCTGGAACTATTAAACCTAGCCTGATCAAACTTCAGCAGCGTCAGGTCTACCCTAAGGACTTTCAACTTTATAAGTAAGAAGTTTCCCGGTAGAATATTAACGAAGCTACAAGCGATCGTAAAAAACACGTGGTCCGACTGTTGTGGTTTTCACAGATTCACACTGTTTTCCGCTCCTAAAATTTAAAATTTTCGTTTGTAATAGCAGTATTTGTAGCGGTTGAACTCCTTGTATCTTCACGAACAAATAGACACCACTCTGACCCTCCTAGAACCAAAATTGCTAAAGTTATAGGTAGATATAAGTAGTGCGTTAAGTAGTAGACTCTGCTTGAGAGTGGTGCTGGGGGTGTTTCTGGTGGCGATGTTGACGTATGCCTGAAAGACACGGCGCCATTTGGCCCAAAGGCACGGGAGGGGCGCCCGGAGTTTGCAAGAATGGCAAAGGAGCAATTGCGGAAGTCGCCAGTATGGGTTGGCGAGTCACTGGTGCCAGCAAGCATTGGTAAAATATGCAGGGGTAGCCGCAGTAGGCCTAACGCATTTCGTGTAGCGCGCAAGTAGGGCGGTGCCTTGTAAATGCGCCCAAAAAGGTGGCAATCTGCGAAGAACATCCGCGGAAGATGCCGACAAAGTACGTAAGCTGCTTGCTTCTTGTTCATCTTGTTGCCAGTTTGTTGTGTCTCCGTTGGACAGTGCCCGGCGGTGATACAACAATTAGGCTTTCGCCTTAATAATGGTACAGCTGCATCATGGGTGCTGGCCAGAGCAGAGATCTCAAACACACGGCTTGCTGCCCAAACAGGACTGTCTTTACTTCATATTGTGCGCTTCATGTGTGCTTTCAGATTCTGCTACACCTGCTGATGCCGCACAGCAAGCGGCTTCGCGAGGAGATCGAGCAGGTGCTCGACATCGAGCTCATCCGCCAGCAGGCTGAGCACGGCACCTTGGACTTCCTTGCTTATGCACGACACGTCATCTCGCTGATGGCTCGCATGTGTGCACCGATCCGAGATGCCAGCATCAAGGAGCTGCTCGAGATCAAGGAGGTTGTGCCGCTGTTCAGGTTAGAGGAGCGGCTGTCTTCCGCATGCTTGTACTTGGAGTTTTGCGGGAAAGTATGAAATGCTAGTTGATGTTGAATTTAATTTAGTTTTTTCTTTTGTGCAAAACCTCTATTCAGTGTTGTGCACTCACTACACTTTTTCAATTTTTGCCAATTCGTTCCTTAATGGGCTGCGGAAAACAAAGGTGCATAGGTTAGTGTTTCTTATCTACACAAAGTTATAACTCTTGCACAGTAGATCATCCAAAACTGTGTGAAGTTTTTCTGTCGCCCAATGAACTCTTGTGGTGTATGCAGCATCCGTCATATTACATTCATTGTAATACGTTCACAGTATTCAACGTCCATAGTAAGGCCTTTCGAAATAGCTAATCAAAGTGACTTGTTGATACGCTTTAATCTCGGAAAGCCGGGCTTGTTGTAGGGATTCATTGTAGAATAAAGACTTGGAAACACGGACCCGAAAGAGGAGCAGACTGCACGAATGCTATCAACTGAAAATCTACCCAGTCTGGGGAACAGATAGAACAGCATAAGGCTTACCTATGGAGACTCGGTTCCGGGGCACCCTTTTTTTTTTTGCTGAAAATTTTTGGTTGATAGCTCATGTTTGTGTAATGTGTCTCCTTTTCCTGTTTTTGTGTATCATATTTACTCGCCCAATCCTCGCGCACGCATATTTATCGCACCCCCCACATTGCCCTACAAAAATACGATTTATTTTATTCCTCGAGTAATTATCGCACCTCGAAAACCGCCGCAATAATGTCGTCTGCTCGTTTCAGCCACTGATGATGGTAGCGCAGCCATCTGGCGCCATCACTTAAACATCAAGCGGACTAATATTGCATGGAGAATCAATCCAATTCAAGCCAAGCCAAAGTGGCAAGTGCACGTTGCGGCGTGTTTTGTATGTTGTGTCGGTAATCTTGTCATGTTATAAGGCGATACTGAAGCTACACAGCTGCCAAGACGGCTGCTTTGTAGTTGAAAGTGATAGATTATGTACTAAACAACGGCAACGGTGTCGCCGGTAGGCCCTTCGGAGTCTACGAGTTTTGTGTTCGCTACTGGTGACGGCAGCTGAAAGCCACCAAGACGCGTTGGGCCTGCCGTGTGGCTAGAACTGGGATTGATGGTAAACTTTATTTCTTCAGAAGGAAACTGCTGACGATTCTGTTAAATAGCCATGAGCTCAATACTGACATCCTACGCTTACCTTTCGAGGGCTCCTGTTGAGCGACGAATTCTACTACTACGCCCGAAACGCTCACAAGCTTTGTGTATGGTATTCTAATTCTCGACTATTTGCTTGCACTTTTTGCGTCTCAAATAAATTTTCACGAGATCGTATCCCGGCTGTGGCGGCTGTATTTTCGATGGAGGCGGAAATGTTGTAGGCCCATGTGCTCAGATTTGGGTGCATGTTAAAGAACCCCAAATGGTCCAAATTTTCGGAGCCCTCCACTACGGCATCTGTCATTATCATATAATGCCTAACTTTGCATCGGTTTTCCGCCAAAAAGAGTGAGAGTATTATGTGAGTGAATACCGTATATCTGGTTCTCTGCTGAAACAGGCAGGTATATCCTGCCCGTTTCTGTATGTGTTCGTATGGTTTCATTCGTGTGTATATCTGTTCTTTTTACATGTGTTTACCTCTGTACGTTTCATGTTTCTCTATCCATCTTTAAGTTCCCATAGGAACAGTGTGAATTTGCCTTGTAGCAGTGTGCAAATTGGGTTTGTGGATTTATTGTGCAGTTGAAGCTGTATAGTATAATGGCTACTGATATAGCAACAGATTGTTGATTATTGTGAAGTAAATTAATATTCTTGTTATTATGTCAATATTCTTGTTATTAAAACAGTTTCACAAGTAAAATATGTTTATAATGTAGAGAAGCCGCCGAACACTGAAATGGGTCGAACTCTCAAGTGCTTTCTAGTGGGTCTACCCAAAAAAAAGGCCGCTTGCGCAGAGAGTCCGTGCTTGGCCGTTACTGTCGCCATTGGGTATAATACTCGCTCTGTGCTGGCTAATAAACGCCATAACGAATTGGTGGAGAGTGCTTCGATCCCCTTCGATGCCCTTGGAACTACGCTCACGTACCCTGCAATCTACCATGTCCCACGACGCCTCTCAGCAAAGGCCTCCTCCCATGCCACCCCCTTGTCCCGGTGTCCCCAGGATCCGCGATCCACCCATCTTCACGGGCGCCGATGGCACTGACGTGGAGGGCTGGCTCGCCATTTACGAGCGCGTGAGCGTCCCCAACAAATGGGACGAGGACGGCAAGTTGACAAACTTGGTGTTCTACCTTGCGGGCGTTGCAAGTTTGTGGTACACCAACCACGCGTCCGAGTTCGCAACCTGGTCCGATTTCAAGACCGCTATCATCAATGTTTTTGGCCGCCCTGCCGTTCGTAAGCTGCAAGCCGAGCAGCGCTTACGCGAACGCGCTCAGCAGGCCGGTGAATCATTCACCAGTTACATTGAAGATGTCCTGGACCTGTGCAAGAAATCCAATGACAGCATGTCCGAATCGGACAAGATCCGGAACGTCATGAAGGGCATTCACGATGATGCCTTTACGATGCTGCTTGCCAAAAACCCAGGCACAGTAGCTGAGGTCATCACGCTGTGCCAGAGCTACGAGGAGCTCTGCCGGCAGCGTTCAATGACCCGTTGCTCCACACCACGAGATGCAGGGCTTGCTGGCTTGGAGGCGAAATGTGATCAGGTGGCGCTGCTGGCAGACCTCAAGTCCTTCATACGTGAGGAAATCGTGCACCAGTTCTCTCTCCTTCCCTTTGCCCACCCACGGGCTGTTCAACAATCGGCAACTACCATTCTTCCACCCATCCGCCGAGCGATTGAGCAGGAAAATAGCGGGGGTCATGCCTGCGTACCACCCACAACAACTTCCGGCCCCTGTGCCCCCAAGTTACGCCCAAGTGGTCGCAAGGCCGCCTTCAGTCGTTCAAGCGCCTGCACCACTGACTTACGCCGAAGCTGCTGCACGACCTCCGTCCTTTGTAGTGGGTACGCCGGCTGCGTATGTTGGCGCAACCCCTCAGCCTCATTTTCAGCCCACCATGCAGCCTTTCCAGCCAGCGTTCTGGGCGAGACCCACCCCGGCAAACCGATGGCGCACACCCGACAACCGGCCCATCTGCTTTGCTTGCGGTTATGCCGGTCACGTAGCCCGTTATTGCTCTCGACTACAGCCGGCTCCCATTTCTTCTCCTGTTGCTGGCCACCTCAGCCATTCGTATAACGACGAACTGCCGTCTGTGCCACTGTCGTCTCGCCCAGGTCCGTCTGCTCGAAGGTCGCCGTCTCCACAACGTCGGTCTCTGTCCCCCATGCGGCCAAGTTCGGCTGCTCATGAGCGGGAAAACTAGTCGTCGCAGTCCCAGAAGCAAGGACTGCAACGCTATCGCCTTGTGAAAGTCCTCAGAGCCGCGCATCTAATGTCATTGACGTGCTTGTGGACGGATGTTCATACATCTGCTCTTATTGACACTGGAGCTGCGGTATCAGTTATGAGTGAAAACCTTTGCCGCTTGCTTCCAAAAGTGACGACGCCGATTTCTAGGTTGTCCCTTTGTACCGCTAGCTCATATCGTATTCATCCTACAGCAGGCTGTACAGCTCGCGTTGTCGTTCAGGACGTTCTGTATGTCGCCCAATTCATCATCATTCCTGCATGCTCTCATGACGTCATCCTCGGATGGGATTTTCTCTCCCGCAACGACGCCGTCATTCATTGTGCCGCCGCCGAAATTGAACTCTCGCCCTTCTCGCATTTGACGCCAGAAGACGGTCCCTCGACACTGAGCAAGATTCTCGTGAAAGACGATACTATAGTGCCTCCAAGCTCGACGATGGGTGTATCGGTCTACTGCACTGGTCTCTCCGACACAATCGCACTCGTTTCGCCATCCGACTGTGCTTCCAGAAGGAAAGGGTTGCTAGTATCCTTTCGCGACCGTGCAAATCACCCAGGGCAACGCCGCTATTTTCGTGACCAACCCATCTCATACACTGTTACCTTGGTTCGAGGGGAATGTCTCGGCAGAGTGGAACCAGTCAACGACGCACAAGTCCTGGACGTACCCGAAGACTCACGTTGTCCCGATTCGCGTACCATCAGTGCTGTTTCTACTTCTGACCCATCATCTCCTGATGTATTTGGCCCATACATTGATGACAACCTTACGTCAGTACAGCGTTCCTAGCTTCTAGACCTGTTGCAAGAATACCGTTCTTCTTTCGATGTCGGGCGAAGTTCTCTCGGTCGCGCGTCCACTGTTACGCATCGTATCGACACTGGTGCCCATCCACCATAACGGCAACGTCCATACCGGGTGTCGCCTGCTGAACGCCGAGAAATTAACGAGCCAGTAGACGATATGCTCCGACGTGACGTCATTCGGCCCTCGGACAGTCCATGGGTGTCTCCTGTTGTTCTTGTTGCGAAGAAAGATGGTTCTGTGCGGTTCTGTGTGGAATACAGACGGCTCAATAAGATCACTCGCAAGGATGTCTACCCACTGCCGCGCATCGACGACGCAATTGACAGCCTTCACGGAGCCCAATTTTTTTCTTCTCTGGATCTGCGCTCGGGGTACTGGCAAGTACCCCTGGCTAATGACGCTCGACCGACGACTGCCTTCATCACACTTAACGGCTTGTACGAATTCAACGTCATGCCGTTTGGTCTGTCTAATGCACCTGCGACATTTGAGCGCATGATGGACACCGTTCTGCACAACTTGAAATGGCACACGTGCTTGTGTTACCTCGATGACATTGTTGTCTTCGCTCCAGATTTCTCTACGCATCTCACGTCTAAAAGAAGTTTTCGCACGTGTGAGCAATGCCGGCTTGCAACTAAATCTAAAGAAGTGCCGCTTTGCAGCACGCCAACTCACCATCCTAGGGTATGTCGTGTCCAAGGATGGCAGTCTTCCTGACCCAGCCAAGCTTCGGGCCGTGGCCGAATTCCCAAAACCTGTGTTTGTCAAAGAACTGCGTAGTTTCGTGGGCCTGTGCTCATACTTCCGACGCTCCATGCGAAACTTTGCTACGATTATATTACCGCTGACGAAGCCCCTTGGAAGTAACGGGCCCCTCAAATCGTGGTCGTCTGAGTGCGACGACGCGTTCGCGAAGCTCCGCCATTTGCTGACGTCTCCTCCAATTCTACGCCACTAAGACCCCGACGAAGGTGCACACGGACGCCTGCGGTGTAGGCCTCGGCGCTGTCCTGGTGCAGCGCAAACCCGGGTTTCCTGATTATGTCGTGGCATATGCAAGCCGTACGCTCATGAGAGCCGAGACAAACTACACCGTCACGGAAAAAGAGTGCCTGGCAATCGCCTGGGTGCTTACAAAGTTTCGACCTTATTTGTATGGTCGCCCATTCGATGTCGTCACCTACCATCATGCACTATGCTGGCTGTCATCATTGAAGGATCCCTCAGGCCGCCTCCCCCGTGGGCTCTTCGCTTACAAGACTACGACATCCGCGTGCTCTACCGCAACGGACGCCAGCATGCTGACGCCGACGCCCTCTCGCGCTCCCCTCTGCCTGAAGCTGACGTGCTCTGCTCAGTATCCTCGGTTGCTGTTCCTGCCATTGATGTTGACATCATCGCTACCGAACAGTGAAAGGATAATTGGATCGCCCAACTCATCGACTTGCTCTCTGATCCGTCCGCAACACCATCCACGCGTGCCTTGCGTCGTCGAGCTCACTATTTCCCCATTCGTGACGGTCTCCTACATCGACGCAATTACGACGCCGATGGCCGGCAGTGGCTACTCGTGATACCCCGCAATCTGCGGTCGGAGATATGTGAATCCTTTCATTCTGATCCACAGTGCACGCACTCTGGGGTATTCAAAACCTACCATCGCATTAGCAATGCTACTTCTGGCGCGGGATGTACCGCTACGTCTAGCAGTTTGCTCCTGTCTCGCTTGCCAATGCCGCAAACCGTCCGCACACATGTCACCAGCCGGTCTGCAACCGTTACCTTGCCCTGACCGTCCGTTTGGGCGCATAGGTATCGATTTGTATGGACCACTCCCTCTGACGTCCACTGGCAACCGCTGGGCCATCGTCGCCGTAGATCATTTAACGCGATATGCCGAAACCGCCGCTCTCCCTGCGGCTACTGCACGTGATCTTGCGTCCTTCCTACTGCATCGATTCAAACTGCAGCCACGGTCCACCCCAGGAGCTTCTCAGCGATCGAGGCCGTGTCTTCTTGTCAGAAGTCGACGACGCCATTCTCACTGAGTGCCATGTCCACCGCAAAACTACTGCTTACCACCCGCAGACGAATAGCTTGACTGAACGCTTTAACCGCACCCTCGGCAACATGCTGTCGATGTACGTCGCCGCCAACCACACGAATTGGGATACTATACTGCCCTTCATCACCTACGCCTATAACACCGCTCCTCAGAGCACGACCGGTTTTTCACCTTTCTTCTTGCTGTATGGAAGGCACCCGTCACACACCATCGACACGATACTCCCGTACACGCCGGATTCATCTGAGTGTACACCTATTTTCGAGACCTCCAGGCTTGCTGAAGAGTGTCGCGAGCTTGCCAAGACTTTTACGATGCATGAGCAAGAGCGGCAGAAGAGTATTCGTGATGGCTCCGCCACTTCTGAGCCCACGTTTTTCCTGGTTCCCTTGCATGGCTCTCAATCCCCACCTCTGTATCTTGCCTTTCTTCCAAACTACTCCCGAAATATGAAGCTCCCTATCGTGTGATCGAGCGCACATTTCCAGTCAACTATCTTATCGAGCCAATTGAACAATCTTCGGACATGCGCCGCCGCGGGCGCGACATAGTGAACGCGGAGCGCCTGAAGGCTTACTATGACCCGCTCGTAGTGACAAGCTGTTAGGTCGCCAGGCGGCTCCCTCTTCGACCCCGGGGTAATTGTAGAGAAGCCGCCGAACACTGGAATGAGTCGAGCTCTCAAGTGCTTTCTAGTGGGTCTACCCAAAAAGAACGCCGCTCGCGCGGAGAGTCCGTGCTTGGCTGTTACTGTCGCCATTGGGTATACTCGCTCTGTGCCGGCTAATAAACGCCATAACAATAATGAATTCTCAGAAATTAGGTAGTATTTTCGTGCCAGATGCACTTTGTTACAACAGTCCGAGTTGGCTGTATGTCTTATGCTGCCCAAAGTCAGAATGGGTTGCCAGTGGTGCGAGCATTGGTGCTGTATGTGTGTGCGTGTGTGTGTGTGTAAGTTGCTGCTGCAGTGTCGATTGCAACGATCCCGGCATCATCTTTTCACCAGGGGCATAATGGAGCAGCTAACCTTGATGAAGATGGACATGGCCAACTTTAGTATCAAGCTGGCCAGGCCACTCATCCAGTCTCACTCCGTCGCTTACGAGCAAGAACAGTTCAAAAAGTACATTGAGGCGCAGGCGGCCGTCAACCCTTCGACAGACCCACTCGCACACACGAAGCTGTGGCTGAGGCGCAGCTACGAACATCTCCGCAACCTCAGCGACCAGCACAGCCCGGACCCCATTAACGGGCCCGGTTGCAAGGGCCCGGGATTCGCGAGTGTTCTGGCGGGCGCTTACATGGAGCTGCTGTCTTGGCCCGACGACGAGCCTTACCCAGAGGTGAGGCCCTGCATAGGCATATAGGCATACGCCAATAAGCCCCCTCCTCCCCTCCTTCAGCCACCCAAGGGGTGAAAATGGCTGATTGGGTGAGTTGGTGATTCAATATACTTAAAATACGAGTGTGTAGCTTAAACAAGGACTTCGAAAAACGAGAACAAGCGTATGTCCTTGTCATAAACTTTGACAGCACCTTGAGGAGTAAAAATGAAATACATTGTTCTCTGAAAGTGTGATAGACTAGACACACCAAGTTTCAGAAAATTTAATCGAGTGGGTGCTGACAAATTGCGAGAAACAGATTTTGAAGTCTTTAATGTCACGTGCTTAATTTCGACAGGAAGTTTTAAATTGAGACTTTCACCTTGATTTTGTCCTGTAATAATGAACTTACAAATGGTGAAATTAGCATTGGAGTTGTCGTTAAACAATAGATCACCCTGAACCAATTCATTGTATCAATTTAGTGTCCCCTTATATAGCATGTGAATAAGTGACAGTGTATTAGTGAATATGAATGGTAGTGAACAAGTGTCGGGGAACTTGATTGGTGTGAACGTAAACATGAGTCAGTGTTCGCGAACCTGAATGGTCCAAGCATTGGAGGAGTGGTTGCTGGCTGTAAACCATCTGCATCAAATGGAACCCGAACAGCAGCAAGCATACGCTAAGGGAAAGAGCACGCAGTCCGGTTATCACCATGGACAGGCTCTCACAATACATTGTGCTGACCTGATACACATGCCTGTCAGTGGTGATCACGGGAGAGCAAACACCATAGCCTCGCGTGTGCTTGCCACTGTTTGGGTTTCATTTGATGTCGAAAGTACATGACTGAAGTACATGATGCGTGCATGACTTTTTCTTGCTAGTTGTGTCCACTGGTGTCTAAGAATTGAGCGTTGGACGAACCGATTCTTCCGCACTATTAACTTGTCTTCATTTAAGTTCATTTTGCAGTTTACTGTTGCATATGATCACTTTGCCGAAAGCGCTGCCATGTCTGACGAGTCGCTGCCCGCGAGCCAGGTCTAGAGCATTTTTTTTTTCCTAATGAACGTAACAAAAAAAGAGTTGCCACTATATTTCTAGCCTGAGATTTGATTTTATTGATGCAAAAACAGAGCATGAAGGACATCAGAACAGATGGATGTTTATTACTAGTTAATGATTTCATTACATTTAATTACCATGACATGCATAAATATTGTGTACAAAAAGATGTAGTAATAAACTTGCGCAAGCTGCTCTGGCAGAGAAGTAGAAGCTGGAATCCAGAAACGGCGTTCAGTCTAGTTTTTTTGCCGATTGATAGTTTCATTTTAAAATTGTAATATGACATTATTTCTGTTGACATGAAACATCAAGTGCCTCAAAATGACTTTGCACTCAAACCTCATTATAAGAGTCGCATCTGCCATGAAATGACTTCGTTATATCTGAAAATTTGTTGCAAACATACAATCTTAACACTGTATCTATGAGAAAGCTACTTTTCATTTACTTCTTAATAACCAATAACTCGTTATATTCGAGTTTGCTTTGTCAAGGTCTGAGTGTAAATGTGGCGCATTTGTGGACAGTTGTTCATAGTTAGCATCTGAAAGAGTTAAGTTTACATGCATGTGAGGTGAGGGTCAGAGCGTGAGCACAAGTGTCTCTGTTATATTTCCTAACCTGTGGTTCAAACCCTGCCCGTCTCCTCTTTGGATTCGCACGAAGACTCTGCATCTGGACGGGGCACGCTACAGGGCCCTCAAAAACATGGTGCACCTGGCCGCCCTGGTTGCCAGTATCCTGAGCATCACTTATCGGCTAGGGGGTGCCGCGCTACAGGGCATCTCGGACTTCAAGGACGACCTCAAGAGCCACACGCAGCTTCTGCTAGATGGCTCGCTCGACTGCAGGCACGTACGATCAGGTGTTTTAGCTCCTTTTCACACACTAGGGTAGTTTGTCCTCTAGTTTGTCTACCATCGTTGCCAATCAGTACGCTCAAACCTCATTATAGCAATGTTGCACTTTGCACAAAAATAAGTTTGTTATATCCGAAGATTCGTTATAAAGATATATTCCTATTACTGTATCTATTGCAAGACTATTTTTCATTTACTATGTTATAACCGATAATTCGTTATATTTGTGTTAGCTAAATCGATGTTCTAGTGTTTACCATAAAATCCCGAGTAACCACAGCCCCTATGGTGAAAGATAATAAAGATAAAGATAAGAGGTGAGGGTGAGTTTTGATGAGAGCTCCTTTTGTCGAGCAGTGAGGAGGAGCTGAGGGAGACCCTGAAGAACGTGGCCAGTCAGGTGATCAAGGAGGTGCAGGAGTGCTTGCAGAAACACGGCTTCAACCAGCTTCAGATCAGCCAGGAGCGGGTGCTGTACGACCAAATTGTGGTCATGAGCTCCCCTGACCACCACGTCCGGAAGCTGCTCTGTGAGTGGCCTGCCGCAATGTTTCGTTGGCTGGTTAGCATTTCCCACGCGACAGCATGCTTTTGTGTTCCGCCTCTTCACGCAAAGCGACTGCTCCCTCTCCTCGCACATTATGAAGAGCGGCAGCAGTTGCTTTGGCGGCTGAGAAAGCCTTTGCTCCGGCCGCACGACGTGTGCATACTGTTATGCTCCGAATGGCACGCGTTAACCGCTGTAACGCGTGCCGTTCGCACACACAGTGAAAGCCGACAAAAATGCTTTTTTGTGTGCTTGCATTGTTCCCTCTGTTCCTCGTGCATGAGAGACCTCATAAATTGAGTAGAAATCGGAAGGCGTTTGATTTGTATTCAAAGCTGAACGGGCACCCCCCCCCCCCCTCTCTCCTTTAACCACACCACTCTATGGCTGTTCCATTCGCAGTGATGCGTGTGCTGGACTTCATCAAGGTGGCCATCTCTTCCGGGTCAGTGCGGCCCACCCAGATTCCTCCGGGCCTGTCGGCTCTAGAGAAAGAGCTGACTTCCATTACAGGCCAGTTTCTCCGGCTCGTGACGCACAACAGGGCGGTGTTTGGAGAGATGTATGGCGACATCGTCGCGGAGCTCCGGAAGTAGGCCTAAGAGACAGTCTTCGACCAGTTTGCGAGAAAATGGGATCGTGTGAAACCAGTGTGAAATTTTTTTTTGCCGTGACAAAGGAGAGAGGTGCTCCCTTTTGTTTAGCGGGTGTGCTTTATGTTTTTGGACCTCGGTGATTGACCGTGGGATGCTTCATGCAACATCTGGCTAATGGTTTCACAAATTTGTGCTATTCCGCTGATGTTCGTCACGGACTGAAGAGTAGCCCGGAATGTGGTACAGAAGATTGTGTATTGTAGAAGGTGTCGTGGGTGGCAAAGCTCGCATTTGTGCGCCACAATCAGCAATGCAGTTGAGACGTATGGCAAGTCTCTAAATCCAGTAGGCTTGAGCGGCAATGATTTCGCCACGTGCGATTAAAAGCAGTGGGCCAATCTCGACACAAGTGATTGTCAGTTTACTCTCCTATGCTAAGTAGTGTGCTTGATGAATTATTAGAATGTTGCCTGTTATGATTTTACATGTTTTATATTTAACACTGATCTTTTTAATGTTTTTTGAAAAAAATATAGACCATGATCCAACTGCCTGTGTGTGCTTATGCTCTGCTGATGTTCCTGTGAGGTTTCATAGCCTCTTTTGCTTAAGATCTGGTATCTTTACCCCAAAGAATCGTTTTTTTTAACTGTTAGTACGTAAAAAGTAAGTGAAAATTCTGTGCAACCGCTCAAGAAGCAATGTAAATTTTTCCCCTCACTTTAGAGGGTGTGCAAATCCAAGCAAGCTGTTATCGTCGTCTTCAATGCAGTCTGAAAACATTTGCACCCTGAATAGTGTATTGCTTTGCACAACCCTCCGAGACAAAATGGGTATGTTTGGGGTCCCTTCGTGCAACACAATATTAATCATTGTCTATCTTGCATCTTTTCCCTTGTATTATTACTGCGCATTCGTCACTTCCTGGCCACAAATGATGTGCACTGCTATCAGTGTGGTGTCGAATTCTTGAAATGAATGTCGCAGCAGTCTTTTTTTTTTTGTTTAAATCATGTGCATGTGAGCATTCAAAGTTGTTTGTTGCTGCTTTTCTATGAATGGAAGGACAGGCAGCTAAAAAAGCTGACACTAAATCTCGTATGCCCTGTAGCATACTCGACCAAAGTTATTGACTTCGTTCCGTCTTAGCTGTGACTGCCTGGCTTTCAAATGTCGTGACTGTTGTGACATAGCTTTTCTGTTACTTTATTTACTTACCTACATCACTGCTCATCTTTTATGAGCGAGTTATAGTATGACGTACGTAATGTCCGTACCAGCATGGCATATGTAAGAATACCATGTTTCAAATGTGGCAGGTGCTGAGAACTTTCACTCAGATGCACTAAGTAAAAAGCGGCCTTCTTATGTACGCAACGCTGTTACAAATGCTTTGCGAGCTGTATTAAAACATGCTACTGTCCTAAATCGTGTTTACTTCGACGTAAAATTTTATATATACTGTTTGGCAGCTACAACTGAGCATAACAAAGTCACATAAGTGGCTCAGGGCCCTTGTAAATAAGGTGAAACATAATTATGTGCTTTAATATTCATAATTTGCCTGAGGGAAAATTATTTTTGTGCACTCCATCGCATGTTTATGAAGGCAATGTTCATGCTAAGTGTTTTGGCTGCATATTGAATCTTTGAGAGCATGAAATACACACAATATTTACATACCTGAATGTGTTTATGCTAAAGCAACCTTTGATAGTAACTTATCCTTGTGTTTACCTCATGCAGCAATTAAATACAAGTCATTGTGCTGTGGTATAGCTATAATCACAACATTAATTTTGAAAGCTTGACACTTATGTTATTGCTTGTTGTTGGTACATTTGAAAGTCTACTGAAGTTATTACCTTTCATTTTGGTGCAGATTTGATGGTTGTGAATGCTACCACTTGCAAAGATCTATGTGTTGCCTGTCCTGTGATGCTGTAAAACAAAAAAAGCTGAAGAAAAAAAAGTTAGAACATTAGTACTGTCAAATCCTAACACTGGGAACAGAAGTCACGGGGTGTAGAATCATGGTAATTTCGGGCTGGCCACTGTTTGAGCTGTGACTGGATTAGCAGTGTTTTCGGGCTGTTTCTGGTGCACGTTGTGATGTACTGGTTGCTATACATTTCTGGTCTATAGAATTCTCACCTGTAATTGTGCGTTTGGGAAACCTGTGTGATTGTGCCTTCCATAGTCGTCGTGACATTAGAAAACACAGTCGTCAGAGGGCTTTAGCGTTGTGTTGGATGTGTATATATGGACACGTGGAATGCAATATCATGGATATGGGAGGCAGCAGGAACGCCTCTGGTGTTTATGGATGCCCTGGCCAACTGTGGAATGCAATAGTAATGTTCTTGTGTTTCTACCTTCTCATTCGAAGTGTGAAATATTAAAGAGGCGTTCTTTGTTGGCACAATTGTCGCAAACATTTATTTGTAGTAAAAGTTGGGGATAATATTGTTTATCGCATCCATGAAGCTTACTTCCACTTACCTTGAATGAACACAGAGCCAGAAATGCTCATCGTCAACACGTGGCTAATGTCTGTGTTGTCTAGTATTCTGGCAAGTAGTGGAGTCTTTGCTGGAGCCCCGTCAGTTCCGTGATAAACGAGACTGATACAGAAAACACCGAATTCCGCTACAACTGAGGCTGATTGATACGGAATGTATGGAAATTAATCATACCTAAAGTTGATGCGAAACATGTGGAATTCCTGCATAGACGGGATTCAATAATTGATGTGGGACACTCGGAATTTCATCATACATGACCTTGATGCAGACTAGGTGGAATGTCGTCGGTTATGTGATAGTGACATGACAAGTTATAAATGAGTGCTATAATGCTGTCTGCTTTCACTACAGTGTGATAATTTCTTTTAACTCTGGCAGGTTCAGATGACACAATCAGTGATAAACTCTAAGGTCAGTCTTACGTGTGTATTGAAATATCTGGAGGAACACAAAAGCCTACTTTACCATATTTTTTTGTGAATAAATAATTAATTATAACTGTATATGAAGCTGTGCACTGTAGTAAATGTGTGTGTGTACATCGCCTTAGCTTGATCTCTAGTATCTGTTCACTGCCTCTATCTAGTTGTGTAGAAATATTGCTGCTGGCTCTAAGAGTGCCACATTCTCTATGATGTGTCTATTGATCTAGTACGCAGCGAGCTGCGTGTTTCTCGCTAGTCGCTACACAAGTTCTATATATAGATATAAACTGAATGGGCATGTATCGATTTGGTACTAATCTATCTTCTTAGCCCTCAGTTTTCTTTTTCAACCTATTAAATGCTGCTTGTGAAGCATGTTCAGAATTGAAATAATGAATAGGTTTTGTTTATGTGTCCTTATCGTAAATGTACTTCCATTGACGTACTAACCAACATTGTCATATACGCAATAATATGTGCAAATTGAAAAAGAAATGAAAAGCCTTCAGTATATGTAGCAGCTGTGATGTTAGAAAGGTTGTGGCTGACGAACCACGGCCGTGCCTGGCGTATACATTGTGTGCTTGAAGTATGCTGACCTGTGAACACTGTCACAGTAATCCTTCCTGCTGCAATACACCATGCTTAAAATCTATTCAGCGGTCGAGGCATCTTAGTTTTACTACCCCGACGGACAGGGAAAACTTTGTCACGAACTCCTAGATGCGGCAATCATTGTAAGATGTGAGATTCTCTAGCTTTAAAACCCCTTGTGTGAAGCACATGTAGTGGCTCGAATCTGCCTCTACATTACGTGTATTTATAGTCTAATACAACTTAAGTCTGGGGAGGGCACATCTGGATGACCAAAGCGCAGCAGCCAATCATCTCTGCGATTAAAGAAATTGTTCTGTGGATACACTTGGCAATGCTTTCCGAAGGCAAGGTTACAGGCAGCTGGAATCGTGTATGAAATTCCGCATACTTCTATGAAGTTTTAACCGACCATAGTCCTATTTTTTTATTTATTGCCCAGTTACGGCTTGTTGCGCAGAAAGTTGCCCTTAATTGAAACGCCTGAGTAGCTCTGTGAAGCCTCCCAGGCAGGCAGTTTTGAGTTTTTCAAACTAGAGGATTTTAGAAATAGCAAGTTCGAGCAGCGTCTTAGCGCTCCGGCAAAGTACGATCAGCGATGGGGAACATAAGAACTACTTGGGTTCTTTTGTTTTCAGGACTGATAAGCGTCTGTCAACTTTGGGGCGTGTTATATTTCTAGAACCCTCTAGTTTTGTCTATTTGCAAATCGAGCTTCGTCTAGTCTCCTCTAGGAGGTGCCAGTACGTGGTGCTCTTTAGGAAGGTGATTCGATATTTTTACTGATGTATTTTTTTGTGCTAACCATTCTTGTCTGAATGTATGCAGTCTACACATCTTGCATTTTTGTTCATTCACTGTGCGAGGTTTTTTGTGTCCCTGAAGAAGCAAGACCTGTTGTTTAATAAAATATGTCTGCTGTATTGATGAAACTTGTCTTTCATCATTGTGTGAATGGTTCTATTGAACCTCATCTAGTGTTCCAAAAAACTACTGGCCTAAACAAAACAGATGGGCGCGAGAGAAGTGACATATGTGCTTGCGTCGTTTCTGTTAGTGTATAGGTTGTGTATGCGCAACTTAAGTGACTGTACAAGAAGTCCAATATGGCTGTCAATCCAGTGATCACCGACAAGCCACAGAGTCAACGTTGTAAGCGTGTCTGTTATCACTGGTTGCTGCCAGCTAGGATAATTTTTCACATACCGAGTTTCAGAGTAGGGGAGCTGCTCCTGCATGAGTGTGCTTAACAACCTGCATGATGCTGCATCTGGTTCAACGACTAGGAGCCAGGGTAGCAGCAGGATTGTTGATGTTTAGTTGTACTGAGCTGCCACATCTGCCTCTTTAATGATACTTCTTAATGATCTTAATGATGATTCTGGATAGTTCCGGAACATGTACCTGTCAGTGTAGCAAAGTCCTGTGAATGTTACAGGCATGTGTGCATACAGATCTAGTTACTACTTCTTAACTGCATAGAACTGTGGTCTGTTGGTTGGGATAGTTGATGTCACATTTTGTGAATGGGAAAAAAACTACCAAAAAGATGACTCTGTGCTTGCCTTGTGTGTTTCCTTTTTTTTTACAATTTTCTCTCTCTGGCACTGTTTTCACTACGAGATTTCTCGTGGCCTAGAAATCTCGTAGAATATAGTGCCCTATTGCATTGAACTAAGACCTTTCCTTATTTAAGAATACATAAATAAAAGGAACCTATGTGCATGGGCGTCGGCAGGGCGGTGCAAAAACTAGGGGCACTTGCCACCCTCTAGCCACACCAGCTACCCCTCCTGCCTCAGCCGCAATGCAACATGAGCTTATGGGCTTACAGCCGCCCCCCCCCCCCCCCCGACAAAATTCTGCCGACAACCATGACTCAGTGTACGACTGCGTCTCTAGTGCACTGTCAGTCTGCAAAGCTTGAGCTAAAACATTTGCGCACGAGTTCAAAGGGCCCACTCTACGTCGGATTCGCGCCAAAATGACGACGCGCGAGGAGTAAGTAGATGAAGGAAGTCGGGCATGCCACGTGGTCAGCTTAGAATTTTCCCGCGCACCATTTGAATCACTTAGCCTCGTCCCGGGCGGTCTGCAACGGTTGCGTTTTTCGCGTATTTGAATACAAATATCAACCAAAATGTAAAATAATTAAAAACACATTACGCTGTTGTATTCTAGAAGCGAACTGCAAGAACGACAATTGTATTGCAGCCACTGTACGTCGCAAACGCAGTGTATGCTGCAATCAGATAACCTGGGTTCTGGACTGCGCGCGCTTTTATGCCTTTGTGCGCTTGTTTGTGTTTGTGTGGACGGAGCGGCAACGCGTGGGCTAGCAAAGCGCCGGTAGAACACCTTTTCTTCCGTGTCCGCATATTTCATTCTACTACGCTTACCGAAGCAAAGACGACATGGCTGAAGACCTCCGTACATGGCCGAATACGCCAAGAGCGGCCGCGCGTCTTGCAAGGGTTGCAAGTCCAAGATCGACAACGCCGAGCTTCGCCTTGCTGTCATGGTGCAGGTGAGGTAGCCTACCGGCGTTTTTACGTAAAGAACCCACCTACCGCGGCGTCTTGACAAGATTTCGATCCCTTCTGAGTCTCCTAAATAGAGCCGCTGAGAGCCTTGTTATAAGCTGCCAACCGCGCTTTCATTTGTCTATGCGGATGCGGACGAATGGTCTCCATAAACCTTTGCGCACCGCACCATCTCCGACCCCGATCCATTGCGGCATGCATAACGCGCTAGTCCATGCCGTTTTGTCAGAGGTAGAAGCTCCTCTAGACAAGATGTAGCTGCCAACCCCGCTTTCACTTTTTTTTTTTTTGTTCGCGCGCGGCGGTCTCCGCATGGCCTCGATTCATTGCGGCATGCCAGCGCGCTATTTGCCTGTCTAGCTCCGTACGAGGCTGGCTGCCGTTATGTCAGACGTAGGAGCCCATGTCGACGAGACTAGCTTGGCGTTTACAAGGACACACGCCGGATTCCGCGGCATAAGAAATGCGGCCGTTATATTTTTATCTGCTTGCCGCGCGCGAACTCGTCTTTAGCTGTTGCAGGCGCGTTGGCGCACGGCGATTGCAGAGGTCTCGCCTTCAGTTACTTTACCTTTACATTTTGACTGAAGTGTGTATTGTGGGCGTACCAAATTAATTACGACAGCCATTTAAACAGTTCTTCGTATTTCTATATGTAGCGCGCCAGTGAAGGGTAAATAGCGCTTAGCTTCGTAAATGTGTGTCGCGACGCGTTTGCATCTCGGAACATTCATTTCATCGTTTGCCCGTGAGATGAAAGTAAGAAAATGAATACTGCCTTCTTACGTGTTTGCTCTCTTCCGCTATTGAGTTGTACAATGAACTCGCATCCAGTTATCTCATCACTTATCTCGAACGCCAGGCACGCTAGCGACGTGGTAAAATCGGATGGCAGGGTTCCTAGCGGTCGTTCATGCGTACTCTAAGGTAGCTGTTTTGTGTCGCCGCAAGTGATAGCAAAAAAACAGAAAGCGGTAAGGGCTTGTAAAGCAGCCTCTCAAGTTGGAAGGGATACGACTCGGCCATGCGTCTGATATGAATCGCGCTCTAGAACCGAACGAAGTTTGTCGGGGGGATCGGTATGGTTTCTGAAAATTTACTCCATTCCTTGCAGCTGTGATAGGGCTTAAGTGTTCCGATGTGTCTGTGTTGAGACGTTATGTAGGCACTACGTCGACTGTTTGATGGTTGATTTATCTGTACGTTGTGTCGTGCTAGTAAAGGCCTGAAATCACTTCCCAATAAAGCCTACAGGGCATTTGTACTGTTTGTCTCGTCTCCGGGTGGTGACAACGTGTGATTAACTAATGGTCGAACAAGCTTGATGATGCTTGAAACATGGGGCCTTTCAAACTATACTTTGGGATGGCTTCATCTGGGCAGTGTCCTGCTGACCCTCAGGTACTTCACAGTGAATGTATGCCACACAGTATATGCACGTAATAAGGTTGAAAATTTATGTATAGGTTATGGTTAGTGTCCAAAGGGTTAAAGGTATGCCACAATGCTCAGGGCATGTCAGTTTCGTGGTAAGCATTCCATATGTGTAGGTGTAGGCAAACCTCGACCGTAGCTCTTCTGTCTAAACTTCGCCTGCCTCAAGGGGACTAGTGCATTTTGTATTGCCACATTTGTTCACGGAGAATAGCTGCACACTAATAGTAAATAGTAAAAGACGTGAATCGCAAATAGAACCGAGATTGGACTAGTTCGTGTTACATGTTATAAAGGGAGAAACTGCATGTACAAAGCAAGAACGACGCCACATGAACTGGCGTCATAGTTTTTACTCTTTGTTGCGTATGCTGCTTTTCACTAATAATCATGACTAACATTGCATAGCCTGTGATATTGAAATTAGGGCCCTTGGCCTTTGAAAATTATACCAAGCGCTTGGTTAATTCATGTTGCAGGTTTCTGCAACATGCACTAGTATAATAGTAGGCAAGTGCGTACAGGGCATCGTAGTAGATGAGTGACCATAGCCTTCTTTTTTCATTTATTTTTCATTGATGCATTAATTTGTTGGAAACAACTGCTGGGCCCATATTTATGCATAGCAGTTTTAAGTTTATCGCATATTTACATATGAGTGGAATCAGGGAAGCATGCACATACAAAACAAAATAGGAAGGAAACAGGCTATTGTATGCAGAAGTAGTATATGTCTTTGCAAAGGTTTGTGTGTAATTTTTTTACTACTAATGTTGAAATGGATACTTATATATTGGCAAGGAAGTAATTTATTTAGCAGTGCAGTTTTATGAGAGAAGACGAAATTGTTAGCCATTTTCAGCTCTTGAGGTCGTGAATATCAGATTTTTTGGGGGGGGGGGGGGGCGGCACCATGAAACTGAATCGATTATTGGCGACAGGTTTTACGTTGCTGCTCGTTTAAAATGATTCATTGGGCTTCTTGTACTTTATTAGGTATAGTAAACAAGCTTGGTGACTATGAGGGGCTTCTGTGTAAGATGTTAATCGGAACTACTTCATATGCCGGAGAAAAAGTATGTACAATGTTGTTCATCATGAAAGAGAACATGCGGGCGTGTAGCCTCAATCTGCAGTGGCTGCTCAGTGTGCCATCAAGTGACAGCTAAAGAAAGCATGTCCACATCAAGGTGTCATCGATTGGCAAACAAAGTAATGAGTTATGGCTCATGGATGAATGGTGATGCCTGCACCGTGTATTCTGACAGCAAATCGAGCATGGGGCTCAAGCGTGGTTGAAATGTTCAAGCCCTGTCTCATGGTTCACATAAAAAACAGCGCCAATAACAAGGGACAAGAGAAAGAAGGAGACAGACTCGTTATTGGAGCTGTTTTTTATGTGAATCATGTCGTACCAACTCGCCCAAGCAACCACGTTACCTGTCTCAGGGCCTACGCGAGCTGTGCTTTGCCTACCAGGCCTTTGGCTTAGTGCATGGTTCGCACCTATTTAAGGCGAGGACCATGTGCTCAGCTGGTTCTCGCCGTAAAGCAGCACTGACATCAAGTTTCAAAATCGAGATGTGCCCTTTCAGCGATTGCTCGGTGTGCTGTGCGTAGGTCATCTTGGCCCAATTTGAATGGAATACGTCGCGTGGAAGTCATTTCATTTCGGCAGCAAACAGTGCATGAGAGTTTAATGGAAATTGGAGTACCCTGCAGCATCGACACTAGTGCTACGTGTTCAGTGTGATACATTACACAAATACCATCCTGAGTGACGATGCCGTAGTAGCGATGACGTGTACGATCCGAGTGTTCTTATTGTAGCGCTGAAGCCTGAAAACGCACTCGCTCGTCTCATCTGATCTTCGTCGCACCAGTTTGATTTCATAAAATTATCAAGATGAAAACCACTTTTAAAAGAACGGTGAAAGAAAAAAGCATGATTAAACGTGTGCTTGTCGATCACCATGTCGGGGAATCGTTGTGAGTTGCACTCATCTCGTTCAAAGGACAAAAAAAGTGCAATGAGGGTGTCTTTTCATATCACGTATGTGTTACACACCAACACGACCACAGGCTATCGAAATGGAACAGCGTATAGTCAGATATTATGGCTAACAAGTAACACGCAGGTATCGTTGAATTTTAGTTCACTGTAGACTTTGCGTCCGCGTAGTACCGTGTTACTACCGCCGCATCCGCGAGAGGCTGGATAAGTGAGGCCATCTGGAGGCGCAAGGAACCTGGCAAGCAGGGGACGTATTTGATTTCTCTGCCGATGCTCATTGCCGATGGGGATATTCCATTGACCTCTCTGCATATACCTGGATGCTGTGCACTCTAAAACACACCAATATAGCTTGGGCACCTCTTCAGTTCTGCTTGGAACGGCTTCCATTTTGGAATCTGAGTTCTGCAAAAGGTCGATCGAAGCAAAAATATTTCACGACGTCGTGAATCGCGTGGATTCCAAGCTCCAGACTATCGTATTCAACCCAAGTCGACACTAGTACGGCGACAGCAATGCAGGTGGCAAGGCATGACTGAATGTGTCCGCCAAGCAGACGAAATGTTTGCGGAGAAGCTGAGCCTGACGTCATTTCTTTCTGTTGAGAAGTGGTCAGCTGTGGCGCGATCTGGAGGTGACCGCGAAGTAGCGCCACTGCTGGTGCTCCGCAGCGCTAAAAGTAGCGGGATTGCCGGCCGTTCTGAATTGTGCTAGATACCAGTGATATAAATAATTAAAAGTGATGGTTATTCACCCCTCGGTTGCATTTTAGGTCACGAATCGCTGCTACAGAATCTATAGCTACTCGCTGACGCAAAAATCTTGGCATGAGTAAATTTGATGTCTGTGCTCCTTTAAGTTTCAAATTATTCTTGGATGGCACTAAACCCCAAATTTTTCAAAGACCTTATGTAGACTTCGCATAGGCTGTGTCGAATGGCAGTGGCAATTTTTTTTGGCGCTGTGCGCATGCAATCGCTAATGCTTTGCCACAACGCTTTGCCTAATCACTAATGCTTCACCACAATGCACATCTGCACACTGCAATGGACAGCTAAAAATCAACGCTCTTGCTGGAAACTGAGCTTTTCCTAAGGGTTCACTGACTTCTGCTTGCACCTGAAATGAGTGCGGTTTCAATTGCTTTGCCCCATAAAGGTGTGAATTCACTGGCAATTTTTTTCACTTGTTTGCACTCAGTGCCCGAGTGTGTTGAAGCACCCCTAGAATTGAACCACTGAAAGCTTTTCACTGCTTGGGCATATAAACAATTCTGGAAAGAGTATGTGCACAAGCTAATCAGTATGAACTTGTCTTTGTGAACAGTTCTGCTGGAATGCGCTCAAAAGAGGACGCAAGGAACTAGGGCTCTAATGTTTAGATGCCAATTTCTTGTTTCCCTTTGTGCAGTCGCCCATGTTTGACGGCAAGACGCCCAACTGGTACCACTTCATGTGCTTCTTCGCCAAGCAGCGGCCAAAGTCTGTCGGCGATATAGACAAGTTTGGCACGTTACGTTATGAAGACCAGAAGCGTATTGAGGAGAAGATCGGTGAGTGGCTTGGATCTTTGGTTAGGAGTAGTGAGTGATTTTCAGTTGCTATGTTGCCCCCGTCTTGCTTTCCCCCGTTCCTCTTGCGCTTATAATGGACCATAGAAGTAAGAGTTTGTCATTCGGTACTGCTTAGTCATTTAGGGATAAGCTTTCATGAGGAGGAACTGCTCATTAAAAGCGCTAGTGAATTCCCAAAGTGAATGGTTTGCATGGTTTACAATATTGTTATGGTGGCCCTTTATGAATGTGGTTCATGATGGGTGAAGGATGTTTTGACACTGAGCCCCTTCATTATTGCAGAGTCCAAACTGGCCACAGGAACTACTGAAGAGGATCTGAAGGACTTCGCCACTGAATATGCCAAGTCCGGCAAAAGCACCTGTAAAGGATGCAACGAGAAGATTGCAAAAGTGAGTATAGAAAAAAAAAAACATCAAGGCTATGCAGTGCATTTATTTGTCGAAATAGGTGAAATAAAGGCGTAGCTGTATTTTGGTGTACTGTATGCTTGGATTGCCAAAATATATCTACGAAGGCTTAGGAGATAAAAAAAGGAGAGAGAAGCACATGCAGCTCGTGATTGTCCGATACAGAAAGAGATCAACAGGTGAAATTTTACAGGATCTGTAATGTGCAGGACGGATAATGACGAATGGTTTTCAAGGAAAAAGAAATCGTGTTGAAGAGGGCAGAGAGTCGTGTTATGTGATGAGGTTATAAGATTTGAAGTTATGGGGTGTAACTGACATGGGGCACGGTAATGTAACACCTGTAGCTCAATTTGTGAAAACATCAGTGATGTCTTCCAGTTCCGGTGTGGATGCGGCCAGCAATTGGGCGGACTCCTCTTAGGGGGGTGTGTGACCAGCTTTCCAGGACCAAATAAAGTTCATTTTTCTTCACTTCGTAGAAGCCATGGCCATAATGAAGTGTGAATTTACTGCAGCTGTTGAGGATGCAATGTTACATTATAGGGAATAATTAAATAAAATTTAAATTTTCTCAGTCTTGCTTGCCTTCAGTCACCGAATTAAAATGCCCAACGAGAGCAAGTCAAAACGGTGGATGCGTGCATATTCAGCGACTCTTTTAATTAGAAGTACAGGTGTGCATTTTTTGTTTTAGTGGCTCTTATGTTGCCATCTCGATCCATGACAGAGTAAGGACCCCCCTCCTCATCTTCTTGAATTATCCTTCATCGTAAAACGATCACTTGTTCAGTGTGTCATGGTAGGTTTATTAATAGAAGAAAAAAAAAACGAAGGTCAAGGTTACATTTTCAAATCTTGCGCCGAAATCTCCGCACATGATGTCATGGATACGAGTTATTTTTTGTACGTTGGCAACATTACCTCAACGAAGTTTTCTTAAACATGGTATGCTAAGTCTGTCATTCCCTCAGGCGACAATGTTGCTCAATTTTGCGGATTAAGAACTGCTTAGGCGTCATCCAAAATCATTGATGCTGTGGCATTTAGAAAGGGAATTTAAAGGTGGCTCGGTAACCACATTCCCTTTTTGCTATCTTTTGCTTACCAAGCATCTTCTCGTAGCAAGCGTGGTGTTCTTTAGTTGTGAAAAAGTAATTTATTGACAAGCCAATATTCATTTTTTTCGTTAGTGTCGCTTTGATGTTTGCCCTACGCTTTGGCTTCCCACTTTGCCATCACAGCACTGTGGCAATATTGTATGCACGATGGGATGGGGGGGCTATAGAATTTGAGTAGTTGAGCTACAATTACTTTTGTTATTCTTACCGTGCTTTTTTTTTTTTCGTTCTTTCTTCAAGGGAGAGGTCAGGATTTCCAAGAATGACTATGAAAGTGGCTATGCCAAGATGCGAGGGGCCATTCCAATGTGGTTCCATGTGGACTGCTTTGTCCAAAAGCGTGACGACCTCGACTACACACTGGGTGCTGAAAGGTAGCTACTTAGATTGATAAGTGTGTGAAAACTGGCGGCATTTAAGGGACTTGGGGCCCTGAAGAGATAAAACATCGCTGATGATTACGATGCTGCTCAATGCAGTAGAAACCTCCACCAGTTGCATCACTCATTGTTCAAGAAGAATTGGGTTAGACTGTTTTTTGTATACAGGCACACAGTTTATATTAAGAGAACACAGTGTGTAGTGTTACTGGCATGGACAATTTTGTGTATCCCATTCCACGTCAACTGCCACAGACGGACAGGGGTGTGACTGCCTTGCTAATAGGGAGACCACGGAAGGCAGTGCTTGGGCACATTCCACAACAGCCGTCGCAGACAGGCCTCTATCTATGCGGCGCTTAATTTCTATATATGGTGTTGATGTCATGCATGACCGAGGCACCACAGGGGGCCACCGCGAAGCCTGTCGTTCCCTTCTCCTCCTCACTGTTGCCATATTCCGTTCTCTGCTGCACCCAGCATTCACGCTCTTTCATCTTTGTTCACTCTGCCGCTTATGGTGCCGCCGACACCACTCAACGCATCAATCGGTGCTCAAAAGCTGAGCTTCAAAAATGTTGGCGGCTTGCACACTTCGTGCAAGGCTAGATCGATAGCAGAGCTTGTGGCCCACCTAGCTCGTGTCGGTTTCTACAGGCTTGACTGAGTTGTTGCTAGCTTTAGCTAGGCATTGCAAGACTTGGCTGTGGTTTGGCTATGGCAAGTAAATGATTAGTGAGCTTGTTAACTGTTTGTCCTAATTTAAACAATCTAACTCTCCTAATTAGTCTGGTCATTTGAGTGCTTAATCAGTGTATACTTAATTAACAAAATCTTCATTAACAAATAAGCTTAATTAGGAAGTTCTTATGAATATGACTGCAAGGAGCACGACGGCGGAGCAATGCACTAAGATGTGTAAGCTGATCATGATTCTGATAATTTTTGTTGATTTCACGGCCTAGCGTCGTACTAAAACATCTGTGCTATGAAAGAGTTCAGCAGCTCTTGCCTTACCGGGAGAATAGGAACAAGTGAGGCATTACGTCTTCGTGCTTGTTATACTACTTTCTTGTTGTTTTTTTTAATCACATTGCACAATGCCTCCTCCCAACTGTTGCATTCCTGCGTCCCAGGAATTGGAGCACCATGCACATGCCGAGCAGCAGAACACTTCATTTGCTACAGGTGACGACGGCAGCCGTGTTCATATCCGCGCAACGATAAAAAGTGGCTATGTAAAATGACAAGTCCATGCGATAAAAAGATCAGATTGCCATATCAGACGCCGCTGGTCGCCTACTAGTCAACAATCAAGAGATCATTGATTAGTGGAGAACTGAATGTACCAATACGCATGTAACTGACGCACCTTCAATAGCCGCATTTCTTTATCTTGCTGGAGCTCGTTGTTTCGCGTGCATCACCACCGAAATCTGTGATCTATGAAATCTTTGCTTGAAAACCTTGCAGAGAAAAAGTGTACGTTTTGTCCAGCATCTATTTTCGTAAAGTCGACTACCTGCTGCCGGTCACATGCTACAAGCAAACGCTGTAGCACCGAAAGGCGGGCGAGTTGGAACTTATCCATAGTGGGCAGCGCACAAAAGGAAACACACAAGAGAAGGAAACAGGACAAGCGCTGGTCTAACAACTGAAAGTTTTATTTGAAAGAAAGCATAAATATACATGTGTACACAGAAAATCAAGTGCTACGCAAGATTACTTCCGATCAATGAAACCAATCTCCTGTTCAGATAAAGAAACAGATGGCTGGCTAACGCAAATGCCAACACTCTTCGCCATGTGGTAAGCCTCAGCAATCTCACGTGTCCTTTGATTATGATGGCGGTCGATGATTGCGGTTTGCTCAAAAGAAGGAATACAACCGCAATCGCGGCAATGGCTGGCGAGGTGAGACAGAACCCCACCCTTTAAAGAATTTTCATGCTCCCGTAGCCTAATATTAATACATCTACCGGTCTGTCCTATGCAGACACTCCCGCACGAGCAAGGAATTTTATAGACTACCCCGGTCGAACATGCAGTATACTTCTTAACGTGCTTGATTGAACAAGTGTTATCAACCGCCCTCGTAATTCCCTTAACGCGTCTATGAATCTTGCCACATAAGCTACCCATTTATTCCCACTTGAAAAAACAACGTCAACCCCATACTGCCCCCCAACTTTCTTTAATCTATGTGAAATGGAATGTACATAGGGAATCACTGCAAAACGCTTTTGCTCGCGTTGAGAGGTTGCTGGTTGGTTGGTGGGCTGCGCGTTACTATTTACTCTCTTTAGCAAACGCTCGGAAGCAGAAACGAGAAAGGCGGTGGGAAAACCCGCTGTCTTAAGCCGATCACACTGATTACGAAAGCTTTCCTCTGTGGCATGGAAACAAGATTTTGCGACAGCTGCGTGAAGGCATGAAGTGACTATACCATTTTTTACCAGTTTAGAATGAGCAGATTTAAAGTTTAGGAGGGGTTTAGCCGACCTGGGAGCGTATAACCAACAGACATGCGCATCCTGGAATCGCAATGTTAGGTCAAGGAACTGAAGCTCATTCTTTTCATTGGGAACTTCACACGTAAACTGAAGACCCTGCCCCCTTTCCCTAAATGCCTTGAGAATGTTCACCTTATCATGTAAGCTACTAACACTATCCAAAAAAACCAAGTAATCATCCACATACCTAAATATACGAGTCCCCCAACCCTCAAAATCTCTTTCTAGATCGCGATCAATTCTACTCAACAATATGTCACTTAGGACCGGGGCAACTCTGGAACCTATGCATACACCTGAGGCCTGAACAAACAAATCCCCCTGCCAAGATTCTACTTTTGTTTCTTGGCAGGGGGATTTGTTTGTTCAGGCCTCAGGTGTATGCATAGGTTCCAGAGTTGCCCCGGTCCTAAGTGACATATTGTTGAGTAGAATTGATCGCGATCTAGAAAGAGATTTTGAGGGTTGGGGGACTCGTATATTTAGGTATGTGGATGATTACTTGGTTTTTTTGGATAGTGTTAGTAGCTTACATGATAAGGTGAACATTCTCAAGGCATTTAGGGAAAGGGGGCAGGGTCTTCAGTTTACGTGTGAAGTTCCCAATGAAAAGAATGAGCTTCAGTTCCTTGACCTAACATTGCGATTCCAGGATGCGCATGTCTGTTGGTTATACGCTCCCAGGTCGGCTAAACCCCTCCTAAACTTTAAATCTGCTCATTCTAAACTGGTAAAAAATGGTATAGTCACTTCATGCCTTCACGCAGCTGTCGCAAAATCTTGTTTCCATGCCACAGAGGAAAGCTTTCGTAATCAGTGTGATCGGCTTAAGACAGCGGGTTTTCCCACCGCCTTTCTCGTTTCTGCTTCCGAGCGTTTGCTAAAGAGAGTAAATAGTAACGCGCAGCCCACCAACCAACCAGCAACCTCTCAACGCGAGCAAAAGCGTTTTGCAGTGATTCCCTATGTACATTCCATTTCACATAGATTAAAGAAAGTTGGGGGGCAGTATGGGGTTGACGTTGTTTTTTCAAGTGGGAATAAATTGGGTAGCTTATGTGGCAAGATTCATAGACGCGTTAAGGGAATTACGAGGGCGGTTGATAACACTTGTTCAATCAAGCACGTTAAGAAGTATACTGCATGTTCGACCGGGGTAGTCTATAAAATTCCTTGCTCGTGCGGGAGTGTCTGCATAGGACAGACCGGTAGATGTATTAATATTAGGCTACGGGAGCATGAAAATTCTTTAAAGGGTGGGGTTCTGTCTCACCTCGCCAGCCATTGCCGCGATTGCGGTTGTATTCCTTCTTTTGAGCAAACCGCAATCATCGACCGCCATCATAATCAAAGGACACGTGAGATTGCTGAGGCTTACCACATGGCGAAGAGTGTTGGCATTTGCGTTAGCCAGCCATCTGTTTCTTTATCTGAACAGGAGATTGGTTTCATTGATCGGAAGTAATCTTGCGTAGCACTTGATTTTCTGTGTACACATGTATATTTATGCTTTCTTTCAAATAAAACTTTCAGTTGTTAGACCAGCGCTTGTCCTGTTTCCTTCTCTTGTGTGTTTCCTTTTGTGCGCTGCCCACTATGGATAAGCAAACGCTATTTCAGCTGATTGACCAGGGCCAAATGTCTTTGAGCAATGCCCTAGAATAACCTTTTTTCTACAAAGCTGGTGGTAAACCGTGATGCTTCTCAACTGGTATAGAGAGCTTTGTGCTGAAGGCACATATAGCAGAGCAACAGTTGGCGATTCACGATTTCTTTAAGAGGTCTGATCAACAGTAAATGGCCAATAAACTTGTGGGCCTTAACCTTCTGCTTTTTTTTTCATTGCGTGTAGTTAGGGTTTAAAAATGCTTAAAAATTTTTAATGTGATTAAATCAATGCCTAACCATAATTTGTGGGGCATCACCTCACCCAGAGTCATATATCTGAGAACTTCTGATAGTTCAAACTTTTTGATAATTCAAATAAAATCCACTGGTCCCTTCGAGTTTGAATTAACGAGAGTCGACTGTAGAATATTTTCTGAGTGAGCAGTTCAACATTTCTTGTCTTTAATATGAAATGTATTTTTTAAGGTGTATCCAGTGAGCATGACAAAGTTGTGAACAGAGTTGTGAAAAGCAATATGGTGCCACAGCCTTCCAGGTTTCATGACGCTGGGGGTGGATGACCAGAAGATGCTCAAGGAGAAGCTGAAGAAACAGGACAGGTGTGTTTCTTTTTCTGTGCGCATTCCCTTCACCATTTGGCTTATGGAAGCGTCACTGCTTCGGTTAATCAGTATGTAAGGGCTATAACTTGGAAACTGGTTTTGAATTTCAGAAAGCGAAAGCCGAAGGAAGGCGGGGATGTGGTCGACGGGCCGTCGGCTGCCAAGCAACCGAAGAAGGAGGTCGACCTCGAAGAGGAGAAAGCCCTCAAGGTAGAAGACGAGGCGTCTTAGTGGACATCGCCGTCTTGTTCTCTTCCTCTGTAGCAGTGCCGATGTCCCAGCTTTTCACCCCGTGTGTAAACGCCAACTGCTGGGCGTTGAAGAGGCAATTTTGTGAGCCCTATAGCAACTGCACTTGCAGCTCGTGCTTATATTAACAGTATTGAGCCCGCCTAAAAAGCGATGCCCTTGCCTAGAGCTTTACTAGTTGATTTTTGGCAGCCATGACGCTGGCCTAATAATTAACCTGCAACATTAATTTGTGACCTAACTCACGTCAGGGCTTGACTTTTATATTTATTGCTGAAACATTTCACACTTCTAAAATCCAGCAAGGAACAGGTGTAATCAAATTCTGGTATAATAAACATGAATGTAATGAGTTAAACATAGTTAAGCAATTAGAAAGCATTTTGCCCTTATGAGGGTGCACTAGATCTACAAATATATTGAAGATTTGGTGTAATGAAGGCACTTTTGTGTGAGATGAGACTTTCTTATCAGGAAATCGAACCAGAGAGCTGTAGCACTTGTTCACGGTACTTGTGCCATATGTGTCGAACACGTTGGATGTGTTTACACTTCAATCACCAACGTGAAAGGAGTCGGGGTCTATTTGTCGAGCTTTCTCAAGATCTACACGGGCGGGACTACAGCTGTGGCGCCTTTCTACGAAGCGTGCAGTAGGTTTGACATGTACCCGTTGGGACGGTGCTCAAATGTAGGCAGAGTATATAGCAGTTGCGCAACGAGATTTTGTTGCATGTTGATGAAAGTCTTATTGTAAAGATCGATCTAAAGCCCACCGTGCGAGCCTTGCATTGGCTCTGAACATGATCAGCATGCTGCATAATTGTTGTAGGTGTAATTTGCAATTATTTTGGTGCTTTAAAACTAAGGAATGCATCAATAAGTCACCCAGTCTTGCATTTTCTTGAACAGACTCGTGAAGTGGCATAATTGATCGTATGTGTATTCTTCAATAACTTTGATGCATTGCACGCTATGAATGAATCAAGCCATCAAATCAATCAATCCTCTAGAAACACAGTCTAGCCAATTTTTTTCACATAGACGCTCGGAGAAATTTATTGCCAACGCTTTGCTTTGCGCATGGTAAGTAGTTGGCACACAATGGCGCTTGCTTGATTAGTTTGTCAACTTCTGTTCAGTTTATGAAGCCCATTTTGCCGACGCTACACGACATCAAACCTGGCCTCATTTAGTTTCATGCAACGTCTTCGAGAGAACACATGTGAAAAATCTGAAGCCTGTTGTTTGCGGTCTCCTCGTCTAGGCTTTTCTTTTTCTTTCTTCACTCACGAATTGCGTGCAGCGCCCAACATGTTCTACTGCATTTGTGAATTCTCTTGTCAGTCATTGCCAGTTTGTTCAATGAGAGTTCTCTGAAATAGCCAAAAACTGTGCAGAAATTTTTTTTCATCCTGTGTGTGATTTGTGCTTGTGAATACTCTGTTTTCCTATCTAAATTTTTTTCTGAGATGCATAAGGTTCCTTTTAATTTGTTGTCTTTCCTTTTGTTGACTTTCTATTTCTGTATATTCAGCTTTTCTTTTGCTTTTTATTTTTTATATCATTGCTCTTGTAGCTGTTGCAATTCGTGTTTGGACTGTTTTTTCTCTTTTGCACAGTGTTCAATTGCATTCTTTTTTGGAATGTCAATTGTTTCATCAGAACTCTTTTTTTCTTTGCTTGTGTGTGTAACCTATTCCTTTTTTTTCTTTCTTCCTCTTCAGTTCTTGAGGCTTTGTGTTTGTGCTCATGTCTGGTTATCTGTGCATGCATTTTTTTTTTTTTGGATGTCCCATCATCCTTTTTTTTCTCTGGTGTTTCTGGCCTATATTTATTTTTTTTTCCTTTTATATTAAAATCATTCCTCTCTGTGTTGTTTTCTTCTCTGAACTTTTGTGGCATGACTTTTCCGCAGACCTTAATAAAAGTAGTCAGAACTGGGTATGAGTGTTTGTGTCTGTTCCTCTAGTTGGGAAGGGCTTTGGTCAAGTTAGGAATTTGGACACCTTTTATTACACTAATTCAACTTTGGTGGCAGTGATTCGAGTTTAGGTGCATGTTATCTATGTCCACTGAACAAGGTATGCATAGGCAGCAATTGGGGTTCTGTGGATAATAATTTGGTTGAATAGCTACGAATCAGATAAGTTGAACAGTATGTATCGCAAATAATGAAAGAAAATGAGCCTTTTTATTAAGATTCATCTTTCAGAATATTTTTAAGCAGTAAATATAGACTTGTGGATATAATTTTTTCTTTAGTTTCTAGTGAAGTGAAAGTGAATTGTAGTGTAGCAGGATTTGGGCAGTATTAATGTGCAATGTATACGTGGTAAAATACATTGTTTTTGGATTTGCCAAGCTAAACCTCTATAGAAATTGTGGTCCAGGTACTGTATACACTTGACCTTCCAAGTGTGGCTGTGGGGATTCGCCCTGTATTTTTTGTTTCCCACACATTTAAACTTAAAAAAATTTATTGTGTTGCAAATACAATCTACTAATAGTAAGCTTGAAGTATGGAGCATCGAAGGCAGTGATTTCATCTGATTACATTGTTTGACAGCATAGCAGACCCGCACTGCTGCGAAAATGTGCTGTTGCGTCATTGACAGAGAAAAGGTTAAATGTGACAAGCTGAGAAAAAACTAGGGCAGCTTCGCCAGGAGGAAATGTTTAGACAATATCAGGCTTTCTATGAAAAGTCTTCTGGAAATGGCTCCGTTAATTGTTTTCTGTTTGTGCAAGTCTTCTCTTTAAACAAAATGATGCTGCTACCGTTAGGTATTATTGTATGAAAAATTGAAAAAGGCTTCGGCCGGGGCACCCACTGGCAACTTGAGGATAGTGATTTCAGTAACACCCAATGATGTAAAGTAAAACATATTTCAGTGACTGATACTAGTGTGCACAATTGTCAAGCGAACAATTCAGTCGGTATTCTCTAATGAAGCGACGAGTGCCGGTGAACCATGTGCTGCATGCATATGCTGTTGAGAGGCTATCGTGCATTTAACTGTCGCCAATTGTGTGCAGCGTCACAATGGTTACAAATTCATGCGTGACAGTGCGTGACTGTCTTGCATGACTAGCTGTAACGGTGAGTTGTGAGAACTAGGAGTTACTACAAAATGCAATGAAAGGAGAAGACACCGTTGATAACAGCAGCAAGACACGCTCTCCAGGTGAGATGTATAGAAAAGTTGCTGGCTGCCCCAGAAAGGGGGTGGCAAGGTTTGTGAGAAAAGCAACTGAAACAAAGCGAAACTAAAAAAAAAAAAAAAAAAAAAAAAACGGGTGTCATGAATTCAGAAAAATCCATTCACAGTGATCGACGAAGTTATGCCAGAGCATGTGCACAGCACAGATGTCTTAGCAAACTTGCATTGAAACCAACTGAACACGAAGCGAAAGGGCATCTGATTGATTTCATTGCTATAATAGCCAAATTCGCTGATCATCTCTGGACACCTTATGCGGGAGTTGTGCATTGATATCCCGTCAGCGAGATGGCAGCGGCACTCTTTCATTCTGCTGCTGCACAAAATCTGCACCCCCTACTCAACTATTGCCATTGTACCAAGCATCGATGGCACATCACCATGCTGCAGTTCCAGATTCGATTCCTCGTAGCCCTATTGAAGTGTTCCGTACGTCTGTATAATTTTTGTATAATCCTTGAGTAAATTCAGATTTCATGTAAATTTTAATTACACTGTTACGTACAATATACAGAATTATTGGAAGGCACGCAGAACATTTTAGTTGGGAAAGGCTAGATTTAGTTAATTTCTTTTTTTCTTCTCTTGGTATAGAAGGCTTGAGAGGTAAAAACTATGGTAAAGATGTGATCACGGCAGTTGGCAAGTTCGAATCGGGTAAATGTAGTAGCATTTGAAATTTTGAAATGTAGTAGCATTTGAAATTTTGAAAAATGTAGTAGCATTTGAAATGTAGTAGCATTTTGAAATAACAATTTTGTTTGTAATTATGGTGAGAAGTAGTTGAAGATATATTGTGCCTTACAAACAAAAACGCCATTGAATGTCTGCTACTATGTGGCTGGCTGTACAGCTTACTTTCCAAGTGATGTCACATACGGGCTCTCTGTACTGAGATGGCAGCAACCTAGACTAATTTCATTTCATGAGTGTCAGTGCAGGGGAGGTCGGGGAGTTGATCGGTACTCGCATTCTTTTGTTCACCAGTCACACCAAGGGATAGGACAGAGATACGCGAGGGTGCACCAGTACTATTCAGTTAACACTCGAGCGACCGCAATACGTGCGAAGTTATACGTTTGGCCTGTGGAATTTCTTGCACAGCTTCCTTGGCATGGCACGTGATGTATGAAATGGAGTATAAAAAGAGGCCGAATATTTTCAAAGCATCGAGAAAAAAAAAAGTCGGTGTTGTGTGTAATGCAACGATTGTGACACAATAACCACTGTGAGACATATTATTGTGAAGCAGGTCCTGCCCTGGTTTGTGTAATATTGGTGTAAACATTTGAAGTTGTGAGCAGTTGTTCATTTTATGAAGAATGCTTAGTTCAGCGTGAGCTGAGTGGTCATAGCTGTCTGTATGCAGGTGGAGTGGTGACGGGCTACGTTTCTTATCCTTTTTTGTATCCTGACCTTAACTTTCTGTCTATGGACTCATTCGAATCCTTCAACCTCAACATTCGCTTGTGGATGATCTCCAGGGCATGGAGTTAGGCTGTCATAGTTATTGTATAGGATTCTAGGCACAATATTGCTTGGGGAAGTATGGGAGATCAGTGGAAAGTTTCAAAAGGCAAACCCTCAGCCTTCATATTTTAGTGTCTGTAGTTATACAGTTTTCGGGGCACTGCCCAGTTTGGTAAGTTCTTGCAGTGCGCTTTGTCCACTGCTCACACCTGTGTATGTCAGGGCGGCTGGAAGAGGGAACATTCAAGAAAAGTTGCTTAAAGAATGCGAGAAAAGTGGCTGTTATCTTCTGCGATGTTAGCTTGTGCTACATGGTGATAGTGGCTGTGTAGTTCTCGATTTTTTTTTAAAGAGACATTCATCTAATTAGGTTTGCCCCACGAGGCCACCGAAAATTTCCTGCAGGCAAGATCACTTGAAATGCAGAACACCAATCAAGTTACCACATTTTTCTGCAGAAACTGTGAAGGAGCTTGGGCCAGAAAAATACTGCAAAATAGTCACTGAAGAAGATTGTCTTAACCTACAGTTGCATTGGAACAATGAGTGTGAAGTTTTTTCGTCTACAAAGTGGAACATGCTCCCCTGTTAGAAGGCGATTTTTACTTTACCAGCAGGTGCTTTTCCTGGAGATCACTGGTCGGTTTCACCAGTGATATCGTCAAGGTTCTTGGTTGAGCAAATTTTTTTTTCTTGCTCCCTCTCTTGGTGAATTTTTGGTCCTCATAAAGTGATTGATTTTTATTGAAAACGGGTGTCTCATCCTTTGTTCACAGAAACAATCGGACCGTGTGTTCAAGCTCCGTGGTGACCTACAAAAGAACCTTTCGAAGAAGGAGCTTCAGGAGCTGCTGGAATTCAACTCCCTGGACATCCCACCTGGCGAAAGCAGGGTATGTGCCGAAGTGCAGTTCTGCTTAGCATAGAAAATACAGTCATTGGACTATCAGAGCTTTTTATCTACAGCACCCTCTACTGCTGCAGTCTTGCTCTGATGACAGTGATTTTAGTTGTTATATTTCAGTTTAATGGTAAGCAATTGCTTGATACCAACAGCTGTAAATTCAGAAGTTTTTCCATTTGCATGTATGCAGGGGTCCCATTGCATGCTTTCGTAATTGGAATAATAGAGGCCTGAGCTAGCTAGTAGGCACTGACGTTAAAGAAGACTGTGTGGAAAGACAGACAAAAGAAGAAAATTGACTCATCACAAATGACATTTGTGCTGTCTTGACTTCCCTCTTGTTTGTCACTCTCTCTTTAATGTGACTTTTGTTGTTCTTGGTGTTTGACATGCTCGAGCAATGTGTGGTGAGCATTGAGAATGAAGCCCATTGCAAACAGTATTGCACTGACTATTCAAGCAATAATTTCGTGTTTGCTGCAGTTAGCACCATTTTTTCAGAAAGGAATATGCTTCATGCATCATTTTAGGGCAACTCTTTCTTGTGCACATTGGGTATTTATGTCCTGTGCATATCTTATGGCCTTGAACTATCGAACAGTGCGTAATTTTCAAGAATGATTGCCTGAAGTTGCAGCTGTGTGCTTTGGGAGGCCAGATGTCTGTGACTCGAATCGAGGCAAAGAACACTTTGGCACAGCAATGTTCTGGCATGTAAAATATACTTCCCCCCCTCCCCCCCGAAAAAAAAAACCCCAACTAAAGTCTCTGCCCTTTTCCTGCTTTTTTGTTGAAGTTGCGATGGACTGTATCTCCAAGATTGTAACATAGGGGCTTGCAGGTCTTGTAGCTTTGAGTGGCACGATTTTCTGCATTGTGTGGCCATTTGTACTGTATCACAGAACCTAGAAGGACTATATCGCTGCAGTTGAAACTTGACGTCAGAAGCTTTTCAATGTGTTCATAAATGTCGGCATTACTAGTTCATTCAGTTTTTCGGATGAGCAAGTAGTATTATGGCAAGCCTATCGTGGGCACCTGAAATTTATTGACACTTAGGTCACTAGCTGCTAAGACTTCACTTGCCTGCTGTGCTCTCGCAGATCTTGGATCTCCTGTCGGACTGCATGGCTTTTGGCGTTCCATCGCGCTGTCCTGAATGCAAAGAGGGCCAGCTGAAGCTCAAGTAAGTTGTGTACCGTACATCTAATGTCTCCTGATTTTGATACGGACCGCAGCCATTCTCACGCAGTGGTGTGCTTGTCGCTATATGTTTAAACATAGCCGATCAAAGTCGGTTTTTGCTTTCAGTGTGGTTCACAAGTGTAAAATAACAGTAGCCTTATAAAAAGGCAATTTCAGATGTCATTTCAATTAGGTGTCCTCTGTTGATAATGAAAGGAATAGAGATCTTTATATTGGGAGTACGTACAGGGTATGCTCTATATTTGACTTTCTTCGAGTGTATCACCGGAAAGAATGTTCTGCATTTTTGTGTGCTCTCTTTTGTTCAACGTAAAGAGTAAAGTTGTAAGCCAGAAGCTTCTTGTTTTAATTTTTTTCATCTATTTTCTGTTGTCATAATGTGGTTGTATCATTCTGTGAATCCTTTACTAATGTTGCGTTCTTGTCCATGCACGTGCGGTTGGAGCGAGTGATCACGACAAACTTTCGATGCACTGATTAAGCGCTCTGTTTTGTCTTTATGTGAGGATGATGCATGTGAAGGGTCGATTACGATACTATGCAAACTTCTGGTGTCGGCACGAAATTTCCTAAGCTTTCTTTTCTTTGTTTAGCAGTGTCAACTATTGAAGTACCACCAGTGAATTTCATTTAGCAACGCTATTTTTGGGTAATGTTCTTCATAATGCTTTCTAACGCCTAGTGAAAGAGCAGGGGACACGTCGCCTGCTGACTGATGGAGGAGTGTTAGCGTGATGAAAAATGTATATCGCACTCGCATAATGTCCGCTGTAACGTGTGTGGCTAATGTACCTAAACACAAGTGGCCCTGGAAATCAAGTAGAGAAGAGCATGGAGGCAGATGTCGGCTGCGCGTGAGAGAGGGCCGAGAGAGACACTTGTAGCTGCCTTAGGTAAAGGTGAAAAATCTAGGGACTTTAGTTCAGGCAACATAAAGCATTGCTTTTGGCCAGTTTAGTTTGGTTCTTGTCGCTAGCCGTACGGAGAATAGCCAGTCGGGGCGGCAGTGAGTGACTCCTGGCTGCTGTTTTGGCCAGGCAGAGTGCATGAAGTAATGTGTGAAAGTTTTCAGCTTCACGTCTTTTTGCGGTGCTTTCATTCGGTCGTCCGTACTCGCAGGACCCACGGCTACACGTGCACTGGCAACATCAGTGGGTGGACCAAGTGCACCTACGTGACGCTAGAGCCCGCACGAGCGCCTTTCAAGATTCCTCAGGATTTCAAGGAGACCTATCCATTCCTGTGAGCAACTTGTCGTCTGCTTTAGTGATGAATAGTGAGGTGCGCCTGTTGAAAGCGAATCTGCATTTCGCGTTGCACATTTCTTGTGTGGTTCTTCAGTGTTGTTGAATTGAGGTTGATGAAGGGAAACGCAAAGCAGTATGGCAGATGTACCGTGCCTGTCGTAGCGTGTCTTTTGCAGAGGAACTGAATGTGAATAAGAGAACTTTTCTTTGAACACACAGAAACCATCACAAAGCGCAAGCTTTCGCAATATGCTTTCTCTAATAAACCTATCTGAGCGTTACACAACTTCAGTGGATGCGACCAGTGAATTTGGGTTTTGAACGAAACTTGGTGACAAAGTGTTTGAGTTGGCATAATTAGCTCATTTGTTGAGGTGGACGTGAGTGTGTACCTGTGACTGAATGGAAGTGACTTGTGAATGTGAGGGAGCATTGATGTGCAAAAGTAGGAACGTTTGTGAGTGCCGTTGAATGAATGAGTACGCGACTTGCATACACATGTTAGCAAGTGAGCGTGAGTGAATAATCACCCTATTGGTAGAACTGCTCCAACGTTCTGCCTAATGGCAGTGCTCTTACTGGTCTTTCCACGGGCTTACTGCGACGCTTCGGAGATTCAAATACTCGTTGCTCATGTCCCATATTTTGCACACTACTCGTTGGCGTTAAAACTGTGCTGTGAAACTTCTCCGTCATGCCATCTCTGGGTATTTTAGTGGGGACGTTAAAAGAAGGAGTGCCTGCCTTTGACAAATATATTCTTTGGCCTTGCTTTCAGTAATAACTACAAGAGCGTCACGAAGAAACGCATCTTCCCAAAGAACCTGCCGAAGCCCTCGGAGGCGTCGACGTCAACTAAGTAAGTTGTGGTCTGAAAGCATGCAGGCGCACCTAACCGCTCTTCAAGTATTCAGCTACAACGGTGTCCTAATCCCGGTATTTGCTGATGAAGATAGTGTTTTTCAACCCCTATTGTTGAGGCCGCCATAGAAACAAGAGTGCTTAATTAATGGGGATATTTAAGATATGCCAACATAGTCTAGTGACTATTGATTGAAAGTATGCAAGGCTTTTTTGATTTTAGGCCTTGGTTATTTTACATCAAAATAAACTATCCATTTTCAAAAGCAGTTGAAATTGTGTTAAATAAATAATTAATTAAAAAGGCTTGTACTCTAAATTCTGCTCCCATGCTTGCATTCTACACACATACAGGTTTCCATTGCAAAAAAAAAAATATATTGTTGTACCTGCCCTAGCTGCAGAGATATTGAGGCCTCAAAATTGAACAGTCGCAAATTTACTTTTTTTTGAGAAAAATGGGAAAAACATAAAACACACAGCTTCTCCAAAAAGCAACAATCGTGGTGCGCACGTTTTGTAATCCTGATAAAGGTGTTCATAAGTTCGTTGCCGACATTCTAACACAGGTGTTGGCAAATTATAAAAAAGCCCCGCAGTAGATTCCCTATTTTTTTTTGCAGGTTCTGCATGTTAGCAGCACCAAGAATCTGGACAGTTAGAATGACATTACAAAAAAATTACCGCTACCTGGTGTGTGCAAATGTGCAGAGATATAGAAAAATACTTGTAAAAACCAAATATGTCAAGTTTGAAAACCGATTTTTTTTTTTTGTCACTTTTTGGTACCAAAGACCAGTCTGCCTCCTTAATAAAAGATTTGACATGTCCCTGTTATTGGGTCTTTAACAACCAGGAGACTCGTGCTAGTGCAATTGAATGATCGCAGGACTTGGATGAGATGTTGGATTTCACCGGAGCTGCGATGGCTCGATTACCATTTCCCGACATTTTTGCAACGTTTATATCGGAGGTGAGGCTGTCATCTGGTAGAGGTCAAATGTTTTCCAAACTGATGGGAGATATTTTCCTGTTCCTGCCACAGTTTCTCTTGCTTGCACGAATACACTTTAATCTCGATATAACTACACTCAAACAGGTTTCGTTATGTCAATGCACTGGATATAACGAAATATTGGTTATAACAAAGTGAGTGAAAAATAGTCTTGCAATATATATAGTGTTAAGAATAACCTTTTGTAACGTATTTTCGGATATAACAGTTATTTTCATGTAAGATGCAACTTTGTTATAATGAGGTTTGAGTGTAACACTGATATAATGAAATATCGGTTAGAAAGAAGTAAATGCAGAATAGTCTTACAATAGATACAGTGTTGGGAATACACTTTTATTACGAAATTTTGGGTGTAGCCAAACATAGTGAGGTTTGAGTGTATTCATAACATGCTGAATGTTTGTTGTCTTTATAACTTTCCCGATGAGAGGTACTGCTAAAGCTGGATATATCGAATTTGTAGGGGATCGCAAAAGATTTCAATTTATACATATTTTGATATATAAAGTAATGTATTCCATATATAATAGATATGTTGAAAGGCATTTTGCAACTGCTGGGTATACAAAATACAGTTAACTCACAGTGAACAGAAATCTTTTTTACGAAACTGCTGTTTAAATGAAACAGCTGCTTTTAATATGGTTGGATTCGTACTTGAATTCTGCACGCTTGTTTCTTTCTCAGTAAGTTAAATGGGACACATTTCCCAGTCCCTTCATATTTCGTTGAACAAGAGTCTCTTGCAATTCGTGATCTGTGGGTTCGATTGTATTATTGTATTCCAGTTCTCTCTCTCCTTTATACAGTTATTCTCAATATGAATCGCGATGCAGTGCCCATGCTTGAAAGAGCCCCCAAATGTTAGCAGTGACTGGTGAAAATCTACCTTGGTGAAAATCTACTTGAGTGAAAAGCTACCTTGTCCTCGTACGTCACTGCTGGGCTGACATTGCGGGGCTGAATAAACCACAGGCGCTCTGTCGCAGCTGGCACTGAATGCAACAGCATGTTTTTTTGTAGAACTAGTTTTGACTTGGTGTGTTAAGCATATTTGAAAGTAAAAGGTTGCGTGAAACAAAGGCACGTTCACGAGGTTGCGGTTGGTTCTGTATCTTTTCCTGTGAATGTGTTTGTGTTCTAAGTGCCCATCTTTAATCTGAATGTTTCAGTGGCAGTGTTGGCAAGCAGCGCCCCCTGGATGGCCTGGAGGTGGTGTTCAGCAAGACGACGACGCCCGTCGAGGAGCTGAAGAAGAAGGTGAGGTCCCTTGGTGCCAAGGTCGCGCCCAAGGCGTCCGACAAGACGCTGTGCCTCGTCGCCACAGCTGGTAAGTCTGATGAAATTCTTTAGGTAGTGTGCTTTTGGGAGAGGGGAGATAACATTCAAACCTTATTATAACAAAGTTACAGTTGCCACAAAAATAGCTTGTTATACAGTCAAATCTCGATAATTCAAACTCGAAGGGGCCCAAACATTTATTAGAATCAATGAAAGCTAAGTAAACGGAGAGCTCCCCATGGCGTGGCGCATGTGCATTGAGCTAACACACGACGGGGGAGTTTAAGAAGGCTTGCATTTATTCACAGGACATCCGTCATTTATTGAAGTAATCGGTGATGCGCATCTGTACACGTTTGCCTTGCAGAGAGTCAATCAATTTTGCACGCAGCTTGCAAAGCATGTCTACTGTGGCTTCAGCACTCTCTTGGCAAGAGAAGTCGCGCGCGGCAATGTCCAGCATTGACACTCTCTAAAGACGACAACATCGACTGCATCTCCACTACTACCCTCTGTGCCAAAGCCACAGCATTGCCAGCACGTGACGGGAAAGGAGGAGCGTCTCGACATGGAGAGAAGCAGATCGGCATTTTAATGAAAACCAACACTCTACAACAGCTTCTTCTTCTTCTTTTTGCTTTCTTCACGTTTGCGCGCATCGTTGAAGAGAGAAGGGTTACATGGCTGGGACGGGAAAGGGGGAAGCGTGACCCCGGCACGTGATAGAGAGCCACTCTTCGCGACAGCTTTTTTTTTCCTCTTTTTCTTTGCGCGCGTCGTTAGAAGGAGAAGGGTCTTTACGTGGCACGTCGCAGATCGGCATTTGAGAGAGAGCAAACATTTCATTGCAGCCTTTTCTTTCCTTTTCGTTTCCTTCACGCGCAGCGTTGAAGTGTCGGAGGTGGCGCCGCGGGGTCGGGTGGGGTGCTGAGCGCATTTTCGGAGCGCGGTATGTTCGAATTGACCGTCGCAAGTGCTTGCGCATTTGAATTACAGGGCGTTTTCGCCCATTGGAATACACATAGCTTTGACGAGACCTCATCGTGAGTTCGAACTAACCGAAAGTTCGAATTAAGCATGTTTGAATTAATGAGATTTGACTGCATCAGGAAATTTGTTATATGAATGATTATTTGTAACACTATCTGTTACAAAGCTATTCTTCACTTCATTGTATACAATTTCTTATATTTAAATTCAATATATCGAGGTTTCAGTGAAGTGACTGCAAAGTGTAATAATATGGCAGAACTATGCAGTACTTTACTCCCTTTGGAAGCATTGCAGGGACATAAGTGGCTGTATTCTATAATGTCCCTCTGCTCGAAGCTCCACCTTGACTCGAGAAAGTTGAGGGCATTGCCACTCCCCTTGGTAGAAGCAGTCATGGCATATGAGTGATAATCTGCAGAAATTCTCGAAGGGCAAGGCAAGACGTTACCGGCAAGCAGCTGTGATCTGAAGGATCTCAATTAGCTGCTGGCTAATCAAAAAGCCTTTGTGGTCCAGGTTTGGTGCATGGGGTGCTTGATCAGCGTAGTTTCGTCTCCGTTCATTTATTTAGGTTCACTAGGTTCAGCTGTAGTATTGTAAGGAGCTCAGTCAACTTCACAAATAGGCCATGGCTTAAGCTTTGGCTGTTCAGCACAGGCCTTTGCTCAATACAGAGGAAGTCAAGAAGAAGAGCAAGCGTGTCAAGGAAGCGGAGGCGCTCAATGTGCACGTAGTGTCCGAGGACTTCATAGACTCCCTGGCGAGCGGAGGCGCTGTCACCGATATCGACAAGTTCAAGCTTGCATCGTGGGGTGGCGACGTGAGTATGAGCATAGACGCGAGTTGCGTTATGCATGGCACATTGCCACTTTTTCTGAAGCTATTACAGTTGTTCCATTTACCTGATCGTTTAGCACCCAGAACCTGACATTTGTTCAGGTGTTGTGGCTTCAACATAGGCCAGTTATAACATCCAGAACCAATGAGATGTACCGAAAGAAAAATGTCACTACGGCTCTACTATTGGGAGATTAGAACAGGGCACTTGCAGAATTTATCATCGCGATCTGTAATTTGTTTCTACCTAAGATACATGTCGCTTTTGTACAGCTCTGTGTGTATGGATTTTCATGCCTTTGTAATCTAGATGGTAGCTCAAACCTCAACTCACAAATGCGCCACTTTTTCTTGTAATCCAAGTATACAGGATCTCTTGGTGTTTCGTTGCTGCTGCTGTATGTATTGTGCAAAATAACTTATTGGTGCTGGTTTAAAGACCCCCTGAGAGAGTGGAAATTTGTTTCCAGTGTGCTCTTGTAATGTGGACCTTGGAACATGCTTGGCTGCTCGAGTGAATGTGGCCCGGTTATTGCGAGGTCCCACACGAAGGACACCAGGCTTCTCTATGTGGGGCAGGGTGTGTGCAGCTCAAAGCCCTGTACAGACATGGAGCACACAGATATGGTTTTCATGCATGCCGCGTGTTGCTGTGTGTCCTCAGTCAACATGCAGAAATACTGCCCCCATAATATTTCAAGAAAGTACACTCAAACCTCGACATAATGAATCCGAGATGTAGCTGAATACTGGTTATAACGAAGCAAATAATGGTCCTTGCAATAGATACAGAGTTAGGAACATACCTTTATAACGAATTTTCAGATGCAGTGAACGAAGTTTCGTGAAAGATGCAATATCGCTATAACGAGGTCCGAGTGTACAGTCCTCACTCCACTGGCAGTAAGCTGGTGGTCTGGGAAAACTGTATTTATGCAGCTTGGTTTTTTTGTTTAGATGCTTTGATATTCCAACCAGTTTCCTCGGGAAAAGAAAGTAGCAGTAAAATTTGTAAAAAATTGGTGACGCTACGGCAGCAAATGTGATACAAATGAATTAGAACAATCAGTGAAGGCTCTTATCTTGAGAGCCTTCACTAGTCTACAATAACCAGTGATTGTAGGTTGCTCGTGAATGTAGTAGGCTCCACAGAAGCTCTTTAAGGGACTATAAAAAGAAAATAATTTTTCACGTATTAGTAAAGTGCAATTTCACAATCTGGAAAACACTACTCTTACCGTGAGATGGCCCTTGGTAAATGAGAAGACGCAAGAAAAGACAATGCGGGTGGAGGTGGCCCCTTAAGATTCCTACACCAAACATCATGACGTCGTAGATATTGATGGCGTCTACCGGGTCCTGCGTAGTTCTGCATCGGTAAAAATGAATTTTTATTGTCATTTGGGGGGGGGGGGGGGGGCATGGACCTAACATGCGAAGTTTCAGCAAATTTCTGCGATCGAAGTAAATGTTGTGAAAATACGAAAAATGCATTTTGAAATCTGACGTCACGTGCGGAGATTTTGGCGCAAAACTTCAAAATCAATCTAGAACCTTGATTTTCTCCTCCATAATGTGATTAGTGTGATTGTTAAACTTATGATGTGAGAGTTCTCAGAGTACAGTTCGTTGATCTAAACCAAGTCATTGCTTCGCTTTCGTGTTCCTTTCATATGGTGTTCTCATAGAGTTTCATACAATAATACCTAGAGAGGGATCTGGCGCTGCAATCGTGTACCCTCATGGGAATTATGGGAAGTAGAGGCTTCGAACTGGATCACGTTAGCCAGTGTCAACTGTCTACGGATTTTTTTTCTACCGTTTGAGTTTCGTTCTTCGCGTAGAGTGGGTAGCGGAGTGGGTGCAAAGGACTGACTGAAGCTGCGCCTTTGTTGTTCAAAGAAGCTGAAAACTGCTAGGCCTGTCAATATACTGCAATGCTGGAGCTGTGTAAGTCGTGTTTGACAGTTTAATCGAAGCGTTTTCCACTCACGGCTGCGCATAGATGTAGCGTCTCGTGCCAGTGCAGGATATTGCATCGCGATCACGTTTGTTCTTCGTGCGTCTTGCCGAAACTCTTTGAAATCAACTGCAAAACTACGACGATGCGAACTACCGAAGACGCACCGCCTCGCTCTTCTGACTCGACTTCACAACAAAACGAGAGGTGCGTTGGGGGCAGACCACTTGAGCAGATGCACCTGGCATCGCAGCAGACGAAACGTTAAGTGTTTCTCACTTAATACTTGAAAGTTTGAAAGTTTGAAAGTTTATTGAAACTTCCTCCTAGCTCTAAGGTCCTCCTAGCTCTGTACTGTGCCGTTATTTACTGTGCCGTTATTTCCATAAATAGATACTGCGTACTTTCGAGGACAAAACAACAATGTTTTAAAATGTTGTAAAGAATAATTCATTACATCTTGATGCCAAATCTGGAACACAATGGCAGAGCAATGCGTACCCTGGTGGTTAAATTTGTTCAGGTTTCACTTCTACCGCCTAGTTACAAAAACATTTTGCATTAAAGTTTGCTTACAAAAAAAGTGAAGTGAGTTTCGATTGGGCATTACGCTATATCACTTTGTTTTACACTCGGCAAACAAGCATCGTGAATCTCAAGAATGTGTTCCATTCGAAGCTGATCCGAAGCCTGTACTCCCATAATTGCCATGGGGGTACATGCGGCACTGAAGGAGCCCGCGTAGACACTAGCGCCAGATTCCACTCTAGGTATTATTGTATGAAACTCTATGTGGTGTTCCTAAAGCACTATTTGAAATGATACTGTACAGTCCCGATTATATGACCTTGAGGAAACCATGCAAAACTGTAGCATAATCCGTGTGTTGTATAATTGGAAAAAAAGCTACATAAGAATATAGGCATTGACACCCTGCCTTGCTCAAAATATGGGTACAGGTTGCCTGAATAAGTCCGTGGCATGACCCTGCACTTCTCCAACGAAGGTAGGTTAAAATATTTTTGAAACTGGCACCTAAACGTTTATTTGAAGGAGGTAAGAGCAAAAGTTCATCCTCTACTTAACAAAAAAAAAAAAAAACGAATCCGACATGCCTCTTGTTACGATAAGTCAGGTCTGAAAATTGCCTGCACACAAAAGCGAAACCGAACTCGCGTTGGCGACTGCCTCTCTTCGGAAGAGTCCCTCACGGTGTCATCGTGATCACATCATGCACATTTTGTTGTGTGCTTGTGTTGCGTGCTTTTGTGCACAGGCTGAGCTGTGCACGTAGAACTTGTTCTCTTGTGAAGTACAGTTGGGGATGGGATGTGCCTGTGCTAGTACGAACGCTTGCAACACGAGCAAGTTATTTTACGTGGTGAAGATTACTGCGTGGCGTCCATTTGCGTGCTTGAGACCTGTGACCACAAACAGCGAACGGGGGGAGAACCTTCAGCTGTCTGGTGTCCTGGAAAAGTTTCCTCGTGTTCCAAGCGTGAAAATATCTGAACCTTAAAGACGAGCTTATGGACTTACTGAAGCTGCGCGTGGCTATAGCTTGTCTAGGCAACGGCTCTGGATGCAATCGAGGCGTATCCAGAAGCGACCTTAGAGCTAGGAGGATATGAACTACCAGGAGAACAAATTTTTCATCTCAAGGCGTACTGTACCCGTCTCACTTAATTTTTTTCTTCTAATTACCAACCGATAGGTGCACAAGTTTTTATTTTGCACTTGCAAATATTTGGTCGGTTGTAGATTCGAGTAAAAAAAGGTGATCTTTTTCCCGGATGGTAACCAAGAGCTGTCGTACAGTGCAGTGTCGACGTAAAAATAGCTATGTAAAACGGAGGTTTTTTAATACGTTATTTCTGCGAGGGTTTCGCCAGGACCAAACAGATTGTTCTCGAAAACCCGGGTCATCGGGAATTCAAGAGATGTATAATTGAGGTTCCACTGTACTTGCATGATGTCTTTGGTGTATCGCACTTTTCATACTTTCATTGATTTCCCGGACCTTGTGATACGCTGGGCCCTTGGAGACTGCGGCGACTCGGTCATAACAAGGTCCAACAGCAAACACACGGCGCTTTCTGGTGAGCAGGGCCTGCAAGCAAAGTCCCTGTACAGATACGGAGCGTACAGATAAGGACTGCACATATGTGGAGTACAGATACGGAGTGCATAGATGCAGAGCTCACAGCTGTGGAGTTTGCCAAAGATTGCGAGAAGTAGTTTTCACTTAATGAGTTAGCAAGTACGCTTTATGCCAAGTGGCTTCCTCACGTGAGGTGCATCATAGTTTCGGAATTGCAGTCTTGGTAATTACTTTTTTGGCAATTACTCTGTCTGTCTTTATGGTTACATTCTGCAATATTTGTAAGCAAACTGCATCTGTATAGAGCTTCCATCATCCAAATTCTTGTGAAAATTTCAAGCGTGCCGGCTCTCAGAAATAATTCTTTATGTGTGGTTTAATCTCACCAAATCGGAATTGCTTAGAATTTAGGTAACTTTACTTTCGAGCAAGTTCATTTTGACAAGCTTCTGCGGCAGGCGAGATTGGCAGCTGCAAATCACTGCGAAAGGCTCTGTCACAAAAAAAAAAGCGCTGACTGTCATTTCTGGCTCCGTTTTATCATCTCTTTAAAATGAAATCTGAATAAAATTTATAGAGCTTGCACTTGGGTCTGTGTAGCGTAGACAACCTCCTTTGTTCAGTGTCTTCTGCATGTTATGCATGTTGTGCTAAAGACGTAAGGACATCTTCTAGAATGTAAAATGGTGTTTCACAAAGAATGCAGGTTAGAAAACGCTTATAAAAAATGTAATCTGATGCTAGGGTTGGTCTCGAAATGCCAAGCTTATCATCATGTCACTGGAGTGCTTTGAGACTTGCGAGACTGCATAATTGGCATACACTGTATTGCCCTAGCTTGGTGTAATGGCGTTGTTAAAAATGATAAAAAGCCAGAAATAGCTAAGCTGTGTACACCACACTATGGTGCTGGCAGTGGGGTGCGTGGAACAAACTAATCTCAACATAAATCTGTCCGTAATGTGTTTGTTGATGCAAACACTGGCCGTTTTTTTCTTCGTTGGTCTCATTTCATGGTTCATTGCAATAAGACACCTTCAACGCTTATAGTGGAACTCTTCAATGGCACCAGCATTCTGATATTTTTCTGGCATCATTGCAAAGCTTCCTATCACTGCTTAACCTTTCGATCAAGCAAAAAATTTATTAACAAGGACCTTTTCATTCCTGTCATTCTTTACAAATATTTTTTATATGTGAGCTCACTTAGCACAGCTTTTAAGATGCTGAAGAACTCTACTACAGGTATGCTTTTTCTTAAATATTTTTTCTCTCTTCCAATTCAGGCTGGCTCCAAGATAGAGAAGTACAAGTCAAAGTCTCAAAGTAAGCGTTGCTTTGTCAGCATGTTATAGTTTTTTTTTTCTATTAAAGGTGTATGAATATTCAAAAAGGTTAAGTACTTGGCAATACTTCTTGCTGATTGATAGTTTGGCTCAGGGAAGTCGCTATTCGATTCATTAACTGCCACCGGAAGCATTAAATGCATAGCTTTTTGAGTAAACCATGCTTGAATGCTGCAATTTATTTGTATCTCTAATTAAATCCACTTTAACTATGAAGCCTGCTAGAGTGATTAGTCAAGTAGCTGAGGCATTTGCTTAGAAGAGTAATTATTGTGAGTCAGTTATATGACTTCGTGCGAGGATTCTGACTTGTGGACCATTTGGTGTAATCATTAGATTTTGTATTTCACGTGTGTGAAAGTTCGTTACACGTGCACTTTTGATCACGATCAGGGCCTCACATTTATTGATCAGGACCAGTAATGGTCTATGATAAATGGTCTGAACTATTCTGCATCGAGATTGGTGCAGACTTCAGCCAAATGACAATCTAATACCCGTGACACACGGGCAAAAGTAAAGTACTTTGAGGTAAACCCCTTTTGTCGCCTAAGGAGACCATTTACAGAAAGGAGTGGCGCTGATGACACACGGCACCGGACTACTGCTTTAGGCGGTGCCTCAGAAGAACGCTGCAGAAAAAATGGCGCTGTTTGTGGAAGCAGCAAGATTGGAAATATTAAAAAGAATCTGCGCATGTACATCACATTCAGTGACGCCGGAGCATAAAACAGTTTTTTTTTATTGTCTGGTGGCTTATAATGCACATACCTGTAATTTTCTTTCGCTTTTTTGCGTTTTTAGCAGCAACTTAAGTTCGTCTGGCAACTATGAACAGTCAGCGTTTTGCTGTTTTTGTTTTTTGTCGTGCTTTTTACATGGCTGCGTCCAGCTGGGTCAGTGACGGCGTGCCGCGTTTCATCGTGGTCCTGCGATGTCTCAGCGCAGAGACAGAGATAAAGCAACAGTTGAGGTGGGCCTGACTCTTGTCGCCCTCGGCTCCATCGAAGATGAGCTAAACCAACGCAGACTAAATTTCAAGGCCGAAAGGCTGCCGCAGTGACGTCAGAGGTTGGTGGCCCAGTTGCCCAACTGAGCATGCTCAGTAAGACTTTTTTTTCCACATCTTTTATTCGGCCTAATCAAGCCGCAGCAGCTGCAAGAGCGGGAGCGTTGGTTCTCCTAAAACGTGAACGAAACGCTGGCTTACTGCCACGTTCGCGGCGTAACTGGGCCCCCACCCTCTGACGTCACTGCGGCAGCCTTTCGGCCTTGAAATTTAGTCGGCGTTGGCTAAACGCTGCGAAGGCAAGAGTGATGAGCCTCAAACAAAGACTCGTCGTGAACAGCTTCATTTTGACTGCTTCCGCACTGTCCCCCCCCGAGCCATCAACCGCGAAAGGTGGGCCTATGTGCGCAACGAACGCTGGTTCGAAGACACATTGCCGTTATTAGGTGACGGCCGCTTTAAGCAGTGTTTTCGAGTGAGCCCGACACAGCAACTGCCGCTGCCAACCCTAACATGATCGCGCTAGTGACATAATGCAGGCGTTTGAGAGTATGGACAGACTATAGGCCTTCACTTTTCACCAAATCGCTGCTGAAAATGAAAACATTTCCTCAGCGCAAAAAAAAAATACTGACAGGGCACCGCAGTGTTGCGACACGTTTTCTTCTATTGATAAATTATGCACACTGTATGCGAGAGTACTCCCTTCCTGCCAGAATAGTAGATGTGGGATCTGCTTTTGCGAAAAGGATCTTTGCCGGAAAGGAGTTACTCCTTTGTCGTGTGTCACTGCGCCCGAATGCCTTTCCGAAAGATGTCCCCTTGTCTAAAGGACTTCAGGGTGCCCGTGTGTCAGGGGCATAAGCCTGATTGAAATGTGGAGATTGGGATTGTCTTGATCTCGATTGGGCCCCAATCGCAATCGAAAGTGACCATGTAGCAGAACCCAATTTGGATTGGATTGGGTCCAATTTATTTGGATTGGGTCCAATTACGGTCTAGAGTTACTGTGTGATACCTGTATCAAAGAATAAGTTGCTGTAAGCATATCTTTCATCTTCCATTTACTGAATGTCTGTGTTGTGACTTCACCACTCTCTTTCTCTCTTTGTGCTCTTCTTCCAGTGGACCGGATGTTTACCAAGAGTGGACCCTCAACAATGAAGCTGACAGTCAAAGGGCTGGCAGCTGTGGAGCCTGACTCGGGTGCTTAATTATTTATTTAATTGTAACACCTTGCTTGCTCGCCTGAGGTAAAGAATCAGAGCCACGAAGATTTGAAATGAGTTTGGTACTTGTGAGTGTTGAATGCACTCACACAAAGTGCAAAGCAAGGGCGATCAAAGGGTCATATAAAAAAAATTAAAAAGAGTGAAGTCCTCTCGTCATCTTCTTAATGTGGAAGTCTATGTTGCATTACAGCTGTGTCTTCCCAGTTTACGCTGACGATTTCTGATTTTGAGCATTCCTCTCATTTGGTTTTTCAAACACATGAGCGAGCTCCTCGACATATAATCCCCGTGTTTCATTCCTTCGAGTAACTTGCAACTTACGCCAGTATCCAGCCAGCTTTTGTGCGATTTTCGTGGCTCTTTTTTTTTTTCGTGCCTTGTGGTCTCTTCGCTATCGACATTTAGATTCTATTGTGCCTACAGATAACAGCAAGGGACAGAGTGTGGAGAGAAAAATTAAATATGCAATTTAGACTACATGTGATGATGTCCCATATTAGTAGTGTTAAAGGCGGTCTTAGTTGATCGATCTGTGTCGTATGCAATGGTCATTTGGTGGTTACGATAGTAGTATTACGTACAAAAGCTGTAAGCAATGGACTCTGTCTAATATGTTTTTGGGTGCACAAAGAAGAATTAATGCTTGCAATATGTTGTTCTGGAGATAGCAAACAAGGGTTCCAGCCACAATAAGCTAGTGGCTGTGGCTACAAGATGCAGAATTTTTTTTTGTCAGCGTGTATGTTGTTGCTTTTGCAGGCCTTGCCGACGTTGCACATGTCTACACCAAGGGCAACGAAATCTACAGCTCGGTCCTGGGTCTTGTCGACGTCAGCAAGGGCACCAACTCCTACTACAAGCTGCAGCTCTTGGAGGGGGACAAGAAGAATCGGTCAGTCTGACGATTTCATTTGTGTCTTTCAAATGATAAGATTAGAGTGAAATGAATGTAGAGGATCATAATGCATCATGTTCCTAAATATGTAATGATTGCCCAAGCCTGTTCAACCGGGTAAATCAAATGAAAGCTAATTCAGCATCTTCATTGTCTTTTTGAATACAGTAGACTCTGAGTAACAAATTTTTTATTAAATGGAGTTGCTGCTTAAATGGAACAACCGTTCCTACGGTGGTAGATCTTGTACATGGACAACGCAACCCGGTTCGTCTCTCGGCAAATGAAACTCCTGTTAAATGGAACCTAGTTTCTCGATCCCTTCAGGTTCCCTTCAACAAGAGTCTACTGTAGTTTAACCCAGTTGCGGGGGTCAAACTTTCTCCTTTGCCTTCATCTCGCAGCTACTGGGTGTTCCGTGCGTGGGGTCGTGTGGGGACGAGCGTAGGCGGCAACAAGGTTGAGGAGATGGACTCTCTGCACGAGGCCAAAACACACTTCAAGTCTCTCTTTGAAGAGAAGACTGGAAACCTCTGGGAGGACCGCAAGGATTTCGTCAAGCAGCCGAACCGCTTCTATCCGCTCGAGCTCGACTATGGCCAAGTGAGACTCCTACCTATTTCAGAGCTGCGAGAGTCATGTGAGAGTAACCTTGCAGTCGTGTTAGCCAGCCAGCCAATAATGTGTCTTCTTTGCAGTCGAATGCGAGTGGTGTCAGCTAGTCGCAGTTGCCTCAATGTCATGTGCGAGTTCTGCGCACTTCAGTCGTGTGGTTCGACTGCATAGCCTCCCGGGAGTCTAGGAAAGTAGGCTTGGGTAGTAACGCCACAGAAAAGTAAGAAGAGTCGAAGCGTAGCAATGCGTTCTAGTTATGTTGGTCAGCTGCATAACTATGTGGGAATCGTCTAGAGTCGGTGCCGTATCATGTACTAATGCCACAGCCAAATAGGTCATCGCCGAAGTCGTGTAGGCGGTCATGGGCATTTCAGTGTCGTGTAGGTCAGCTGCAAACTCTGGACATTCAGTTTGTTCATTGAAGTCATGTCGACCTGCCACCTACACTCAAACCTCGATATAACGAAATATCTGCTATAACAAAGTAAATTAAGAATAGTCTTGCGATTGATACAATGTTAGGAAAATGCCTTCATAACAAATTTTCAGACATAACAAGCTTAATTTCGTGTAAGGTGTAAGTTTGTTATACCCCCGAATGCAGAAATGTTACTTGGCTCGCGACTTCAACTTAAGGGGAGACGCGGGTCGAAAAGTCGCGTTTTTTTTTCCAAATTTCACCTTTTCTGTTTTTTGTTGCTTTATCATCTTTATACATTATATTTTGACATCTGAAAATATCACAGCGAAATAAGCATCAGAAGTCAGTGAAAAACGCGTCTGAGTGAGCGGCAGTGACGCGCGGCATCACGAAATTTACACAAAACGGGCTGCTGTTCGCGTGCTCGCGGGGCCGCGAAGAGAGCTGTCCGCCATATTGCGGCCGCTGGCTCGTGTAGAGTTGTCCTTACTCTCCACGATCCCGGTCTTGAAGTCTCGTACGTTCACGAAAAATCTAAAAAAAAAGCAACAAAAACAGTCTTTTCCCGCCGTTTCAAACCGCGCGCCACTAACGCAGGGCCGCCATTGGCTGACAGCACCCGTGTTTTCTTGCCGTAGTTCGCTTCACTGTTTTCCGGAGTTATTTTTCGCTGTTTTCGTGCGATGGCAAGCCCGAAAAAGGCCGTTGCCGACCATCGGAAATACAGCAGTAAGAACAAGTTCAGAGGGAAGCGGCGGAGGACGTACAAGAAAGCCACCGCCAACGAAAATGTCCGCGACGGGCCAGCGGCCGGTAGGCCTAACATCGACCACGGCAACGTCGACCATGGCAACTGCGACGACGAGAATCAACGCTGCAGTGAATTTTGTGAGTGCATCGCAGAAAAAGATCGCGTTATTCGAAAACGACGTCAGGCCGAATGCCGATCGTGCCGAAAGCGTAGTGCTGTGCGAGTTGGGTGCATTGACGGCCGTCGTCGCAGGCGCGGCAATGCCCCGTTTGTCACGAGAGTAAACTCGCAGTTCGGGCACCGAATAAAAAGCGGAAAGGCCTTTCGGCGTTTCTGGAGCTACACTGCGAGAATGCGGAGTGCTCGGAGAGCATCCTTTCGTCCGCGTACTCGTCGAAGCGGGTCGCGTCAGATGGCGGCCGCGGTGCAAGCAGAAGCTACGACAGCGGGAGTTCGCGTGACGCCTTTGCCGTGAACCTGAAAGTGGTGCTTGCAGCGCGTGCCGTCGGTATCGGGCATGAGCAACTTTCACGATTTTGTGCAGTAGTTGGATTGCCAAACCCTATGCACCATAAGACCTTCCATGCTATCGGCAAAAAGATTCACAGTGCGGCAGTGAAGGCTGTCTGTGAAAACATGCAAAGGGCACGCAGCGTCACCAAAGAGGTGGCTGGTAACAGTGACGTGCCAGTCATGTTTGACGGCACATGGCAAAAAAGAGGCCACAAAAGCCACAATGGTGTGGGAACTGTAGTGTCCTTGGACACTGGTTTGTGCCTGGACTATGAAGTGCTTTCCAACTTCTGCCTGGCGTGCAGTTTGCATAACGACATGGGAGGCGATGAAGAAAACATGGCAGGCGTTTCATCATCCCGTTTGTGAGAAGAATTGCGACTGTTCTTCGCATGCCATGGAGGCCGAAGCTGCAGTGCGCATTTGGCAGAGGACTGTGGACTATGAGACACCCCTGCGGTTCACCATCTTCCTAAGCGATGGAGACAGCAAGGCCTACAACGGGGTCTGTGATGCCAACGTGTACCCTGACACTCCAATTGAAAAAGAGGAGTGCACCAACCACGTGGCGAAACGTCTGGGCACCGGCTTGCGGAAGCTGCCAACGCCACTTCCACGAGGGGAGAAGCTGAAGGAGACCACCATCCAGAAGGTTCAAACTTACTTTCAGGTGGCCATTGTGAACAATCGGGGAAATGTCCACAAGATGTACACTGCCATATGGGCCTCATGTTTGCACTCGTGCTCAACAGACGGTGCTGGAAGTCACAAGTTCTGTCCTGCAGGCCCAGACTCGTGGTGCAAGCACCGACGTGCTGAGGCGCAGGGCCAGCCTGCACCGTGCCACACCCCCCTCCTGACCAAGGCCCAGGGTTTGGCAGTCCTCCCAATCTACAAGCGTCTCACAGATGCGAAGCTGCTTGCCCGGTGCCTCCACGGCAAGACACAGAACGCGGCCGAGTCCCTGAACAGCAAAATATGGCTGCTGTGTCCAAAGACCCGGTTTGCTTCCCGGACTGCTGTGGAAACAGCCACAGCCATTGCAGTCCTGTGGTTCAACCGGGGCCACGCGAGCTTTGAAAAGGTGCTGGAAGAGCTTGGGGTGCTTCCTTCGGAGGCCCTGGTTACCCTCAGCGACCGCCGAGACAGCATGCGCATGCACAAGATGAATGTGCGTCAGACCGCTGAGGCGAGGGCACACCGTCGCAGTGCAGCCAAGAGGGCCCGGGTGGAAGAGTCCTGCCGCACCAGCCGGGAAGGGAAAACCTACGGTGCTGGAGAGTTTTAGACAACTGATATTCCCTCTGGACATGTGTGTATGTGTTCAGCACAAGTTTCGTGCTACTGCGTTTTTCATTTTTGTAAATACAGACTTTCAAACTTTCAAACGCGTTTTTCTCATTTCGCAATTTTGGCCAATTTGCATTTTTTGCGGGAAGTGTTTCGGGCACTTAGAATGGTCATACGACGACGAAATTTGGCACACACATTGAGGAGAGTGCGTAGGGTGCCGATATCTACTTGAATCAGCACAACCTATCAGCTGTAAATATCTATTAATAAATTTAATGGTGGTCGAGTGGAAAAAAAAGGGTAGTTTGCTACACAGATGTTTTTTTCATAGTTTCAAAGTTGGAGCACAATTTCTAGCTAGATATCGGCACTCTATGGCTAATAGGGAGCAAAAGGAGCCATTGAACAACTCTCTGCATGAACATTTAGTATGCGCGAAAGTTCCCGGAAAACTTATCAAGTTTCACCATTACTTGAAACACAACTCCCAAACTATTGCACTTATGTAAAAACTGATTACAGATTTGGAATCAGGAGGAAAAACTGCATCAGTGGTCCAATTTCTGAAGCTCTAAGTTGAATAACAAAAAAAAAGTGCTTTCGAGGAGCGTCTCCCCTCTTGAGCAAGTCGGCGCGAAGCAAGCAGCGGACTTCAAAACGCCCAAGTCAGCCTTCGCGTTTCATAGATGCTCAGGCTGTCTTGCTTGGTCAAGTCAAGAACGAGCTTCAAAGCAGAAACACGCTACTCGCCTGCTAACGAGGGTAATAATGAAGTTGTTCGCATAAAGCATGCATTACACCAAAAAAAGACCATACGTTTTAAAATAACTATAAAAACGAAGGGCCACAAGCATATTCTTGCCATTTTACGGCTAACGAGCGGCACGTGGTGCCTGCCACCACAGCGATGCGCAGTGTTGCTTCTGTAAAGCGTTCGTGGCCCGCTGGTTTTAGTGGCCACCCAAATGCAGTGCGTTTCTCCACGGTTGCTTGTTTGGAGGCGAAACAAGCATCGCGTTGGGTTCTTTCGTCGTTTTTTTTTTTTCTCAATCGAACGCCATGGCATGTATTTGTGCTGACCTGGCTCACGAGGTGACGCGATTTTCACGTATTTGCCTTTCTGTTCGCCTGTGCGCATGCCTGTAATGGGCTAGGTCGCAGTTATTATAAAAAAAAAAAACAAGTTCTGGGAACAAATGTCATTCGTATCCTTTTGTTCAGCTTGGTAAACAAGCGAAAAAGCGGGAGTCAGGACATTGCCCTCAGCAGAATTCTGTCTCGCGGGGTGCAGCAATGTATCGCTGCATGATGGTGACGCGGATAAAAAAACCCGTGATAGGGGCACCACTTTTTTATGTGTGTGTAATTTTACGTAGCGTTGTGCTACAAGCGATGCCTTTCTGAGCAAAAAACAGCGCCCTAGACGGGACGAAAGGATAGACGAGGCACACGGACACAGCACTGCGTCAATTTTTTTTTTCACCGAAATAGACGGGAAATGTCGTCGTGTTATAGAAAAACAGATATAGCCTTTGCGGTTACGGAACACTTCGGCGTCGTCGACACCGGGGCTATTAATACGCACGTGTGTGTAGTCGACACAACCTGTAACGCAAGGGAACTCGGCCACTTCATAACAGTCCGCCGGCTGCGGAAAGCGCACCAGCATCGCGTACAGGTGCTTTGCGATGAGTAGCGTAACTTTTCCGACTGCATGGCACACTGTTGACTACGGAATGCGGACGAAATTTCCGGTGACTGGTTGGAATGTGCCGGCGCTGTAAAACCTGAGAGCCATCAGTAGCTGTAACACTGGATGCACGGGCTGTCTTCGGTTGTCCCCACTTTCACGGAGCGGCAACATAACGAGTAGCTGCCCCACGGCATTCTTCGTGAATCTGTACCTAGCGTGGAATTGTTGCTCGTCGTACAACTCCATCGGATTTCCTTGGTCACGTAAAAGCGGTTCCAAGAATCTTTGGCAGGCAGTGCGCCTCAAAAAATGCTACGCTTATGGCGAGGCAAGCAAACTCAAAAGCGGCCACCTTTCACGCGACGTCCATTCGAGAGGTGGCCATATTGGAATAACACGTGAAGTCGCTTTCAAGCTAGCCCCGCAGCTGACTTAAAACTTGTCCTGACTTCGACCGAGCCAAGTCGCCTTCAAGTCATCCGCAAGTTCGAGAACGATTTATGGCGACCGGCAAGACTGTCTTGAGTCAAGAACGAGTCAAGTAACATCTCTGCATTCGGGGGATAATGTAGTTTGACTGTAGTCATGACGGAGTTTTGTGCACAGCAGTGCTCTGCAAGGCCATGTTTCTGTTACTCCAGTCATGCATTTAAACTGCAGTCATAAAGCAGTCATGTGCATTGCGGATTCATGCTGGTTAGCTTTGAGATCTGTAGTTATTTGAAAGTTGGTACGTTTGGCCACATGGTCATGATGAAGTTGCGTGCACAGTGGCACCGCTACAGGGTGATGTGACAGTAGCTTCACTCATGTATGTCAACTGCAGAGTCACGAGGAAATTCTGTGCACCCCATAGCAGCATATATTTATTTCATTTACTAGTCACATTGGAGCTTACACAGTTGAGTCGCATTAGTTGCGTGGTAGACCGCCTCAGCGCTGCAGTGACTGTGCAACAAGCAAAAAGGCTTACGACAGGAATTGCTTGTCCTTTACTGCATTGCATACTTTCGGCCATGCTGCTTGCATCATTCATCGTCTTTCCTTTTTGCACCATCCTTACAGGAAAGCGTAGACAAGAAGCAGTTGAAGCCCAGCAAGGACTCCAAGCTTCCCATGGCCATTCAAGAGCTTATCTGCATGATCTTCGACATCAACAACTTTGAGAAAACCATGCTTGAATTTGAGGTGAGTCGTCAGTGGCGATGCAGCAACTTTCTTTGAAACATTACATCAAGTTTGTGCAGGAGGGGTTCCCCAATGTTTTTCTTGTTACTGCCTTGTCGGCCTTAAATTTTGTATAGCATTGGAGCTCTGAATTCAGCATGTCTCAAGACCATTGGTAGAGTGGTATGGTTGCAGATTGATAGATTGATTTGATTAGAACAAGACAGAGGTGACACCTTCATTTTTTTTATTGGACATAAAATAATGATGATGATGATCTGTTTTGCAGATTGACTTGACCAAAATGCCCCTCGGAAAGCTGTCTAAGCGGCAGATTCAGAAGGCATACTCGGTGCTGACGGAGCTGACAGAGGTGAGATACCGTTTCACTTGTTTAACGTGTGTGGAGGGTTTGCTGTGTGAAGTGTGAAGTGTGATACAAGACTCCAATTTTGATTTCATTCATATTGCAAACGATGTTTCAGCAGCGGTTAAAGGAATTTATGCAAAGCCTTTTCAGATAATGGGACTTAGCGTTTGCCCTTATTTAAGGTTACCACTGCAACCGTACGCTACGTTTTTTGTGTTACATTGCCTTCATAAAATCTAAGGCTTTGGCATGTTGGTCGCGATGCAAGGCATGAAGAAGCGCAGCTTTATAAACACAATGAATGAGCTCTTTTTTTCAGTGTTCTGAATGTCTGATGTGACATGCAAAATAGAATGGAAAGTCTCATGGAATGAAGTGTAGGTGTGACTGCGAAGTGTGTTAGGAAATTGACATTGTCGGAGATCATCAACTCTATAAAAGGGACGTCAACAAGAACAGCGATTTTTCTCACATTAGTAAGTTGCTGTGTCACGATACCAAAAACAACATGCTCGCCACTAAAAGGCGCTCGGTAAGGAAGGCAATGTGTGCGTTGGAGGAGAAAAGATGTGGTGATGGTGCTTCGAACTTCATACACCAATCACTGTGACGTTGTAGATTTTTACGGGTATAATAGGGCAACGGCTGCTTCTAATCAGCAAAAATGAAGTACATTGTTCCCTGAGCGGGCCAGAGACTTAAAATGGGGTTTCAGAAAGTTTCTCAGAGTTGCCGCCGCCAAAACACGGAACAGTACTCTTTGAAATCCGTGGCGTCATGTGCAGCAATTTCGGCGTGAACTTAAAAAGTAGTATGACTTTATTATCTCCCCTATTAATGAACATATCATGGTGGAATTGTCATCAGTTTTTGGAGCACATTTCGTTAATCCAAACTGACTCACTGTTTCACTTTGGGGTCCCTTTGAACCTAAGCACTTATTCTCTCTGCACAGCTGATAAAGTCTGACGGAACGGACAACCAGTTCCTGGATGCCTCGAACCGCTTCTACACGCTCATCCCGCATGACTTTGGCATGAGCAAGCCAACGATACTCAAGGACGACAAGCTGATTGAGGTTTGTTTGCCACAGCTCTTGGTTCCATCTTGGTCTTTTGCTTGTAACTGGTGCTTGTGCAGCACGCTTCTGTGTGAATTGCCTGCATATTCCTAATTGATGCGCTTGTGTGAGGGCCACGTTTTGTTTTTGTAGATTTTGGGGCATGGAATCCCCACAAAAACATACGTGATTTCTATCACAGGCTGCCGGCCATAGCAAGCAAGTGACATTACACTTACATAGTTTGACACCATGAGGGGGGTCCCGTTCGCACACGCTGCCATTCACTGGTCACTGGAACAGCATGTCTTTAAAACAGGAACAAGTGGCACTGGACACAGAATGATAAAAGAATGACAGACAGGGTGTTGATGTCCGACATCAATGCCGTGTCTGTCTATCGTTCACGATCCTGTGTTGAGGGCTGTTTGTTTACATCATTAATGCACCAACCAGCCTAATTGGGTGCACTCCGGCGCTAGCCTTGAATAAGCACACTGGTCTTGTGCTGTGGCCGCGTTGTTTAGTACCAAGCGTGGTGACAAGAGTCTGGCTACATTGTTCGGGATCAAATATGGTAACGAGCAGTGAAGCCTGTGTTTTGCTTTTCTTTAAAGCGAAGGGATGTTTTGAGGATTCTGTCAGTAAATAAATGTGCTGTTCCCTTTTTTTTATAACCACAGTAATTCTACTGTCTGCCAATTCAGGTGTTGTTTTCTATGTTGCCATGAAATCCACACAAATGCGTTTTTTTAGGTATGGGAAGAGGGTCCCTTATGAATATTTTTGTCCAGAACATATACCCTGAAAGGCAACAATTTGATTCCAGCATGATTTTGCCATGTTACAGGAAAAAAGCTTCTTGGAGAACATTGAACGCTAGAACACAAATGCTAAGATTTGTGGGTGTAGGCTTCATTGACAATGATGGTTTTTTCGCTTTTCGCCTCTTCCTTGTGCCTGTCAACAGCAAAAGGTCAACATGCTGAGCTCGCTGCTAGAGATCGAGGTGGCCGTCAACTTGCTCAAGAGCGAGGGCGACACTGAGGAAGACAAGCTGCACCCCGTGGATTTCCACTACAGTCAGCTGAAGACGGACATCAAGGTGCTGGACAGGTCGCACGACGAGTTTTCGCTGATGAGCAAGTTCGTCGAGACCACGCACGCGGAGACGCATCGTTCGTACAAGCTGGAGATTCTCGAGGTGAGAGTGCACTTACGCCCAGATGTGGAACCTTGTGTGATGCAATACAGTCGAATCTTGATGCATGAGCGACCATTTTGGATGTGTTTGTGCCTGACTTCTTCACGACTAGCCATACTGGTGCGTGAGGTCTCCGGAATTGACACTGCAGTCTGACGTCACATTAGTGTGGATGCCAGCAGGTGCACCGTAGGAAAATAGACAATCTCACCAGCATTTACTGAGCTTTTCGCATGCACTGAGCCACCTGTGTACAGGAGATTTATATGGCAGAGTAATGTAATCTTTGGAAATTCGTGTCAGTACTGTTTTAAAGGTTTTAGCTTGTTTTTACAACCTACGAAGTTGCTTGTTGAAGTAAATCTGTGAGATGTGTACAGAGCATAAATTTATGCCTGCTGTAAGGTTCGTGTCCCCTGGTTTACAAGCACAATTATCAGGTGTTTCTATTGAAAAACTCTCTGTAAAGAAAGTTGTGTGACTGCTGCTGTAATGATTTTGTCGGAGTTGTTGAAGTACGATGAATAAAAATCACCTTGGGCTAGTTGGTTGCGCAATTTCAGGCTGCATGCATGTTACAGAGGAGACACTATGAAGGCGCAGAAAAATAACCAGAACAACTGCCTCTTCTGGTTGTGTTTTTCTGCGCCTTTGTGTCTCTTCCATAACCTCCATGCAGCACAACGTTCGGCAACCCATGATGCATATATGAATGAACTGTACGGAAATATTCAAAAATTGATGAAACGTTCATGTTGTTTTCTCTGTGTTTTTCAGCTGTTCAAAGTGGTGAGAGATGGCGAAGCTAAGCGATACAAGCCCTTCCGGAAGCTCCACAACCGCAAACTGCTTTGGCACGGCTCGCGACTCGCAAACTTTGCTGGTATCCTCTCCCAGGGGCTGCGCATTGCTCCACCTGAGGCACCTGTGGTATGTTGAAATTTTATCATAAGAAATGCAGTTTGAACACGAGGCTGTAACACTGATTGCGGGGGTGAGGATTGGGAACGTTATACAAAGCAAGGCTAGCAGCTAGCTCTTTTGAGCCCAATCACGTGTAACTCTACAAAATGCCGATTTCGTCGTAGTGGGATTCAACTGCATTAAGCTACTCGGCTTGAGGACAATATTAGCCACGCCACATCAACTTTTAGAAATTACTTCTGCAAGAACTAATGATTCTCTTTATGGCTTTGTGGCTATACCTGGCCCTTGTGCGGGGTTACACTGCATATCATTTGCGAGTTCACGCAAGTCATGCATGTACTTATTGATTTCCTTTTCTTTTTTTACCTCTGTAGACTGGCTACATGTTTGGCAAAGGTATCTATTTTGCCGACATGGTCTCCAAAAGTGCCAACTATTGCTGCACGTCACCAAGCAGCCCGGTGGGACTGCTGCTGCTCTGCGAAGTTGCTCTTGGAAACATGTGAGTTTGGCGGAATAATCCGTTATTTTGGGTGTTTTGTTTCAGAACCAAGCTGAGGTTATGAGGCATTGCTTTTCTACAGTCGACTATTATCAATTCAAACACGAAGGGACCTCTGAGTTTTGTTTGAATTATCAAGAAGTTTGAGTTATTAGAAGTTCTCAGATGACTCTGGGTGAGGTGACACAACACGTTATGATTAGGCATTGGTTTTATCACATTAAAAACTTTTTAAAGTGTTTTTAAGCCCTCACTGCATGCAGTGGACAGAAAGCAGAGGTGTAAAGTCTACTACAAGTTTATTGGCCATTTACTGGGGATGAAACCTTTGAAAGAAATGGTGTATTGCCAACTGCTTCATTGCTATAGGTATGTGCTTTCAGCACAAAGCTCTCTATACCATTTGAGAAGCATCACGGTTTACCATGGGTGTTCTTCATTTCAACCATTTGTTTACTAGCCAAGCCTTTTTCCTTAAAGGGCTCAGGTGCTTATTTTAGGGGCGAAGCTTCTTAGGGCGTGGGCTGTGCGTCCCCTGTATGTAGCCACCTCTAGTTTAGTTCTTGCAGTGTTCACTAGATGGCGGTACCGTCTCCTGTATGTAGCCACCTCTCGTTTAGTTCTTGTAGTGTTTACTAGATGGTGGTACTTGTAGCTGATGATGAAAAGATGCAAGATGTTATAAACTAGAAAGCGGTGCTTGTAGTTGATGAAAGACGCGAGATCTTATAAAATAGGAATGATGTCACATATGGCGCGTGTCATTGGTTGAAGGCAATCGTTCGATTTAGTGCGGCGACGTACGTTAGGGGGAGCGATGTAATAAAATCGAGTGGGCAAAATGTACAGAGGATTCATGGTTTACCAGGTTTACCTCCGGAGCTTCGCCCACTCATCATCATTCACTTCGTGGATATGGCGGCACTTTTTTTGATTTTAGACTGTTAGGGTTACATAAGCACACAAATTTCTAAATAGTAGTGGGAAAAGTCGCTGATATTTTTTGGTATGTGCCCACAATAAGTGGGTTGTGGGTATGAAACCACTTATTGTGGGTACATACCCACATTACCTAATTCTCTTTCTCCCTCTCTCATGTTTACCTTCTCTTGGGATCTAGTCAGTTACCCTGTAACTGACTGACTGCATGTAGGCCGAATGAAGCACCAAAGATAGCGTTCACAAAGAGAAAGCATTCATTGAACGTGAAGATGAAAGAAAGCAGTTGGTTCATGATTTAAGTAACTCTAAAAGCAGACAACTGCTAGTTCTGTTGTGTGTGCTTCTATGTCGTCGTTTTTTACTTCGCGCTGATTAGAGTTATTTGCATCATAAAAATGCTGCGCTTGCCGATGCCGCGCTCATTCGAAATTGTCTCTACTTTCGTCGTCGCTACCTTCTTTGTCCGCTGTCTTCAAACAGTGCGCAATCCTCGTTGCCATCAAGCGCATTGGATATGCCGCACTTAAAAGAGCGGTCAATCATTGTTTCCAGGTTTTCTTCTTACGCTGCAGACCCTCTAGCGGCGAACGAACATTTTTTTTTTTGTCCGCCCTGAAGTCCCGCCCGGCTTAAACGTTGCACGAAAACTTGGCAGCTAGGACAACTGTCCTTTTATAAGTGGCACTATCATGACACCGCCGTTTTTGGTCCCACTGAGCTACGCCTCACACAGACCACTCGAAGCGTGACTCAAAATGACAAACGGCTCGCCTCAACACTCGCCACAAGCCAGGTGTTGACTTGGCTACTAACGGCTATAATACCATCTAGCTGGCGCTAGTTGTGCACCACTTTTCTCAATGAAAAAGGGCACTTTTTTTGAAATCCTCGAATCTAAGCTGACCCTGGAGTTCGATGCAACTAAATATGAAAAAAAAAAAAAATATCGGCCTAAATTTGAATCAATATGGTATAACCAACTGCTGAAACACCAAAGATACCTCGAAAACAGTAAAGGAATGTTCAAAATTTGATTTATTCTTGACATGTGAGTGTGTATTGTCCATCGTGTCTCATGTAGCGCGAGCTTACTTGTTTTTTCAGTGCACTTGCAAAATAGATCATTACTGGTGGCTGAAGTTCTCATACATGGCTGCTACTGGATTCTTTGAACTGTCTGTGAATGTCTCCACTTTTTTTTTTCATAGGTATGAGCGAAAGAATGCTGAATATATCACCAAGCTGCCTCCAAACTACCATTCCACAAAGGGTAAGTGCATGAGCATCTTGCGAAATTCAATTGTGGTTGTCACCTGTCTGTCCCGAAGCTTAAAGATTCCTCGTTCTTATAAAAGCTGAATGACGTGTAGCAAATATGGGACTTAGATAGCACTGCTATTTATTCTGTTTATTTATTATACTAGTATCACGTTGTCCAATTGCATCATGCAGAAAAAGGTGCATGAACTTGAAAAATGTTCAGAGGGAAACGCAGTAGTTACGGATGGCTGCAAGAGCGTTTCCTGTCTGTGTGTCAAACAAAAAAGGAGCCAATGCTATCTTTGAAACCGTCAGTGCTTACGTGTGCCACATTTTCTGAAAGACGCAGAAATTTTCTATCGAGTGATTGAAAAATTCGGAAATTGAATTTTTTTTTTACCAAGGCAAAATAGGCTAGCCTGCCCTGAAGAAGTTCATTTGTGAGCACATGAAAAAAATCGGCAGATCATTCTTCATTGTTGCGACTGTTCTACTTTTGTTGAAAACCAGGTGTGGGCATGACCTATCCGGACCCGGAGCACAAGGTCGTCACACCCGAGGGTGTCGAGGTGCCGTTGGGACCCTCTGTCAAAGACGACAAGGCTGGCCGCAGCAGCCTGCTCTACAACGAGTATCCTTTTATTAGAGCTAGGGCCTTAGATGTCTCATCAAATGCAAAAAATAGAAGAGACTGCGTGGCTGCCCAGAAAACTGTTTACTTCGAATGCTGGGTGAGGTCCTGCGTGCTTTATCCTGAAAGGGTGTAGCAGATATCTAATAGGATTGCGTGTGCTGTGCTGTCACTCATTTTTTTTTTTTTTTTTCAGTAAGGCGACAGACAACACTTTGGTAGCTTTGCTTGCAGCTGTGGTCACTGTTCCTTATGCATACCTTTTGTTGAGTTATGCCAAGTTGGATACTAGTTAGCTGCCTGTATTAGTCCATATGAACTTCTAGCTGTTGCTGTCATGTCCGTTGATTTGCCCTAGCAGCACAGCTACACTTTTTAAAATGCAATATCAGGTTTCTGGTTCTCTGCTTAAGGAGAAAAATATAAGAATGAGGAGTATCCTTGGTGGAACACTTAGGTCAGCTGATGCCTTTTGCCTTAATGAGAGATCAGCATGTTGTATAACATGCGTTTGATACTTCAGAACAAGGAAAAAACAGCTCTTGGAGGTTCTAAACTAATTTTGCCTTGTTGCGGCCTACAGGACAGCACCGTTAATGCTACTGCGCATGTGGTGTTCAAGCTTAATTTCCGAGGGAACCCCACCCTTGGCCTTCCCCTGCTGCCTTGTGTTCCATTTATTTCTGTCGTTTTAGTTGTAATAAAGAGTTTAGGTTATGTAGTATATGCAGGCGGCTTGCATGTTGGAAATTATGATAGTGAGACCTTGTGCAGTGTTTATGATCTTTCGTGCTTTTGAATTATACATTCACCCTGGGCAGCACTCCCACTTCTTTTCATTATTTTTTTTTTCGCTGTAAATAATGCTGCTTGGTAGGTGTTATTCCTTAACTCGTTTTTTCCTCCAGGTACATTGTGTACGACACAGCTCAAGTCACCATGCGCTACCTCATGAAAGTCAAGTTCAATTACAACATATGAGGGGCAGGCCAGTGACAGCGTGACTCATTCGCATCAGGTCGTGATTTATGCGAAGTGTCTGCACGCTTAGAAGGTGAAGAGCGTGCGAGCTCTGTAACGTGCTGAATGCTCACTGTTGGACCAGAAGTCTTCGTCTCCAGCATTTTTTCTTGGCTGCTGTTTTAGCAGCCGTATGTTCTCATCATTGAAGTAAGAAGCTGCCATTGTTGTACACAGTGTCGCTACAACGCTACAGCAGCGTTGGGTAATGAATGCAACGTTCGGGTAATGTTGTGCAACAGTTGGTGCTGCTAAGCCACATGCATCCGCAAGGTATGTCTGTTTTGATGCAGCTGAAACTTGTATGGTCAGCACAAAAGACTAGCAAAAGATGATGTTTGTGCCTCCGACTGCTCATGCGTAAAACCTGCAAGAGCTTGTCGTGGTGCACAGCACAGTGAGGCGTTGTTGCTTGTCAAATGATGTACAGGGAAGACAAGCTGTCCTTTGTTGTTTTCTGTGCCCCCCCCTCCAAAAAAAAGGAAAAAAAAAGCTATCATTCTTCGCTGCGCTAAACACTGTCATGAAATACCTGCCAACACACCCAGGCATCTTACCTAAGACCTCGTTTACAAGGCTGGGAAATTTCCCATCACATCACTGTTGCATTAAAAACGACGCACATTGCAAATGTGACGTTGCAGTGTCTAGGAGAGGTGCCATCGATGTCAGTGCATTTGCTTACAGAACTGAACTACTTCTACCGCCAAAGCACGCTTGATCCTATTTTTATCGTGCTATTGGGCAGGTAATATTTGAATGAAACAGTGGATTCAAATGAAACTGACATTGCGCCACGTTTCTGCAAGCCAAGAATGCTGCAGTGCCTGCTTTGATGATGATGTGCCTTTTGCTTTGCTGGCACTCGCCCACAAAGAGAAATCGGCCAAAAACCGGGTGGGAGGATCCTCAAGTTAGTTATGCATTTAAGATCATTAAATGGAATTAGAGTATAAAGCAAAAAGAAATCGTAAAAAAATATGAAAATGCTACACGAGCTAGCGGTCAGGCATTCAGATAGCCTCGTAGCGGGAAATATTCATAACAATAGACTAACAAGGTAATCTTTTTATTACCATTACGTATACACACACAGTAGAGCAAACCTCCCAGTGGCAATAACCTAATGTAATCCCTCCAAATGATAAAATTACTGCCACATTTTTTTTTAAAACCTAGCTTCTCAATTGGTGCAACGAGGTATCTTTCTATTTGATAAGAATATCGGTTGCAGAATAAAAAGAAATTCATTGTTTCTAATTCCTTGCAAAATAGACATAACAGAGATGCTGTGAGCCCAGCTTCATGTAAAATAGTTGCGAATTTGCTGTTTTTGGACGTCACCTCCACTTGTCGGTTCTCACAGGTCGGTTGTGTAGCTGTGAAGATTGGCTAACGTGTCATTATCGGAGATGTATTGTATTGTTCATCAGTGTCCAGTTTTTTTAGAAAAACATAAGATAGGGTTGTGAGATGATGGGGTATTTGATGACTGTATGAATGAGGCATTTAGGAAGTCTTGGTTGATATTGTCAGAATAATGTGTGATGCCTTGTAAGAGTAAATGATACAGCATTTCCTGGATTTGAACTTGATTTGACAACGCATGCTTGCTGATTCAAAGCTGTCATTGAGCACCATGTTTTAACTCCTTGCCTACCTACACATAGTGTGAGCCCTTGTTACAGGCTGAAAGAGAATTTTAGGCAGGATCGAGTCGTCGTATGATTCGGTGCTCTTGGTAGTAACTCTGCAGAAGTGAAGGTGTGTGATGAAGGGTTCAAGTAAGGAACCTGCATTCATTTGAATAAGCAGCTGGCAAGCTTATTTGGCTTGGTCACAGGATCTTGTGTGTGTGTGGTTTTGTAGAACACTCGGGCCCTGAGGTGTGGCTGTGAGTGAGAAGATTGGATGTCCACGTCTGCTTCTGCAAGCAAGGCTGTTGTAGCAGGTGTGGATCTTCAATTCCACTGTGTTGTGTTTCAGTGATGGTGCTCTGTTGCAAGCGTATCACTAAGTGGGCGTGAAGTGCCATGAACTGTGGGGGTGTGTGCAGTATGGTATTGCTCATTGAGATAGGTGCGCAACAGTTGTGCTATGCTTCTTGATGGTGTCTAGAATTGTGTGTACTGTCTGAAATGCAGCTGAATCACGCAATACATGACTGTGACTGTACTGTTATATTGTATGATTATTCAGTGGTGTGGTTATATTGTAATATCGACAGGCTGATAAGAATGAGAACTGGTAAAATGCTGTGGTTTTAAAGGAAAATGAAAGAACGCAGCAGAATACTGAAGGCATATCTTTTGCTTTATACCTCAATCATTCCATGCATGAAGCAGTAGCTAACTTGTCTGTGTGTGGTTGTCCCAACTTGCTCGTTAAGATGTTGGTGAAATTCAAGGTGGCCACCTAGCGTCGGGCATTAGGGACTCGTCTTGTTGATCGGATTTGAGTGGTGGCTGCATTTTGATCGCAGGTTCAGCTGAATTGCCAGTGTTGCTGCTTCAAATTTCCAGCGTGCTGGAATTTGGGTTCAGCAAGATTGAATACCTGAAACAGTTGCTCTATGCCTTTGAATGCAAAGGAGCATTTAGAAGTTGATAGTCACCAAGTTTTTTTTTTGTTTTTTTTTTTCTTGCCTCGCCAAAGATGTCAAGTGCTTCCTTGAGTGCTAAAGAAGACAATATGATTTACTTGTACCTGTACAAAGTGTGCTACTTCTTTTTATTTCTGTTCTGTGACAGCTGCTACAGACCGGTTACATATGTTGTGCCTTTCTATAATAGTGTGTTGAGAGCACCCAGACATCTTTTATATTGCTTTTATTTGCACATATTGCAGTGTGTTGTTTTTTTTTTCTTCTGCGCAGTTTTTCTATTAATCATAGTACCTTTTGTTCGTTTCTGCTTTGCAACAGCTACATATGTTGTGCCTTGTTATGATTGTGTGTAAACTTTCTCAACCATGCTGAATATTTTTATTTGAGCATGTGGCAGTGTGCTGTCTCATTTTTTTCTGCACAAACTTTTTTTCCTCCTATTAGTGCACTTCAAGCATATCAGATTCAAGTATTCATGTTGATGCTTTGACCACTTTAGGGACTGCTTTGTGTTTTTGTGTTTGCCACACCTAATTATCCTGTACCTACCTGCATAAAACTTGATGCTCTTGTGTTTCTTTCAGACGTTTGCACAATTGAACATTAGCACAAGATTTTCCTCATACTTGGAGAAATAGCAACACACTGTTATCTTTAGACATTACTCCGTCAGTCACAAGTGCAGGAGTGTGCAAAATGTGCTTTGGCTGACCAAGTAGTGATAACTTCTACATCTCCTGCCACCTGAACCCATTCACATTTGTTGTGCGGATCATGCGGGAAGACTGAAATGTTTTTTTACAAACTTCGCATTTGTCCCTTTTTCTGGTCAAATTGTACATAGTGATGCTGTGCTTGAGTAAATGTTTTTCTAAGCCAGAGATTTGCAATTTACTTCTTCTTGAAAGTGGTCCAGCACTACGAGTAGTCTGGCTATGTAAAGGTCAACTCCGGCAATCTCTTGCCTGTCAAGGTAATGGCGATTAGATGTTCCTCAAGTACTACTGTCTCATACCTGTTATTAAAAATGCTCGTAAAACGAAAAATATTTTAAATAAGCAGAGGTGTGCTGAACCCAAACCAAAGCCCTATGACACAGTACTGTCTTTGTGTGACATCTGATACAGACATAAACCAGAAGTCATGCTGCGCTTGTAGAAACGAAAGCTGTAAAATCTGCAAAGAGCAAAGGCTTAACTTGTGCAACTTGTCTTTCGGAAGCGCATTTTTTCATTGGTCAGCCAGCTGTGACTATATTTCCCGCATTGTGAATGACAGAAACATTCTTTTACAAAAATTTTGGGTGCACCAATACATTTTTGTAAACACGGGCCCAGATGTTCAGTGGGAAAAAAAGCTTGGGAGTATGCCTGAATTTCGCCTTTAAGAATAGAATGGGATAGCGTGTCGGGCACTGTGCGCATGTCTTCTCACTTGCTGGCCTGGCTTCAGTTCTCGGTGGATGCTTCAACCGTGCTGACAAAAAACGAACGTCTGTGCTCACAACATTAGCTGTTCCCACTATCCTAAAGTGCCTACTGCAAGTACAGTTGTGCATTGCACACTGCGCATCTATAAGGCAACATGTGAACTTGCGTAACTGTTTAGTTGATGCTTTTGCTGCTGCTGATAATTGAATATGTTTAAGAGCTTCATAATGGTTGAGCCTTCAAAAGACTGACTTGTGCAAGTTGCATGTTTTGAAGTCTGGCGTGATTTACCATTCTTGCAAGCACTATTACATTTGTCAAACAAGCTTGATTGCACCGCTACATGAAATTCATATAGTTGGGTTTTTTTTTCTGAAGCAGCTTCAACCAGTGGTGTGGCTCAGTGATAAAACACCTGGAGTGGGGAATTCCCTTTCACACCTGTAGTGGGGAACTCCTTTGCACACCTGCTTATCATGCAGAAGGGCCTGGGTTTGGTTCTCACTCGGACTGGACATTTTTGTTACTTATGTTATTTGTATTTTTTCTTGGTTTTGGAGAATGCTGATTTTTCGCTCGCAACCAAAGGCACCGTCGCTCATCCTTACACAATATTCCACAACACTCAACGACATAACACGTACGAGGCGGCTTTGCTTATGTCTTGACAGAGCACAAGGGCCCCCAGCAGACGACGTGAGAGACAGCCCTTCGCGCCTACCGCCACCCGCCCAAAAGAGGCCCGCTAATCTCTCCCGTGCCACCACCAAGGCTTGTCGCCAGGCGTCACTGCCGGCGCCACCGTATTAACCATCATGATGATGATGGTTGTAATAAACGCGAGCACAAAGCCACCTACCGCTTGATAGTTGTCACCCCTGAATGCTGGTTGTAATAAACGCGAGCTCAAAGCCACCTACCGCTTTATAGTTGTCACCGCTGAATGCGGCTTATGCGTGAGACACGTGCGCCATGAGACGAAAACAACTTTACAGGGATTGTTAGCAGCCCCACACCCCCAACCTTCATACAAACCATATCCCGAAAAAAAAAAAAAACATGAAAGAATCAGCTACACTAGCTCTAACGAAAGATGACGCACGTTCCTAATTATTGTCTGTGCACCGCGACACCGCCGCCGGTGCTGCTCTGTCCGGCTCGACGACTTCACGTTAGTACCGGTCCCGCAACAACACGTTGCCGTCGGCGCAAGAAACCTTCACGCGCGCCGACACGTCTTCTAGTTGCAACCAGCACTCACGAGGGCGCCGGACTGCAGGCAGTTACGAAGGTCTCAAGCATGTCCATGGCCCGATGTCTCAACCGCATTCCCGGCCAGCGGCGGATTACATCACTCCCGCTGCGTACATGCAAAACACTCGAAAGAACAATGCAGTAGGCCAAATGGAAGGGAGCTCTGGGCTGCTCGCCCACGTGGTACGATGGTCAGTACTGCTAGCAAATACATCGGCGGCGACCGAGACGCCCAGCATGAACAAAACAAAGGTTTCTTTTCAAAACTCGTGCATCGTAAGATAAAAGAAGTGAGGGAAGCAGAGTGCAGCACCTCAACGCCACGATCCACCTAGTTGTGCGGTGTGCGACAGGCGGCTGCACAGAGCCTTAGGCCCAATAAGTCGCTCGACAACAACCGGCATCCACTTAGCACGCAGTCTAGGCGCAGAAGGTGGGAGCATGGATACGCTTCGAAGACTCAACGACGCAACGAAGGGCCATCCAGCGGCTTGAGGAAGCGTTGGCAAAGCAGAGGAGAAAGGGAGCCAGCGCCCCGGACAACGGGAGCGGAGGAGCCTGAGTATCCAACGCCTAGCCGGAGCACAACGTCCTCAAGATCTAGGCCCTGGGACTATAGGACTCTATTAGCCATAGTCTTCAGATAGGGAATACACGCGCCCTGCGTGGCCGGTG